CGGCCGATTCTCGCCTCTCTTCGAGCCCTCGCTCGACATGGCGGGCGGACTTTAACCCCCGCTTGTCTTCGTTAATTTTATTAAATTACGCTCGCATTAATGCTTATGCGAGCCGAGAAGCAGGGCGCGATACAACGACGGGCAGGTCTCTTTCGGGTATCGCCGAGGAACGTGCACGGCTAATGTCAATAGAAAATCGAGTCGACCGCGATAAGAGACCGATTGTCGTTTCGATCGACTACCGGTCGGCGTGTTACGGGATAAATCTGGAGTTTTTCTTTTTTCACATCGACATGATAGGGGATTAGAATTCGGCATTTTTTCGTTGGTTTATTTTTTTTTTTTTATTTTCTTTCTTTTTCAATAAGTCGAAACGCCACGAGAACATTTCCGCGGCGAGACAATAGAAGGCCACGGACCTTTGTACGCCGTTTACCTCTTTTATACACGGTCGCTCTTTTTATATCGACCTCTTCCTTGACTCTTGCCTCGTTAAGAGCCCCGTAATTAACGGCCCAGTGACTCGGCGGCCCGATTACCTTTATCGTTTATTTATTTATCTTAGAGCCGGTCGCGCGCATTCTCGGGCATTATTCGAGAGTTTCGGGAGGAGCGATAACCATTTAGTCCCTTTCTCCTAGGGGATGACTAAAGGTAGGCTGCCATAAATCTGGAGCCAGATACCGTTGAGAGACAGAGATTACTAAATAACAGTGTTAGTCAACCGAACGACAAATAATGACCGTCATCGTGGTCATCGGTCGTTGTTGATCGATACATTTGAATGAGTCGTTGTTGATCGATACATTTCCACGTGTTCAATCGAGGAGCTTCGAGCGGCACTATCGCGGCCATTTTTTCTCGATCTGGAACAATCGAACAAATGGAATGGCCGAGGGAGATTGCACGTTTCGATTTTTCTCCCGTACTGTGCGATTTCTGAATTCGCGGAGTGGGGAAAAATTAATTCAACGATCCGCAGTCGGAATTCCTCCTCGAGCGCGCGTCCAGTAAATGGCAGAAGAAAAAAAAAACGGAATGAAATTATTTCCATCGACGAGACACCGATATTATCTCGAGGGTATTACTTTCTGCAAAATCTGTTCCTAGTAGATAATTTTTTTTCTCCCCTCGCGAGTTCCCTCGAATACGGCGAATAAAAACGCTAAGTAGGTAATCGGAATCCAGGCGGTTTTTATTTTTCGAACATTCCTCCTTATCTCGCGATGCGTCGATTTCTGGGAAAACTTTATAGGAGACGATCTCGCCAGCGATTCCCGGTGAAGAATTTTTGTTAAGGTGTATTTTTCGACATGTTCGTCGGTTCCGAGGAAAAGTGCAATCAGTGGCCGCCGGTGCAGGCCCGAGTGCAGCGACCGGCCGCGCACTATCTCGCACATTTTTAGCGATCATGTCGAACATGTAAACAAGTACAATGGGAGGGATATTAAGTGTCTCGATTGTTCCCGAGCTCGACGGGTGTCCCCTTTCCCCTGAATTTTTTTAATTCGACGAAACATCGATAAAGTGTAACCGCGTCGCGAGTCAAATAATAAAGCTCGATTGTTTTTCCGGCTAAGCCGTGTTTCTCTTCTTTGTAAATAATTTCAAATGGCGGATTCGAAACCATTTACGAAGCCGAAGTACCTCCCCGTGGATTATCTCGACAAGAAGCGATATCCGAGCGCCGATGCGTAGTAGATATATTTTCCCGCGAAACTCCGGAATTCGCGGAAAAACCGACCATGTAAATGTTACGTAGAATCCCGCGACAGATAACTCGTTTTATCTCGAATTAAGATGTGCAAAAAGTGGAGTCATCCGGTGCCGGGTCGTACGTCTGGTGTGCAGATTTAGTTCCAACGAAGTCCGAAAACTACGGCGCGATATAATCGCTAATAACAGCGGTGAATTAAATGCCCGCACTGACGCGACGAGAAAACCAAGATGGCCGCCCGGGCGAGCGCCACCGTGCATATTTTGACAACTTTCCCTCATAACTCCGCATCTATCGATCCTACAGAAAAGTCCCGTAGGAAAGATCTACAGATATCGATATTCCGCGCAATTCTCTCGGGAACGATTTTTCAAAAAAACGGACGAGACGGCCCAGGCGAGGCAATTCTTCTCGGCGGCCGGCGCGCATATTATCGCACCTTTTTTTCGATCACCCCGAGCATATAAACACGTATAGACGAGAGGAGGGAGATTAGATGTCTCGATCGTTTTTATCTCGTCGATCGATGCAATTCCATCGCGGAATTCCCAAGCTAGGCGCGCTCTGATTGGCTCTGGGCCGGTCACGTGGACGCGGCCGGGAGCCAATCAGCGCGGCCCGCGGGCAGGTGCGCGACGCGGCCGAGTATGTGGAATCGCGAGGCTCGTCTAGTTCTCGTTTACACCCGGGCGATCGTCAGGTGTAGCGCCCGAGCGCGAGATTCGCCGATCCGAACGTACCTATCGCATCGGCGCAGAGTATCCGCATCGCCCACTGGAGTGCCGAAATATTGGCGTAACGTAAGAGAGCGACTTTTGTTCTCCATTTCCCTTTCAATATTTAATTGCCGACGTAATCCAATCTCGCCTGGATCGCGACGGATCCGCGTGGGGAGGGTTAGGCGAGGTAGGTCCGCGGCCGATGCGCGCGCACCCACGGCCGTGACGTCACGATTGACAGTAGGAATTATGCCGCGTTACCTGTACGCTAATTGATCCTTGCTACGTACGATTATCTAATGCCGACAGGGGTTCTCCGTCTCGAAGGAATAAAAAAAAAAAAGTCACATGTCCGGTCTTGCGCAAGAAGCGTTACGTTAAACCTCTGTCATTCCTGATTTTTATATCACATTACTCGGGGGTGTGTGGACTTGGCGCGGGACTCTACCTCACCTTGTAGTACATGTGCCAGTAAATGGGACATATGTACTTCGCTTTGGACTCTCTTCCGGGACGACGCCATCTTGAATTCCCTTCGCTTAATTATCGCAGCGATATTTCCGTTCTATGGGGTATTATTACGACCTCGTTCGGTACACTTTCGGACGAGATACTTGCATTCGTGGGATTCCTTTTTTCGGCCTCGTTTCCTCTCTCTCTCTCCCTCTCTTTTTCTCTCCTTCTTTCACCGGAGATCGAGTGACGCCAGGGCGCCACGTGAGAGAACTGGCACCAATAAGTGATTTCTCTTTTTCACGGCTCCTGATTGGCTCGATTCCGTTTACACCACGCGTATCCGATATCACGTGCGTTGGTAACGTGCACGGATGCGTGCCTCTCAAAATTCACGCGTGCCTGTCGCGACGTCAAGGACCGGTCGCCACGGATATTTCAAAGAACTGTCATGGCCGCCGTAATTTTGAAACTTAACAAGAACGAGCACGATGCAAAATACTCTCTTTTTTATTTTTTATTTTATACATAGTTTTCCTCCCTTTGCCACCTTTAGCGCTGCGACAGGTCGAACCTAACCTCTAAACATGATTTTCTGCCCATCAAGGGGATGAATTTATTTTTTTTTGTTATCCCTATTTCTCATTTCTTATCACGGCCTCTCCGATAGGAAAATACGCTGCATGCAAATTTGTCATAAAAAAAATTATCTCCGACCTGCACTGATCGACGAGAGGGTCGAAATGTGTTTTTTTCGCAATTCTCTCAGCGGCAAATACTTTTTACGGAGTTTGGTCTGAATTTTTTTTTCTTTTTTCAATACCTCCGAATTTCTCTCAGAAATCACACCTAAGCGAGATATCAGGGGAAGGAACGTCTCGACGTCCCGCGTCCGCGATCGACCGCGAACCTAACCTCACCGCGAATTCCCTCCGCTTACGCAATGCATCAACTGAAAGCCTACGTGCCTACGCACGTGACGCACACGCATGGCACCGGGTGAATCATGTCACGCGTGTGTGCGTCCGCTCCGAGGTTTTGAGATGTACGGCTTTTCTTCATTATCAACACGCCAGGGTCGGGGGGAGGTGCTGATATTTTCGGAGCAGAGATAACAATCTTCCTAAGTAGATGGGTCCATGGATTCCTAAATATAGTGCCTGGGATTGTTACACCAGGGCCAGGAAAGGCAACGGTGGATTTTATTCCCTGTAAAAATGCGAACTTGTGAATAATGTCGAAGAAACTTTTTTTTTTTTAATTTTAATGTATCCTGGACACATGTTTTGGGTGGAAAAATGAAATTTCACCAGGGTCGCGTTCTTCCTCGGGGTCTCCATAATCACATGCAGAAGTTTCAAGTTATTCGGTGCACTCTGTTTGGGGAAAAGTATTATTAACATTTTGATGTTTATATGTATATATATAGGACACTTTCATGTCACCTTAATAACTATTTCCGTCCGCGTGCGGAAATCCAGAGTGACGCAGTGCACCGCGAGGATCGCTCGTCGAAGTCCACGGTCGGGGTACAATGTGTCTCGTTAGGAAGGACGGATCGGAGTTTATCAGCATGGCATTAACATATTAATCGCGTCAGAGGGAATTGTCGAGCCGAAGTCGCGAACTCCTCTATCCTACTGATATGCCTCGCGCTGATATCCCGACCGGTTCTGCGCTGGTTCGATCTGGACCGATCGTTTCCCATAATATCCCACCATCCTTCGGCGCCATTTCTGCGGATAAACCTCTACCCCCGCATCGTATTAAATATTTCGCAGGACGTTAAGTCCAATTTCCAACGATTAAGTGATACGCCATTTAATTGATAATAATACATTTTTTATGCCCACGCGCATTTGAGTACCATGAAAGTGGCGGCAATAATGTGTAATAGGGTTTCGAGGATAGGAGAAAATACGGAGGGTCCTGTCCATTGAACGTCTCCCTCTCTTGGAATTCCACCCTCCCGTCGCGTCGAAGTGCGCTAATTATCCGCGCTGATTGGTCACCTTCCCTCGGCGGGGAAGGAGGGGCGGCGGAGTGGGGGGGGTTGTTTACTCGGCGCGCAGGCCGCGCGGCCGCGCGGGACCGTCAGTCGGTGTCCGGCGGTCGCGCGGTAAGCATCTCTCTCTCTCGCGTCCCGCGCAACGGCCCTCGGTGGCCAGTTTCTCCTCGGCGGACGTTCGTGCTATGTCAAGGCGCTCGTGATGGATCTCCCGCGCACCCGAAGAAGCGCAACGGACTGGCGCTGCACCTCGTCCACCTGAAGCGAAGCCCCCTGCCCGGTCCTGATAAGCCCTGGTTTCCCGATTGGCACGAGAAGGCGCCCCCCCTTCTCCCTGTCTCACCTGTGCCACCTGTGTCATTACGATACTCATGCTCACGGATCCGTGATATCGACCTCTCGTTCCCTATCAGGAGGTTTCCCCTCTATACTCGTTCTCTGCCCTCGTGGCCGACACCCGCATGGCCGATCTACGCCGCCCCTGTGGCCCCAGTCGCGCCCTCTCTCTCCCGCGCGCCTGAGCCCCCTTCGTCCGTCCCTCTCGCTCCGAGCGCCCCCTGGATCAACCGCGGATTGAATGGCACCTGACCTAGAGAAGAAGAGGGACCCTCGGAGGCCTGGCTACGCCTCTGCGACTTCCAATACCCACTGCCTACCCCACGCCGCCCCCGCGGGGGGCATGCTCCTCCTGAGGTGCCACGCCGATCAGCTGACGGATCTGTATCGCCATGGTAGATATGCATTTTTTATTCACCCCACCCTGTATACCCGTTGGGACGTATGGACACCTTGTTAACGCCTCTAACTACGACTTGATTACGGCACCGACTATACTTGTCGATGTAATCTTTTGTATAAGTACGCGATTATTCTTTTAACGCTACTCGTGGGAAATATCATATAATAAGTCTAACCTTCGTATCGATGAGATGGAAATGAAAGGAGATAACCTATTCTTTTTTTTTTTGCTCTCAGTCGCCATATGGCGTTGGGTATACCTGTAAAATGAGGGTAACTGAGGGACTTCGATTACCATTCGTCGATCGATTATATCGAATCGAGTACTAGGGTCGATTGGGAGCCCACGAGCAACAGGTGTTCCGCGGGGGATATTTACATTTTTAGGGGTTTGGGGTCGCGAGGGGAGCTGTTAATATTTTTTTTTTTGGATTCTTTGCTTTTATTTATTTATTTCATCGATGATCTTTGAGACCGGGTACATGTGTCTTTTAACCCGTTACTCGAAACTCCATTCGACTGGGACGTTTCAGAGAAATCGAGATACCTGTTGCGTTTGGCAATTCGAGTTGTCTGGTTGTGAGTTGTGACTACGAAAGGTTAAACCGTCAAGGGGAAGGTATATCTCGAGTCTGTATCCGAATACTTAGAAAAGGTTTTAGGCGGTATCTCTCGTGGCTGTAATCATGGGGAATTAATGTATGCACGTGCCGATAATAAATCCACGGTTCACCGTAGTCTTCGGTTTGCAATGTATGCTTTCGTAGTATATACGGTTTTATATACGATTTCGTGGTATTCACTATTTACGCCCCATTACAGAAACATTAAATCATCCAGGGGTTCAAACCGTAAAGCCTGATTTTTTTTTTCCATTAAATTCCTAAGAGGGATTTATTAAAAACGTTCCGTTTAATTTTGGAACAGATCTTTTTTTTCTTTTTAAGCGACCTTGGTAGATCGATCGATCCAGACCTCTCTAGATAATCTAAATCGCAGATTCCACCGCCGTGTAATCACCCCGAGGAAATAATTAAAATCTGTTGACCGATTAATAACCGTGGAAAAATTCTTCTCGTGGGGCTATCAAGGTATATCGATTCGAGGGTTCGTTATCGACTCGTAGGTTTTTTTTTTCCTTTTTTTTCCTATTTTTTGGGAAGGTATTTCCGGGAGGGAGAAACTTCCCCTGGGAGGATTGCGAAAATCGGGAAGAGGCTTATCGACAACCTGTTGCTGCGCATGTTGACACGTGTATGTGATGGCGGTCTTTTTCTTTTTGGTCGATTCTTTCCCGGGCGAACACTCTAAGGAAATTTTTCACGTCGGCCCCGGGGCTCGGATCGATCGGAATCCCGGGGATCGATAAGATCGATCGGCGCGTTTGCTTTTGGGGAACCTTTGTTGTGGACGCTCGATCGGCCCCGAATTTTCGAAAGCGAGTATTTTGACTTTATCTGCCTGCATAGGTGTACGTTGGTACGCTAAGTACGCACGAGTATCGATAAGGTCGATCGAACCTCCGCTTTTAGCCGATATATCGTGAAGGCGCGATCGGCAATGAATTTTCGAAAGCGAGTACCCGACTTCGACTTTATCGCTCAGGTCCTGTGTGTGTGTATGGGTGTGTGGGAATGTACGTACATGCGCGCGTGTAGGACCATTACACTCTTACACCTGGTACCAGTTTTCGGATCCCCTCTTTCGGCTTCTCGCATTCCACAACTATCCCGTAGAAATTGTCCGGCCGTTCCGTGCCGGATTTTCAATTCCTGGTTGGAATCCGACCGACTCAGTATATTTCCCCGGGTCCCGATTTCCGGGGGAAGGAAATAAGCCTAATTAGTCAGCCCGTATTGCGACTATTTTCCTTCGTTCACATTGAAACTTAGGAAATCTCTCTTAATTATCCGGGATTTTAATTCCTTACCTGATTTTGTGGTCATCGAATTTTTCTCGATTTTAATTTCTGACCCGATTTTGTGGTCATCGAATTTTTTTCGATTTTAATTCCTTACCAAATTTTGTGGTCATCGAATTTTTCTCGATTTTAATTTCTTACCAAATTTTGTGGTCATCGAATTTTTCTCGATTTTAATTTCCGACCAGATTTTGTGGTCATCGAATTTTTCTGGATTTTAATTCCTTACCAAATGTTGTTATTAAATTTTTCTCGATTTTAATTTCTTACCAGATTTTGTGGTCGATGAATTTTAGTGCGTTTTTTTTTTTTTCTTTCTTTTTCTTTTTAAACTTAAGTGATAGACAATTGCGACGGCGAAATCCCAAGTCGTGAAGTGGATTCTGATTTCGATTGTGCCGGCTATTGTGAGGTGGTTTGGGAATAAGGGAGAGGGGGTTATTTATCCGTTTACCTGTGCACTTCATTGGGACGCGGGATAAATGAGATCTTTTTTTAGCATCCGCCGTTCCGATCCGAATCGCGAGTCGACGCCAGAGCGGAATCTAATTCCGACGAGCAGCCGATGCCCGGCATGAATATTTATTAACCTGTTGTTAGATAGTCGGGGTGTTTTAAATCCCGCGTGCGTAGCTGGTAATTCCGCGTCTTAGAGGCCGCAAAATATCCGGACACGCGTAAACCCGAGATACACGTTTTACAATCGGTCGCCGCCTTTGATATTCGCTCGGAAATTAAATTCATTAATTATCGGTCGAGGCTAATTTTTATCCCACATTGCTGGACAAAAGTATGAGCGCGAAAATTACCGATTTAATCGAGCTCGATTAGTTAATCGTCATTTTAATAAAATACGTTCTTATACGTTTTTATATGAAATAAAAATGAGAATTTCGTTCTCGTCACTTTTTGCGGCGATCGCGGAAAGGCGAATTTTACACGAGGGTGGTTAGATTTTTTTGGCCGATTTGACGAGTGTCAGTTAGTCGTCATTGACATCATCGGGTGTCAATTGGCAGTTAGTGCACCGTGGAATGTCTCCGAATGAGCGATACCATCTCCGGGACGAAATGTTTTCAGGAAAGCGAGTGTGTGTGGCTCTCTGGCCTCTGTACATCCTCCTCTCTCGTTATCACCCAGTTTAAGTAGGCTATCAGCGATGTCATTAAGTATACACGGGCTACCGTTAAGGAGATACCCCGAAGATACGAGGGACTGTCGCAACACTCTACGAGTGTCTCCTTTTCTCTTTCCGTGCTCGTCCTCGATTTTGGAAATGCCCGATTCCCCGTCAATTACATTGAACATTCCCAGGGTAAGATTTCCCGCCCAGCTTTTATTCCTCTCGAGTCGATGAGATTAAAAAAAAAATATTATTGAAATTTCTGATCCATCTCAGGAAAAAAAAAAAAGGTCATTTAATAATTTCCTCGAGCTAGGTGCGGTGTACCCTGAAAGTTAAAAAATGTCAATTTTGTCCGGAGTGGGGCAATTGTGGTTATGTAGAATTTCTAAGGACACTCGGGGAATCTAACGATCGATTTTTGACGGATCGATGTTTATCGATCGCTATCGGGGCTCGACGATACATTGTTTATCGTCGCCGTTATCGACTCGTCACCTCTTCGAGGACTCTCGAAACTCGAAAGCTCTCTCGCAGCCGACGGATTGCGAAAGCCCCTCTCGAAACCTCATCTTCTATTTTACTCCCGTTCATTTTATATATCGATTTTATGAAAGACGAGGAAGATGCGCTAAAAGTGTCTCCTCGATGGAGGAGGGGAAATATGAGGTAACGCTTTATTAATCTTTACTTTTGCACGCGGGTTCAAGATGGCGCGTCACTCTTTCATGGCTAGATCGATGGACCCTTCTTATCCTGGTATTTTTATTTATAGTCGCGGTCAATTGTAAGGTACAGATTTTAAAGAGAAAAAAAATTTGAAATTTGTTCATGCGGATGGACTCGTCGCAAAATTCCGTGGCCCGGTCGTTGACATCGTCCCGTGATTTTCCTCCCTGCTAACACCGATGCACCTGCAGGCGTGCATGTGGTCATTACGCCGTGCGCCACCCCCTGGGGCCACCCACCCCCGCGTCGCGATTGCAACTGCACCCCTGCCCTCGCCCACGCAATTATTCCACCCAGTAGTCGGCGTTCTATAGTTAGAAACGACGGACGGTTCTCCTCCCTCTCGCCTCCCACTTTCCACCCCACTCGATTCACGTCGAATTTCGTGTCTTGGGTGGGAAAACAAGATGGCGGAAATCTGCCGGGGGGTGTCGGGAAAAACTCCCAATTTAGTCAATTCATATCGAATTTCACGTCTTGGGCGCGAAAACAAGATGGCGGAAGCTTTGCGAGGGAATCTGCCGGGGGGTGTCGAGAAAAATTCCCATTTTACTCGATTTACGTCGAATTTCGCGTCTCGGGCGCGAAAACAAGATGGCGGAAGCTTTGTGAGAAGATCTGCCGGGGGATGTCGAGAAAAAATCCCAATTTAGTCAATTCATATCGAATTTCGCGTCTTGGGTGCGAAAACAAGATGGCGGAAGCTTTGCGAGGGAATCTGCCGGGGGGTGTCGAGAAAAATTCCCATTTTACTCGATCTACGTCGAATTTCGCGTCTTGAGCGCCAAAACAAGATGGCGGACCCTTTGCGACGAAACCTGCCTTGGGATGTCGAGAAAAGTCAGATGGGTTGTATCTATGCGGACGCGAAACGAAAGTTGAAACGCCCGTAAGCGCAATTGGCGTACTTGGGACGCTTGGGATAATGGACGTTGATAGTAGAAAGGGTTAATCGAGATAACGCGGGTCGGTGTAAAGGACTCATCTGGATTCGAGGAGAGTCCCTCGGAAGCGGAGATTCGCTCGCATAACGCGACCTTAAAGACGCGAATAGACGTCGAGGCGAATGACGCGATACTAATTCATGACGATAACGCCGCCGGGCATTACGCGTCGTTTACATGTCAACGGCTCGTGGAACGTTGGCCTATGACCCCCGACCCCTAAACTCCGGCCAAAAGCCGAAAGAGTGATCTTCAAAAGAGGATCGCTCTCCGTTTCAACTCCGATTCTGTACAATATTGATAAGTTCAATTTACCGAGGGTGAGGGAAAAAAATCACGAGAAGAAACGAAAATCTTTTCTTGATTAATATCTTCCTCTTAATTAATTCCACCGATTTTTTTAGGTAAATTTATCGTCGTTATTGCCGAGTGTAATTCGTTGTCGCGGATGTTTCTCCTAATTAATTTAATTTCACGATTAATGACGATATTTGTTTGTCGTGACGTCGATCGAAATTACCACGTGGAGGCTTTGGTCCGGATGACAATTCGGGCTGAAGAAATTCAAAGTACTCTTTTTCTTTTTTTTTACCCCTGTGGGGTACACGGTCACTTTGAGATCTTGCTGCCCTATCTTGAGAGTAATTTATTTATTGTTTACCGGATATGATATTTCGGCCCGCAATCGGGATAACTCGCCGAGCAAGGACCGCGGTGGTCGATAACAACTATCGATGAGTAAGCCGTCCGTATCGTAAATCACCACCGGCGTTATTTCTGCATTGGTATCGCGGTTATTATCCAACGTGTACAACCTCGGTACACTGAACACTCGAGAGCGGATAAGAGGGCTCAAATCCGAAGCTAAATGAAATCTCGGTTGAATACAAAAACGGGGTTTATCGGAGACACTCCATTTTTTTTTCTCTGAAATTCCCATTTACTATAACAGACTTTCAAATGGTTGATAAATGAAATTTAAAAAAAAATGAAATCACACGAGGGTCAAGACCTTTCCCGGGGCCTTCGGATTCGCGTGGTAGGATTTCAAATTGTTCGGTGCACCTGGATCGGAGAGAAAAGTGTCGTGAAAGAGATATCCCTATTTTTTTATTATTCTTTTTTTATTTTTTCACGCCACTTTCGTCGAGGACTTAATGGAGGAAAACATGCCGAGGGAAGGACGCGACGCAACTGCGATTCGAGGTCCGGTTTTCGGGACGAAAATAAAGCAGAAACTTTCCGAAAGCCGGAATAAACCGGGAAGGAGAATCGCCGACCTTTTCCCCGAGGCCTTGAACCCGCGGCAGTACGTCACTGGGGCCGCCGCCATCTTGGATAACCCGCGCCGTCTCGTTTTTACTCCTTTTCTCCCGTCCCTCGCGTCGGGACGCACTTTTTCCGAGGAGATCTCCTCTTCCTCCCTCCCGTGGTTTCTTCTGGTTTTTGTCGCGTTTAGTTTTAACGACCGGGGAACCGAGCAGCGCGACCGAAAATCCCGAGGTGGCTCGTCGGCCCTCTCTTCCGGCTGTATTTGTAAATACACGCGCCGGGGTATATCGCGTAATCCCCCCGCGGCGTGTTAGTATTAGTACTGCCTTCGGGGTAATCGATTTATTTCGAATGTCTCGGACTTGCCCAACCCGAGCTCGGGTTGGCCAATGCAAGGATGGACGACGGTAATTAGGAAGGCTCGAGTGTCCCACCTTGAAGGAACAGGAACTGGAATCGATTGGATCGATCTTTGAGCTCCATGAATTTCTTTATATATANTTATATATGTATACATGTAATAAAGACATGTAAAACATGCCAACCTGTAGAAATATTTAGACGATGTCGTTTGGAGCATTATTTCGACATTCTAGTGTTTACTCGTCATCGGGAATAATTAATGCCTCGAAAATTCATTGAAAAAAGGACGAACGGCATTTTCGATTGATCAGTCATCGGCTCTCTGTATAATTATACTTCGAGTGTCAAGGTGTTCCACCTTCGGAAGGTCTGGTTGGTCTTCGATCTCGAGATTCTCGACTCGTACGTACGAGCGAGATTTTGTTCGCAATCAATAATTACATTAATTCTCGGGGGTAATTCATAAGTTTCGTTGTTACTCCAAATGTTGCGATCGCTTGTCAAGATACATGTCACCTTGATACCGTGCTCACCTGTTTCCCGATTTTCGGCCCGAGTTATCCCAAGGATCTCGATCCGCCATTTTTCATTATCTCGCTTATTGTTTATTTGCAAGTAACCTCGGTGCGTAGTTAAACATAAAACTTATGGTCGTTCCAAATGTCAAACGGGAAAATCAGGTGGGGGAGATCGATGTGATCGTTTTTCTCGGTTTCGATTCCACCTGAGCTGGGGATATTTTTTTTTTTCGAGGTCCTGATTGTTTTCCTCTCATTTTCTTTTATTTTTCGAATTAAGGACTGCGCAGTTGATCGCGGGAATTTAATTCTCTTGGACGTCGGGTTTTTCCGATTGGGCGTGGAAAATGATTTCCGAAAAGATCTTGAGAGTTTTGTTGAGTTTGTTTTTTTTTTTTCCCCTTACCCAAGAGAGTCACCGAGAGTCACGTGGGACCGATTTACTATTCCTCGCATTGTTTCGCGATACGGCCAGAAATGGAGGTGGGTTATGACCAGGAGAAACCTGTTGCTCTGGTTTCTTAAAAATAAGCGAAACGCGGGTGGAAGTGTAATACTTGTTTATACGGGAACTGCGGTCGATCTCCTCTTCGCGTTCTTTCCACGTCCGCAACCTACCCATCTTTTTTCCAACTCGAGGGAGTTCGCTTCTTCGGCCTTTCGCAGCAAGCACACCTATTATTCCTAGTTATATTAACCATTTCTGTATTTAATGACTATGAGGCATAAAAAAAATGTAACGACCATGAGGCATTAAAAAAAAAAATAAGGGTTTCGTCGTACCCCAGGACTGGTGGATTAGAACCAGTCGCGATATCGACGTTAGGCCGATATCCCGAAAATCTCCAAACACTTTGAAATTATTCTCAAAATTTCAACAATTCGTTCAGCTGTTTATCCCAGGTCAGAAGAAATCGAAAAAAGTCTGAAAGACATAAACGATCATACGGTTTCATTGTACAATGGCGGACATGAATGCCTCCTCTGCAGATACGACATCGCCTGTGCAGGACGGGAGGGCATTGATGTCTCCCAGTGTACCTTGGGACTGGTGGTTAGAACCAGTCGTTATAACGAAGTTAGGCCGACATCCCGAAAATCTCCAAACACTTTGAAATTTTTTTTAAAATTTCAACAATTCGTTCAGCTCTTTGTCCCAGGTCGGAAGAGATCGGAAAGAGTCTGGGAGTTATAAACGTTCAGACGGTTCCATTGCACCCCGGGACGGGTGATTAGAACCAATCGCGATAACGACGTTAGGCCGGCACCCGGTTGACCTTGCGATCTCTCTCTTCAGGAAGCACGGCAGGCGGCGCGTCAACCTCGGTGACAGGGACGACGGTCTCTCGAGGCAACGTAGCGAGCGGCAGCAGGCCGCACTCGGCACGCAGGCTCGGCCAGCAACGCCACCACCGGCACCAGCAACACCACCACCACCAGCACCAGCAACACCGCCAGGCCGCCCTGGCGCTCGCCGCGGCCTCCAGGGCCTCGGATGAACTCGGGCCCAGGTCGAACCAGGACGGCGGCTGCGAGAACTCCAACGACTCGGGCCTCGGCTTCGAGGAGCGTCAGCAACACCTCGGCAGCACCACCGCCGTCAGTATCCCGGTGGCCCGAAAGAGCGACCCCCCTCCTCTGTCGAGTCTTACTCGGGACTTTTCTTCATTGTCTCTCTTTTTCTTTTTCTTCTTTTTCTTTCTTCCCCCTAAGGTCGAGATTATGGAAGTCTAAAAGCGGGATAGGAAGGAATTTAACGGGAGAGCGGGATTTGGTTTGATGACTAAGAGGACGATAAGGAGAGATCGTGGAGAGGGATGGAACTGGAGAACCTGGGGAAAGTATGACCTAGGGGATGATAAGCGAGAGGACGAATCTCCCGAGGATGTTGACATTAGAGAGGGAGGTGAGGGAGATTAATCGTCGGGAGTCTCGCGATCGTGGCGATGATTTCGAAATATCGATCTTAGAGTCTGGCGAGATGATCTAACGATCGGGGGGNGGAGGAAAAAAAAGTCTGGAAAATCGAAAGGTTGCTGGGAGCTCTGTTTTTTTTTTTTCATTTTGGGCCACGCGCGAGGTCACGTGACGGGAATTGCCGCGTGCCGATTTTTTTTTTTCTTTTTGTTTTGGGAACAGATATCGCGGTATACTATATCCGTTGTATTGGCAATTTCTAACTACGGGGAATTATATTAATCCTCTGCGGCCTCTCGGATGGCCGAGTGAAGCTGATTATTTCTCCCTGCTGCATTCTGGGGTTATCTCGGGGGTCGGGCACGACTAAACCCCTCCAGCCAATCGCTGCCCGACTTTCCGATGTACCTTTCCTACGTGGGGGAGACGCAGTCTTATTATCCTCCTCGCCGGAGCCGTATCTCCTGGTGCGCTGTTTACGCCCTCGGTTACAGCAAGTCTTCCTCAAAGACTCGAGGAACACCGCGAGAACGCTAGATATGTATTGCGAAGGCTGACTATATATTCCGTAGAAAGGAAAGAAATTCCCAAGTCTCTTCGAATGCGGCATCTCTCGTGGTTTTTTTTTTTTCTTCATAACACACTCATAAGGAAAACGTGAACGAACGTACAGGGTCGATAGGAATAATTTCTCTAAAAGGAAATAAAAATCGATTGAATTTAATTTTCTTGGTTCTCATCCTTTAAATCGTCTAAACCCTGTTTACATATTTATGTCTTGCAATTATTATATTTTATTTTTTTTTTCGTATGTATTCTCCCAGTCTCCATTTTTTTTTTTTTTTAATAACTAACCTAAAAGATGCCCTATTTTCGCAGGCCTGGAACGCCGGCGGAGAGGAGGACTCGAAGAGGCGGAAGATGGACATCAAGTTGGAGTCCGAGGACGCCAACTTCGCGTTCCCCGAGGTGGCTCGTGGCAGCGAGTCGAAGACCGGCTCCAGGAACACGGCCAATGGGATCGCGGGGCCCATCGGCAGAATCGGAAGCGGAAACGGGGGCAGCTCGGTCGGCAGGGTCGTCGGGGTCACCAGGCCCCGACCGGCCATGGGCGTCCTCCACAAGAGGCCCCCTACGGCTCACCAGGGCCCCGTCACGCTTACCTCGCAACTCTGTACGTTGATATCGGTATTTAAGGCCAATCATATTTATAGGTGTATAGGTATTTTTAAAATTTCTTAAATTATATATAGGTATTTTTTTTCAATTTATTATAAAAAAGAAATGAAATTTCATGAGGGTCAGGACCTTCCTTATGGTCTTCAGATTTGCGTTGTGAAGTTTGAAACGATTCGGTACACCCTGTTCGAGGAGAAGTCATGGACGATCGACCCCTCGGATGGCACTTTCGCATCCCCTTAAGGTGGGACGAAAGTGGCGGCGAAGAAGTCTCTTTGTGAAGCTTTTCTTCGAGCCTAGTGTATCGAATCGTTTGAAACTTTATTACGTAAATGCGGAGGCTATGAGGAAGGTACTGACCCCCGTTAAATTGCAATCCTTTAAGAAATGTAATTTTAATCTGTTTAGAAAGATAATAGTTTGTTATTCCTCGCTCGGGTGGACGGTAACGAAGAAGAGTCCTCCTCGATAGCGGTTTATCTCCCGCTTTCCTCCATTTTTTCCCCTGGGAAACTGCGAGCAGAGTTCTAGGTCGCGTCCCGAGGAATAAAATGACCATCCCGATGCGATTCCCCCTGCGTGGCGGAAAAAAAAAATATCATTTCTGGTCCATGGTTTCCATATCTCGAGCGAGAACGTGTCCGGCTTGACGTCACCCGGAGGATTGCGCATGTTTTAAGACTCCTCCGGGCCAAAGACGAATCCTTTGGCCGTTGTTTTCTTTCTTCGGCATTTTCGACCGTCCTCTTGATACCTCCACGGAGGAATATCTCCTCTTGTTGCACCAGTTGCATATAATTCCTCGGTGGGATTTCAGCTGATTCCCCCGGTCCGCTGTTTACGCTTCTCCCGGCGCTCTTTAACGCCGACCTCGAAGTGCGTAGTTGAGGAGTAGGTGCGTCGCCACTGGACGGGTTGAATTATAATTAATGACCGGCGATTATTCTTTTTCCACCTGCGGGCCCCCATCAATCCGCAGGGCCTGGGAATTTACGCCTCATAACCGGAGACGAGAACCTTTGCCCTCGTATCGCTCGGCGATCGCGACACGCGATTTTAAATATCGCCATTTTCTACGTCGCGCCGTTTTTTAAATCTCCTTAAGGACGAATTAAATGCGTACCTTCTCCTTCGGGGCACGCGATAGGTTATTTCGATTTTAAATTAAGATAATATTTAACTCTACCGAAAGACGCGGTTGCGTCTCGAGCAAGATCACGGACCTCGCCTACCGAGTCCCTTTACGTCAGTTATAGCCGTGATGGACATCTAACTTTCTTTAAACGCGTGGAATTCCTGTATAAGACTTCGGAATGTCGTGATATTCAGCTCCGGTATCACTGAAATTTCTTTCTCTTTCGTTCTGGACCTATTTCGGTGCAATAAATTCTATATTTGGGCGTGTAAGAGGGAATATATGTGTCGATTGTTACCGGGGGATGTCGAGTTTCCGGGCTAATGAGTGTATTTATACTTTCAGGCAGCGTCTCTCGGGACGGCAAGACTCAGCTACAGATAATTTGTCAACCGGAACAGCAACATCGAGCCAGATATCAAACGGAAGGGTCCAGAGGAGCAGTCAAGGACCGGACAGGAAACGGATTCCCTATAGTTCGTCTGGTTGGCTACGAGAAACCGGCGACTCTTCAGGTCTTCATTGGGACTGACCTAGGTCGCGTTGCACCGCACATGTTCTATCAGGCATGTCGGGTTAGTGGGAAGAATTCCACCCCCTGTATAGAGAGGAAGATCGACGGCACCATCGTCATCGAGGTCGACATGGACCCGTCTAAGGACATGCTGGTCACCTGCGACTGTGTCGGCATCCTGAAGGAGAGGAACGTGGACGTCGAGCACAGATTCCCCCAGGAGGCTGGCATTCTTCAAGGTCGCAGCAAAAAGAAGTCCACCAGGTGTCGCATGGTCTTCAGAACCACCCTGACGCACCCCGACAACACCACCGAGACTCTTCAAGTCTGCTCGCAGCCAATCGTCTGCAGTTAGTTTCTGTCGTTGACATTTTCGACTCGTTCCACCAACCGACATTCGATTAAAAAATGCATTTTAGTTATCAAATGTTATGTTTACTGAAGCGTTGGTGAAACATGTCCTTAACCACGTGGAGAGAATTTGCAGTTTTCATGAGACGATTGGTTTTCCCAGCGCAACCCCCAGGGATCCCGGAGATCTGCAAGAAGTCCCTGACATCCTGCCCCTGCACCGGTGGGCTGGAGCTCTTCATCCTGGGGAAGAACTTCCTGAAGGATACTCGCATAGTCTTTCAGCTGGACAACGAGGACCTGTCGAGCAGTCTGGAACCGCACTGGGAGTGCGCGGTTCTTCCGGACAAAGAATTCCTCCAGCAGACGCACCTCGTGTGCGTGGTACCGCCCTACAGAAGACAAGACCTGGCACCTACGGAGTCGGTCGGCGTGAAACTCTACGCCGTCTCCTCGGGGAAGACGAGCGAGCCTCACACCTTCCTCTACACGGCGACTTCCACCCCGCCGGAGCCGTCGGTGGGGAAAGTGGAACCCTCGACGCCACCGTTGTCGACCCCTGCCGGCGACAGCGCCCTCTCGTCCTCGGCGGCTGCTGTCCCCCTGGCGGGTGTAACCAGTACTGGTGGGTTATTTGATAGAACAGAGGGAATTAAAAAAAAGAAATTAGAAACGTAAAAGAAAAGAGAAAGACCCGACGAGACATGGACACGATTCTACATTTGATTTACTATTTGAACGCCTTCCCGAGGACTTAGCTGCCCAAAAATAGACGTGATACATCTATTAAGTGTGACATGCCCTCGTAGCGCCCGGTTTCGGGAATAACTTATTAACAATGGCGTGAAGTAACCATGTAATTGCTCAGGTGCAAATCGTGGTCGCAGGGGTATTACGTGGACGTGACACCTGATTAAACTTGCTGTCGCCTAACTAAGATTAACGCAACCGCGTTGCGTCAAAGTGATGCTTCGTTGTGGCTTCATTTAGAGTAACTTGAACCCTGATTTTTTTAACGCGTCGTTTGGTACAGACGTCATTTTGAGCAACCATAACCTAGGATTTTGTTACCCAGCAGTTGCACTTTGGTATTAACCTTCGCGTATGTCTCGTGGGTACATTAATTTCCGTTGGACTAAATTCGGTTTTTTTTTTATCGAGGCCTTGAAGGAAGATCCCCGTGAAGGTTAACTCGTGTTCGAATTTCCAGCCCTGATCCCAGCAGCAACGACAGGCACGAGCGGTTTCCGGGGTCTGCAGCAACCCCCTCCTCAGACGTCCCCGGAGTCCCTGAAGAGCGAGCCGAGCCCCCCACCAGCCCCCGCGACCCCCCAGGTGACCCCGGTGATGATGTGGACCTCCCAGCCGACGAACTGCCCCGAGTCCTCGGCCGACGTGATGATGCCACCGCCCTCCCTGGTGGCGAACCCCCTGATGAACCGCAGGTCCTCGTCGAACCTCCAGCTGATCCTGCCCGACAACCTGAAGACCGAGGTGCTGGACGACAGCAGCGAGAGCAGCATGCTGAGCGACAGCAGCCTCCAGGGCCTCCCCAGCTCGGCCCCCAGCGGACCCTCGGGTACCAGTCCTCTCCAACAGTTGGTCTCCGACACCTCTCGAGAGTCCCAGCCTTTGATCCGCTCGGTCCCGGTCGCGTCGAACGGCTCCCCGGGCCAGGAGGCCGCGAATCTGCTGGGGGTGGTCGACCTGATGAGGAACCAGCACCCCCTGGGCCTGACTCCCCCTCACCAGGGTCCCTTCGCCAGCCTACACGAGCCTGGCCAGGTCAAGGTCCTCAGCCCCCACCACATCAACAAGGACACCTCGGCCATCCTTCCCTCCGAGGGCTCCGCCGGTGGCGCTCTTCAGGGTGCGGGGGTCGTCGACCTACGCATGAAGCACCATCAGTCGGAGTACTTTCCCCCTGCTGCGACCCCTGCGGGCCAGCCGCTCCCTGCGCAGAGCGGCCACAGCGTGGAGAAGTACCTGAACCACATAGAGTCCTCGCAGGCCTCGAAGGACGCCGAGGACCAGGAGAGTGCCTTCGTAGGTATGCAACAGAGAGCTTCCATTATTGCCAACGGCCGTCAGCAGGCCCCGACACCCGCCATACTCGCGCCTACGCCTGCTACAGTGAAACTCGACGCCCTGGTCAATTCCGCCGCCGACACCCACCAGATACCCGTTTCGCCGATGACAGCCGTTAGCGCGACTCCCAACGACATCATGGGCCACGTGACCTCGGTGCCCGAGCACGACGGTGGCATGGCCAGTCCTCAGACCACCAGGACCACCCCGCCCATTCCCGTTAAGACCATGCTCCTGAAGGCCTTGCTTCCAGCCCCCGTCCCCGGCATACCCGGCACTGCCGCAACCGCCGTGGCGAATGGCCCTGGGGTCGTGCCCGAGCCCTCCGCGGGGGACTCCTTGCTGACCACCATAAACGCTGCCCTGATGCCGGCCATGCAGGACGCGCCCGTCGTGACCGCTTGCGCGGCCAGCACGAGTCCCAGTGTCAGCGTCACTGCACCCACTGGCGTGCAGATGCAGGTATCTAGATGCATTTCCAGGACCCGATAATCTTATTCCTCGTGTTTGGAATTGACTTAGCGAGCGCAAACCTTGGGATAGCCAGGGTAGCGATAATTAGAACGGCGTGAGCCGATTTTCAACGTCCGCTTCTCTTCCAGGTTCCGGCGGAGAGCATCTCTCGGTCGGAGCACATGCAGCAGATCCAGGCTCTGGCACAGCAAGAGGCGGACGCAGCGATCCAGCAACAGGTGCACGAGGTCGAGCAAGTTGTGGCGCATGCTCAGCAGCAGGTAGAACAGGTGGTGGCGCAGGCGCAGCAGCAAGCGGTCCAGGCCGTGCAGCAGGCCCAGCAACAGGTAATGCAGCAGGTGGTGCAGCACGCCCAAGTGGTCCAGCAGGCGGTGCAGCAGGTCCAGGCGGTGCAACAGGTCCAGGCGGTGCCGGCGGTGCAGCAGGCGGTACAGCAGGCGACCCAGGAGGTGGTGCAGCAGGCGGTCCAGCAGGCCACGCAGGAGGTGGTGCAGCAGGTCCAGGCCGTCCAACAGGCGGTCCAGCAGGCGCAGGCGGCCCAGGCTATGCAGCAGGCGGTGCAGCAGGATATCGGGTCCATGCTGAACCAACCTGCAGGGTTCGTCGCCGAGGCCAGCTCCGCGTTGGCCAGTGGAGCCGCTCAGGAACCCTGCCAGCAGCGACTGACCAATGCTGCCGAGCAGGCCATCAATTCCGTCATCACCAACGCCACCCAGGACATCATGAACAACCGACCCATCACCACCACGACCGCGCATGCCATCATCGCGACGAAGAACATACTTAACAGCGTCGCCACCCAGAGCGCCCAGCTCATGAACAGCGCCATGGAGGGCATTTTGCCGAAGAGTCCCTCCAGTCAGGGGAACATCGTCGAACAGGTCGCCAATAAGTCGCCGTCCGTCGCCATGAACGTCACCAACAATAGGCAGCCCGGTAATCCACCGTTGACCACGAACAATCCATCTGGCGCGAACGGGTCACCGGTCGTCAGGAAGACAGAAGACTCGGCCGATATATTTCCTCAGGAACTCAGCGACATGTCGGAGCAGGACCTACTCAGCTACATTAATCCTAGCTGCTTCGACCCCCAGGGCGGGTTTCTCATGTAGTATCCAGCTGGCATCGCCTGAAGCGTGATGGGGAAACTGCTGGATACGAGGTAGCAGAGGAGACCAGCTTCCTGGGAGACTTCCTGGCCGATGACGGCGCACCTTTTGGTGGGACGCTTCTCGCGGGTGGTAGCTTTAGGGGATCACCGATCATGTTTGGGGAACCCCTGTCTACGGCTTGTTTGGGGGAAGGACTGATTGTCCACCTTCTTCGGTGTGGAGGGAAATGCAAGGAGCAAGCCTTCATCTATTATACGCTATGTATTTTATGATATATGGCCCCTTCGGTGGCACTCTTCGGAGGCCACTCTTGGACCAGGAAAACCGCCAGTGTCTGGTTCATGATGTGGGAGTACAGGTCGTCTGTCTCCTTAACTCCTCGAGGGGAAGATGCAGGATGTCGCCCGGATTTTTGGACGCGAGAGATTTATCAGGCGTTATCACGAGGACACGGTTTTTCTTCGCCGCCATCTTGGTCTTGGCCTCGGTGGGATTTTCCTCCCAATTGAATCCCCCCTCGTAGAAGGTCTTCTAAAATGCAGACAGTCTCTTAAGGCGATATGAAATTCCTGTCGAAGGACTCTGAGACTTTTCTCCAAATTTTCTGCAGATTAAAAATTTCTTTACGAACCTTTTTTTAAGAATGGAGGTCTTGGAAATTCTTACCGACGCCGAGGCTGACGGAGATGCGACTTGATATTTATGTCGCAGGGTGTTTTAATACGCTCTGTGTTCGAAATTACCGGGCGATTTCTTTCATCTTTCTCCCTCTTGTTCATCGATGATCAGTGAGATCTCAAGGCATGATCTCGATTGACTCGGTGCTGCGCGACCCTAAAGGAGCACCACCCTATATTTTCGTAAGTCAGGACGGACGCACGCGAGCGCGACAATTAGATTTCCTTTTTGTATAATGTATAGATGTTTCTTCTGTCTTCGTTAGACCGGGACACCGGAGTAATGTATCTTCTTCGGTGGCAGGGCAGCAGGGATGAGTGAAAGAGTGCCTTTCTTCGTGGTAACCCGTGTCGAACTCTGGTTCCTTCCGCTTCTCCTAGAACAGGAAGACTGAGCTCACTAGTTTCATTAGTGTCTCACGTGTCCTGTTACCGATGTGTGGACGAAGGCTCGTTTAACCACGTACTGGAAGATCCGTTGTCACCTGTGTATCGAGATTGTCAAGAAGAGTCCAGAAATCCAAGAAATTTGGTCACGAGATCCCTGGAAAGGATTTCGCAAAACTGTAATACTTAAAATCAACAATTTGGTAACAACCTAACCTCAAATGGCTTCTGGAATGTCATTGAAATATTGACTCCGCTGGATGCTTAAGGATTTTCAACGTCCCTACGTGGTGTTAATCTGAATTAATTCATCCCGGATGAGTGTAATGAATTTCTTTTAATTAGCAAACGTCAAGGCAATTTAAACTGGGAATCGAATGCTTTTATAAGGCCCTCGTGTTGCGCAGCTTTGAATTGATTAATTGGCTGGCAGAAGGAATGTAATCGATTTTGTACAGATTTGTATAAATATGAAAGTGGACGAGCGAAGGCTTCGGATCGTGAATGGGGGAAGTTATTACGGTTGAATGCCAATTTTTTTTTCAAGTCTTTTTCAAGATCCAAACGGAAAGGAGCTCCGACAGGTTAGATGTGTCCTCTTCTTGGCGATTCGAAGATGTATCTTTTGATCGTAACGAATGGATCTTGATGACTCGCCTTAATTAAAGGTAAATGGATTAAAATTACTGGAAAATCCAGAGCCAGAGAGAATTGAATCCTGCAGCCATTTCATGCTAATCGTACCTATAAGGATAATGACTATGAATTAATTGTTAATCGATCATACATATTCACACTTGTATACATATATACGCATACGTACACGACACTTATACATACACATACATATGAACACATTGACTTGATTGCATTCAATGCAATGAATCATGATTAATTTGACTCCGTTTCCAATGGTATTTTCTGAGCGTAAATGATGAATTGTTTCATATATATATATATATATTATTTGTTTAAAAAATTTGTTGTTAATTATTATGCTGATAACTGAGTGCAGATTAATGTGATTATATGTTGATACTATCAACGACAGTAGAGAAGTAGAAACGCGACAGAGAGATTATATTATATGCGAGACAAAGGGAGAGTAGTAAATGAAAGTATATTATATACGTCAAAGCAGAAATATATAAATCTATATATATATATTTTTTACGTGTACCCAAAGAGAGAAACAGAGATAGAGAGAAAATCGTTCAGATATATATGTAAAAGCGAGCTTATATTATTCAGAGTCCTCCGAAGGACATGTCCTTGACAACGTTACGATTACCTGTCGAGGTAAACTACTCTCGTTTAGATCTACGTCGGTTCTATAAAAAATATTGAAGACAAAACAGCGAGGTCACCGTCGAAGACTGTTTAAACATCTTTTGATATCAGTGGTTTTATTAAAAACCGATGATTTTTTTATAGGCTCCGCAACAGACCTCCGTAACCTAAAAGGCCGACTAAGAGTACGAAATTCTCGCCAAGTCTAACTAGTTGAAGACAGATTTTATATGAAATATTAAAACATCTATTATTCAGAACTGTACCTTTGTAATGAAGTACGTAGGCATACATAACGTATAGATTTTATATTTGTCCATACTCAAAGCACTTAGGTATTTTGGCTCGATGTGTATCGTGGTGCAGACAGGACAGTTGCAAAAAATAACAAATATGATGGCCAAGAAATTGTTAGTTATGTGGTCGATGCATTACCGAAGTAAAGACTTGCTATGCCATGTAGTGTACGTATACTCTGTAATACTTCGTAACAATCTGTTGTAACATCCATAACGCACACGTCAGTGGTATATTACAGCCTATTTGTTGCAGAAAGAGTAAACATGTATCATCGTTAATCCTATAAGTTGAATAAATGTTTCACAGCAATTCTGCTATTCTATCACGTCCTAATTCATCGACAAACAGCTCGACGAGAATATAAAAATATAAAAACAATTCACGGTTTGATTCTAAATTTCAGGAAGCAACGAATTTATATTTACAATTCTTTCCTTAAATATATACAATATAACAATGTTTATATATTTTCACAGTTTAGGTAGCACTTTTTGTCTCGATCATGTAACTATGCACCAACTGCCAGTTTCACCTAGAACTTTATGTTCCTTTAACAGTTTTTGGAGATGATGGTTCACGTTTGAAGCTGCTGCTTGCCAAAGGTACTCCGGAGTTTCCTAACGACAAATTACTTATTTAAAATGAACTTCCTTTTTATGTAGAAATAATGATACTTGATAATTAAGGATGCTACCTTATATATACATTTGACGATGTCCATTTCAGTCATAGGGTTCTTAGAATCTTGAAGAACTTTTAAAATCGCAGATTCCCTCTTGAGCCTATGTTCGATATACTGTCGAATGCGTGAATCCGGATCCTCTACGACAGGACCATGTCCAGGATAAATGACATACGGAGCCATCTTCAGAATGTTTTCTAGTGATAACATGTAATCATGCAAATCTTCAAAAACGGTAGTACCCTCTCCCAGAATACAATCCCCGCTGAACAAAACATTATCATTCAGAAGTAAAAGACACGCGTGATCTGTCGTATGCCCAGGAGTATGTTTTACGACCAATTTGGCACCTTCTACTTCGATCAATTGATTATCCTGTAGCGAAGTCCACTGTTCATTGCAATCATTCTCGCTATTCTCTTTGTCAGCTAACGATCTGGGTAATTTCCAGATTTTCAGGGATTGATATTTTGTCTGCGCTTTGCTTGCCAGTAGCTTCTGAACCGGTTCTATTCCACCAATATGATCGTGATGCCAGTGCGTCACGATCAAGTGCTCTATCGTTGCCTTCTCCTTTTCAAGCACGTCTTCTAATAATTTAGTGTACTGTGGTGCAGTGTCTTCGTCTCCGGAATCGATTAGCACCCTCCTGAAATAATGACACTTATTTTCAATGTGTACCCATGTAAATTAAATTGCACGATTACGGAGTATTTGTTTTTTTATGTAAATCTATGACTGTGTTTGTAATTATTTATAGAATTGTCATTACCTGTGTCCAGTGCCAACGAGGTAGGTGTTGGTACCTTGTAACGTCATCGGTCCTGGATTGCATCCTAGAATGCGAATGACTTTGCTCGATAACTTTGTGACCAATGGAATTACAGTAAGCGATGTCATTTTCAGGAATTACGTATAATTTTGACGGCACATGTTATTACAGTTCTCTCTCAGCATACCACTGCACCGAAATGCATGATAATGACTTCTCTAATCAGTGACTCTCCGACGTTCTTTGATCTGCACTTTGGTAAGAAAAATAAACATGATTAGTATATTCATACATAACGTGTACTTAATAGTAAAGAGCGCTTACATTGCATACTTCGCAACAATCAGTATAAGTCGTCGTTTAGCACCGAAATTATTCCACACTTAGCATAGAATATTCCTTGTTATCAATTGTATAAAATTATTATTCAGACCAAGACCCCTTAGAGCGCGTCGAGTGTCCTACAAAACGCGGCGCGTCTATGCGGCGAGGATCAAATTGACTTACCATCACTTGTAATCGACGCGTTGACGCACCGCGCTCTGTATGACACCCGACGCGCTCGTTCCCCGTGGAGCTTGAAACCACTACCAGTTTCCGAGGCACGCTCACAGATGGCGTCACTGGCGGATAGAATCGACCGCGGGAATCATTCGAAACCCCCAACTCTCTACACAACTATAACAGTCTACTTTCGCTTTCTGATGCATCCATCTCAAAATAACCACTTTTTACGCAAAGGCACTTTCTAATACCCTTAAATGGCACCAACGAAGCGTCGATATGTCCCATTAAAGCGTATGAGCCTCCTACCTCGAGGAACTGGCGAAAAATCTGAGTAATCCATCTATTTCAGGTTCCGGAGTTAGGAAAGTGCGTCGAGATCGTTCCCAAGCTTAATCGTCACCGTCATGGTTTGCGGTAGAGAAGAGTGGATGTTTACCAGCTGGCTGGCCATCGTCCAAGGGAGTCGCCGACTGCCATCAGGAGCGACGCGAGGCGTCCTTCCCTTCGGCCCGCTCTCTATATTTAAATCGCTTGGTCTACTCGAGCTTACGGCGAAGGCGAACCGAAAACGCGACCCTCGTGACAAGCTTGGCCAAAGCCAAACCTCTCGGAAGAGCGCAGTGTTGCCCGAGCGGGCGTAAACGGGCGTGCGAACACGCCGAGCTCGTTCCTCGATATCTCATAGAATCATCGTTCATTTGTTTAGTCCGTTGTTGCGCCATATTTGGAAATATTGTAATTACTCGGTCGCATCGCAAGCGGAATCCCAGCCAGGCGCTAACACCTGGAAAACGACGCCGACTCCTTCGCCGAGGCGAAGGAGCCTCCAAAATGTCGGGCTGTTTCTTTCACGAGTCGCTCCGCTTACCGATAGACCTTAACGAGCAGTCGGAAGTACTCAAGGTTCGTTTAAGAACCTCCGGTTAATCGATACACTCCATGTTTACACGAAAAAAAAAAAGAATAATCAGAAACGGTCGAAGGAAACATCGCGCGAGATCCTCGAGGAACTGCCCCGAGCGCTTCGGGAATTCGCGATTTTCTGCCTCTATGGTACTTCCTAGCGAGAAATTGTTGTCACGAAAATTGTTCGGCTTGTTATGCTCGAGATATTTCCTGGAGGGGGATTTTTTGTGGCATCGGTAGTTTTGAGGGAAATTCGTAATTACCTGGGGTACCTAGATGGGAGTCACGAATACTCGCGGTCTGGAATTTTTATAGCTTTGTTTATATCTTTGTTTACGGATCGAGGTTTACGGTTTACGGCTCCTTTGACTGCTCCTTATATTTTTTTGTATGGACAGCGTGGACCCATATTAACGAGATTCCTCGTGAAACATGTGTAAACTGTGGTGTCGCGTGGGCGAGTGGATTTCCGGGGATGAAAAATGAGTTTAGTCTTTATTTTTTTTCCTTTTTTTTAAGTCACGATAAAGAGACGCTAGTGGCGAGCGGTTGAAGTAAATTCTCGAAGCTCGTCTTCGGGGTGTCGTTCGGCTATCTTTAGTGCTTATGTAAGGTAAAAAAAAGTGCGCAAGGAGAGCCCTAAGCAGCCGCCGTTTTCAGGGCGCCGAGATCATCAGGGTCTCGAAATTCTTCAAGGACTGCAAGGACGGCAGGTTCATCAGCTACGTCCATGACGACGCCAGGACCCTCTACGAGTCTTTCAGGAAGGGAGCCAAAGAGTCCAGTGAGTCCTTCGAGGGATCGATCGGCCATCGATCTGCCCGATCGCGCCGATCGGGCCGCGAGCTCCGGCTGGCAGAGATGCGCTTTAAATTTATACGAGAATAACTCGCTTGCATCACCTGACGAAAGAACCTCCTCCGACGCGAGCAATTACTTCGTCGCAATAAATCGCGAGATGGGGCAGATTACGCGCCGTCCAAACTTTAAGCCGTAATCCTGTAAAGGATGGGTGGCTGCACCCGTGGCGATAAATCGTAACGATTTGGAATTTATTCAATTAATTCGAGCCCTCTAACGTCACTCGTTAATTATTTCCACAAAATAAATCCTGAGATTGGGAGAATTATAAACTTTGCGCCGTTTTTTTTTATAAAGGATGCGTGGCTGCACCCGTGACGACAAATCGTAGCGATTTGGAATTTATACAATTAATTCGAGCCCTCTAACGTCACTCGTTAATTATTTCCACAAAATTAATCTTGAGATAGAGAAAATTATAAACTTTGCACCGTTTTTTTTATAAAGGATGGGTGGCTGCACCCGTGACGACAAATCGTAGCGATTTGGAATTTATACAATTAATTCGAGCCCTCTAACGTCACTCGTTAATTATTTCCACAAAATAAATCCTGAGATTGGGAGAATTATAAACTTTGCGCCGTTTTTTTATAAAGGATGGGTGGCTGCACCGTGACGATAAATCGCAGCGATTTGTAATTTGTTTAATTAAGTCGAGTAACGTACCGTTATCATCGATTGTACATTGACGATAAATCGTAACTCTTCTATCGTTCGACTGACGTACAGAACATAGTCATACAATTTCACGAGGGCAATGTAACTTTGCAGAAAATGTTAAAAGGCAAAAAAAAATGTACAGTCGCGACGATCTGTCGATTTAAAAATATTTCCGGATTATCAGCGGAAGCTATTATTTTATAAAACGATCCGGGGGAATTGCGAAGATCTCGGTGGATATTATTTCCTTTCATATAAGACAATTATTTGACATAGACGTCGCAACGACATCACTTAGTTCCCATTAACGTCGAAGCAACAATTGCGAATTACGTTTCCCTCTTCTCGGGAGTCATTACGTCGATATTTACTACACGCTTTATGTTCTCGCGGAAAATTGTTTTACACGACGTGCGTGCCGGCTATTTTTGCACGCAAGACACCCACGATGCGTTAACGAACGAATTGTTTTTCCTACGCGTTCTCGAGCCGCGTAACAGACTTAATCGTTCTATTAACAAGTACGATTTCGTCGACAGATGAATTCTTTTTTCGCCGATTTCCCCATCGTCCCCTTAACAATTTTTCTCGATTCACTATCTCTATTAAGAAACAAGCGATCGAATAAATTGAAAATGCTTGAATCGTACATTTCTTAGGAATTCCATTAATTGTAAAGAACATCGCGATGGCCTCCACTTTTTTGTACTATTTTCTTTTTTTTTTCTATTTTACTAATTTGTATCATAAATCATTGCGTAGGGGAGAGGATTTTAGTTATTGATTTTCTCTATCTGGTCCACAGATAATGGACCGTGTTTGGGGTGGAGGGACGGGCCAACAAAGCCTTATCAGTGGCTGCACTACAACGAGACCCTCCTCAGGGCGAAAAATCTAGGCTCGGGTCTAATCGCTTGTGGATTGACTCCTGGACCGCAGACATTAATCGGTCTCTACAGTCAGAATTGTCCAGAATGGATTCTCACCGAGCAGGCTTGCTACACCTACTCCTTGGTGGTGGTTCCTCTGTACGACACCCTGGGGCCGGATGCCTGTGCCTACATCATCAACCAGGCTGAGATTAATCTAGTAGTCTGCGAGGACGACAAGAAGTGCAACTTGCTGCTGGACAAGGCCCCCAGGTGACCGGATATCCTTTTTCCCCGACTTTAAGAAAGGTCAAAGAGATCCACCAGTGCTGGGGGGAAAAAATTTATAATAAATAAATTGAACGTCTTCGATAGCTTTATCGAGAATTTTTTAATACCGTGTAAATGTTCTCCAGGTGCCTCAGGAAGCTGATCGTCGTGAAGGAGACGAGGCCGGCGACGAACCAGCGGGCGAAAAATCGCGGCGTGGAGCTCCTCAGGTTCGACGACGTCGAGAGGGTCGGGGCCAGGAAGGACCACCCTGAGATGCCGCCCAGGAGCACCGACCTCTGCACCATCTGCTACACCTCCGGGACCACGGGGAACCCCAAAGGAGTGATGCTGACCCACCAGAACGTCATGGCAGGCATCAGCGCCGTCGTGCTCCAGCTGGGGGAACACAGACCCACCTTCAGGGACACCATGATCAGCTTCCTGCCGTTGGCGCACATGCTGGAGAGGTGTTGCGAAAACGGGATGTACATGGTCGGCGGGGCCGTCGGGTTTTACAGCGGGAACATTAAGAGACTTACCGAAGACATGAAGGCCTTGAAGCCGACCGTCATGCCCGCCGTGCCCCGACTGCTCAATCGACTCTACGACAAGGTCTTCGTCTCTTCAGGGAGTGGATCCTCCCTATCTCTTGGATGTCCTTACCTAGCTTTAGATTGCGATAAGTAGAGCCATTACCACCATAGAGCTGGATTTCTTAACGTGCACCCTATGCATTGCCGAAGAGAGCCCCATTGTCACGGTGGAGTTGGATTTTTTTATCGCACTAGTCTAGTCCCCATTGCCGAAGGGGACCTCGAAGAGATGGATCATGGAGAGATTAATCCTGTAAATTAATTTATCCTCGCTTTAATCCAGGTCTCGACGGAGCTCCAGAGCTCCTGCCTGAAGAGGCTGGTCTTCGGGATGGGACTGCGCGCCAAGGAGGCGGAGATCAAGAAGCGCATCATCAGGAACAACAGCTTCTGGGACCGGGTGGCCTTCAAGAAGATCCAGGACAGCATGGGAGGCAGGCTCAGGTTGATGATCGTAGGCTCGGCCCCCCTCGCGGGGAACGTCCTGACGTTCGCCAGGTGCACCCTGGGGTGCATGGTCGTCGAGGGCTACGGGCAGACCGAGTGTGCAGCTCCCATCACCCTTACTGTCCAGGTGCGCGATATCAACCTTGTTATCGTCGAATCTTGGTCTTGATCTTGTATTGTCGAATCTTGGTCTTGATCTTGCATGGTCGAATCTTGGTCTTGATCTTGTATTGTCGAATCTTGGTCTTGATCTTGCATGGTCGAATCTTGGTCTTGATCTTGCATGGTCAAATCTTGGTCTTGATCTTGCATGGTCGAATCTTGGTCTTGATCTTGTATTGTCGAATCTTGGTCTTGATCTTGCATGGTCGAATCTTGGTCTTGATCTTGCATGGTCAAATCTTGGTCTTGATCTTGTATGGTCGAATCTTGGTCTTGATCTTGCATGGTCCCACCTTGATTTTGATCTTACATGGCCCAATCTTCATCCTGCACGATCCAATCTTCAGTTTTGGTCTTGCACTTGCACTTTTTCCAGTCCAAGACCAAGATCGACTTTCCTCGTGACCGGTCCTCTAGGTGTCGTCGCCTTGGCGGCATTTCGGGTTTGCATGTTGCGCCCCTAAACATGTCCCAGCAGCCGATAAACGAGACGGGAATAGAGCTCGGTCTCGCCATTCGCGTGGGCGGATCGCGACCTCCGATTATTGGAGACGAAGAGGACCTTGCCGAGCCCTCCCTGTCGTCGATCTCTTTATCCGGAACCTGTCGACTCCCCTTTACCTCGGTTTATCGCTCGCTAGAGGTCTATTTTCGGGAGGATCACGTTATCACGAAAGCATTTTCTAATTATACCCGTCTAAAAAAAAAAAACCAGGAAAAAAGGGGATACGAGGAAAATCCAGAAAAATGCTTATATATTTTTCCCCTGCTGGTGTTGATAATAAAAGTGATCTTAAAATTAAAAAAAAATGCGCAATTGTTTGAGACACCGAATGGCAGCGATCTAGGCAATTAATTATGATTGGGAATAGGAGAAATCTCAAGGAGTAATTGCTGTTACATGTTACGAGATGTATGATCGCGTTGGTGTTGATAATAAAAGTAATCTTAAAATTAAAAAAAAAATGCGCGATTGTTTGAGACACCGAATGGCAGTGATCTAGGCAATTAATTATGATTGGGAATAGGAGAAATTTCAAGGAGTAATTGCTATTACATGTTACGAGATGTATGATCGCGTCGGAAATAGAGCGGTGCCGTTCTCGAGATTCGCGTGGGCGGATTTCTCGTTATTGCAGAGGAAGAGGACCTTGCGGAGCTCCTCGCGATTCGACTCTTCGTCCGAGTCTCTACTTCGATTGCATTTGCGCACCTAGCTCGTAAATCGGCTTATCGAGTGCTCTAGTTATTTTCGGGACGAGCACCGTGATGTCGGTTGCGTTATCGAACGGAACACGCGCTCGCTTCGTAGTTGGAATCCCTCTTGAAAAAGAAATGACAGCACGTGCTCGACCACGTGGACGCGAGTAAACGAAAACGAAACCACCTCTGCCGGTGCCAGCTCATCGATTAAGAGGGAACAGGTTGATAATGGACATTAACTCTCGCACCTCGAGAATCTAAGAACCAAGAATGTTCAAACATGCGGATTTATATGTATTAATTTATACGTTAATTATTTCCCCCCGGAATATTCTCAGAAATTGCAGTCTGACATCAAAGAGTTGACAGCTTGGAGTAATGTTAAAATTTTTTCTAACTTATGTTTACCGAGAAGGGATAATTTATTTATATATACATTTAATTAAATGTCACATGTGGCATGTAGGATGTTTGTCATTTGTATTAATATGTGGTTTTTCTTTTCTCAAGGGCGATCACGTCCCGGAGCACGTGGGACCCCCCGTGGCGTGCTGCTGCGTAAAACTCGTCGACGTCCCCGAGATGGAATATTTCTCGACGAGCAACCAGGGCGAGGTCTGCGTCAAGGGTACCAACGTCTTCGTCGGGTACTACAGGAACCCCGAGAAAACCGCGGAAACTATCGACGCCCAGGGCTGGCACCATACCGGCGACATAGGCATGTGGCTGCCGGTAAAATTGCCCAGAATTTTCGAAAAGCCGTCACATAAACAAAAGGAATTCTTCTCGAAAATTAACGCTTCTACTTATTTCGAAAAAACTATCCACGGCGAATTTTCGAAAAACTGCTCCACTAGTCGGGAAAGAATTATCTCCCGCGACGAAGGGTCTCATTTGCATGGAAACCAATTATTAATAAAATTTAATTCGGCGACAAAAGAATTTCATATTCTAGTTTTTTTTCTTTCTTTATCTTGAAAATATTGCGCACGATTATGACTTCGACGATCTCTTTTATTTTCAATTTCTTTTTTTTTTTCCTTCGGGTGAGAAAACACCAAAAATCTTGAATATTAATGAGGATCGTTTGTGCTTCCAGAACGGCTCGTTGAAGATAATCGACCGTAAAAAACACATCTTCAAGCTCTCGCAGGGGGAATACATCGTCCCTGAGAAAATAGAAAACATCTACGTGCGCAGTCAGTACGTGCACCAAGTGTTCGTTCACGGGGAGTCATTGAAGTCTTGCGTCGTCGCCGTCGTCGTGCCCGACGTCGACGTCGTCAAATGCTGGGCCGTTGAAAATAAAATCCCTGGCACCCTGAGCGTTCTCTGCGCCAACCCCGAGGTCAAGAGACTCATCCTGGACGACATGCTCGCCTGGGGGAAGGAGGCCGGGCTAAAGTCCTTCGAACAGGTGAGTATCCTTAAAAGTCCATCGAAAGAAATTCCAGATACGAAAAATTAAATTTAACTCATCCCTTCCTGGGGGCAATATTAAATATTAAATATGACGAGTGAAAATGAGGAAAGTGGGGGTACATAATTAGAAATATAAAATTAGAGATACAATTAACGATACTATTGGGAGTTTGATCCTTCGGCGATGAGGGAAGTACAGAAGTTAAATTAAAGTCGGAGTATGATAGTTGACAATTAATGTGGACTTTTATGTAGGGAAGATGTAATCTATTTTTTTGTTACCAGGTGAAGGACATTTATCTCCACCCTGACCCCTTCTCCGTGCAGAACGGATTGCTGACGCCTACGCTGAAGACGAAACGACCTCAGCTTAAGGCATACTTTAAACCACAACTGGAAGATCTCTACCAGCACCTGGACTGATCGATCATACATTCGAAGTCTGATCTCTCACCTGGAGAAAAAACACCTGTCGCGCCTCATTTTAACGTGCCCTTATCAGGGGCACCGCGATTACAGTCGATAACTATGATCGATACTATGAATAATACTAGTTACCGTAATGTCAGTTTTCGATGACTTTTTACATCGACCCTTATTACGATGTTATCAGGAGGCCTTATCGAGTGACTTCGACATTGGTAGACGTAGATATATATTTTTAAGTCGTATTTCAATTCTTTCTCGGAGGCGCCTCATTTTCACTCAGTATCTCTTTAATGGAGTAGTTTTGGCCTCCTTCCAAATCTTGCCCTGGGAAAATGTGGATTTATAGATCGAGTCGGTCTTTGGGGAGAAGAGCAAAGCGATGGGGCGACGTAAATAAATACAATGTAAAAATATACAGACACGTGGGTAAAGAGGCTCTTCAAGGGAAGCCAGAGAGAAATGTTTCAATTTTATGTTTCTGACTAATGGGGCGTCACGAGGCTCCATTTTTCGGGACACTTTTTCGAAAAGTCTATCTCATCTGTCGGGAGGCTTTGTTTTGTGTTTTATTCCCTTTAAAAAAATTTTATTCCCTTTAATTCAATTGAAAAAAAAAAAATTAATTTTGCGCATACTTAATGAGGGGCGTAGGGTCTATTAAATAGAGCATGGGTTAATGTTTATTGCCTCTTCTAAATGGAAACTCGGTCCTCATCGGTAACTTTGTCACGTTTCATTCACTTTCGCTCGTGAAAAGAAGAAGACGTGACTTTGGCACGCATTAAGTCAAGACGAGGATTCCTCTGTGAGGTTTAATCCCTGTTTGGTCGTTCCGTTTCTAAGCGAACGGGTGGAAACTCACTTTCATTTGATTAAAAAAGCGCTCATTATCCATCTACACTCGGTACCACGTTTTAAAAAGTACACACCGTGGTCCGACATTTTTCTACAATTTTTTCCTCTCAAACCGCCGGTGGGAATTAAGTATTCGTTTTTTACTATATCATTTCTTTCTAGAGAGGGGAAAACTTTGGGGAATTATCCTCGAATCCAGCTTTCGTCACGTACATCCGATTACGTTACTAGATTTCCCGACGGTACTTGCAAGCAGTAATTGCATGGTGCAATACTGTAGGGTCGTTATCGGCGTCATGGTTTGTTATCATGGTCACAATGCATGGTTGCGCGTGACATTCTAGGAATGATTTTCTGTTCACGGAGACACCAAAAGCGATTATTTCACGCGTGTATATTAATTTCGACAGGTATCATAATTATAGTAATTTGGCATGCAAAGTGGAGCCGCCATTTTTCAAGACTGTTTCTCAGCACCTCTTCAATTGTCGATTTTTACCGGTATTTAGGATAAGTCATATTCATCCAACTTCAGGAATTTAATTATGCATCGAGTACATATGAATGACAAAATATGCGGTTTGGACGTTACATATAAATTCTACTGGTATGATAATCATAGCGCGCTTCCATGCAAAGTGGAACCGCAGTTTCTTGGGACAGTTTCTCAGCACCTCGTCAGCCCTCTCCGATTGCCTATCTCATGCGATATGTAAACCCGGGTCGCGAAGTACATACCTCCGAGGCCAGACAAGGCGAGAGAAGTTGAGCCAAGGTCTGCTTTACTACGGCGATGCTCCTCGGAACCTACTTTTTACCGAGCAGGAGAAAGTAAGAGGAGTGACGGCAGTCGCGTGCTCGAGAAAGTAAAGCCCCGTTCACACATGCGCGCTATATAGGGCGTACCGAGGAGGCGGCCAATTAAAACGAACGTAACAAGGAATGGCATGGATCGGGAGTGCGGGAGCGTCGTTACTCCAAAACGGAGAGAAAGAATCTCCGAGGAGATTGCCCGGTAAACAATCGGCTCGATCGCTTCTCTCCTGGAATTAGTCTAGTTAATCAATTGCGTACAAAATCGCCGGCTAAGCGCGGCCATCTTGGACTCGCTTAACGACGCGATATGAAAGTTTTGCTTTACCGACCGAGTCCCACTCGAAAACCCAGCTGAAGTTAATCCGAGATTTAGAAATTGAAACGCACTGTACAGCTTAATCATTCTGTCTCGTCATTAGGGACTTCATGTCGCGTTTTATCGAACTCCTCCAGGCAGACCTCGTAACGAACATGGCGGCCATTTTGGATTTCTTAGTGGAGGACTTTCCATGATATATTGCTTCGTTATTAGAGTTCTTCTCCCTGGTAATGGCTCTCTCGGGATGAATAGAGAATGTATATTCAGCTTTTTACTTATTCTTCTAATTTAATCACTTGCAGGGTACTGATAAACGCATATAAAGCGAGAGGCAATGGCGGAGAAGGAGGCTTAGGGAAAGTTTCCGGCTGTGGACTGTTACTCGCTCGTTTGGGGTGACATCACAAAAAGTGAAATGAAAACGATGACATTATGCATGTAAAGTATAACCGCCTACCATATCGGTGCACTCATCCGACTTAACACATATTTATGCACTGATAACGGGTACATGCGAGCATTTGAAAAACAAAACATAACGAAATGGCGGATTCCTCCAAGCTCTTCGGTCAGATGCAAGTCATGAAAATTCCCGCAATTATTGTTATCAGGAGGATAAGCGCAATACCGGAGCCCTGCCAGACAGGAGAATCATTGTACTTTCAAGTCCAAGGAGAAAGTCATGGACTAGTCGATCATCGCAATAGCACTATGGCCTATATTTTTTCCTGCGCGCGCAGCTATACCTTCAAGATGGCGCGGCTTTTTCAAATTCAAATTAGGAAATAAACCTTTGCGAGGTTTTTCCCAATAATTGATATCATAATTGAAATCATCCCGTAAGGTCGGAGACTTTTAATTATTGTGGATTATCTTTGCTTTTCTTTAGGAAATTATTATTGTTTACTCGCTTTCTCCTCTTAGCTGGCTTGTATTTGTTTCGGTCTATGGTGCGACACTCTTGGAGACGGGGCCGGATGTTGTGACAGAGCAATTGCACCTCTGCAATCCTAATTCTAATTGTAAGTATACATGTTTTTATGTGTGGGGATGCGTGGGTGTGTGGAGATGTACAAGGAATAGTGCGTAGAGACATACTAGATGTAATTGGGTTGGCTGGCGAAACATTAAACTCGTGTTTCTACTCCTGAAACGTCGAGAAGTATTCTTTTACTCTCGCAACGTTAAAAACGTATTTATAGTTTTCGAGAGAATATTTGTAGGAAAAATTGAAAACGTCGCTCGATCGAGAAACAATTGCGACGGCCCGGCGAGGGAAACGAAATTCTTCGTCGGATTTATTATTTAACTTTCGAGAACGGTTAAATAACAATTTCAGTAGCTCGGTCATTCTAAGACAGTCCATCGAAGTCTCGCGAAATTGCGCCTTGTTCTCCTGGCACGACTGGAGCGAAGGGTTAGGTTAGGTTAGGTTAGGTTGGCATAAGATTCGCGAAGCTTGCCACCGATCATTGCCCTCCGGTTAGTAATATTAATAATAGGAGCGATTACGATGACAGTAATAATCCCTCGATCGGTCCCCGGATATTGCTCGGTTCGAGTGAATTTATTTCGTCACTCGTGCCGCTCAGCGTGAAGAAAAAGCAAACCTAACCTAACCTAACCTAACAAGGCGCGAGGAAAAGTCGCAAGGTTAGCGTAGAATGTCCTCGCTATACATAAAGGAAAATTTCCGAGCAATGCTTCCAATTCAGGAACTATCAAAAAGGAATTACCAAGAGAGAATTTACTTCCTCGAGCGGCATTCCGAGGAAATAAGTTAAACGAGGATATATACATAAAATGGAAAATGGGAACTACAGGCTGGAGCTAACATTCGATCTCCCTAATTTACAGATCTAATTGGGCAACGGCTGGAAAGAAAACTTTATTAAGGACTTTGCGGTCCCGATGCCATAACCTCGAGCCGTTTCAGCCGGATTTTTTCCCCGTGGAATGATTATCAGACGGGAACAGGAAGTCGTGGAGAAGGATTGGCCGAAAGAGTGTCCCCTCGGAAAAACTGGAACCAATGGACTGCGCTAAGATAAGCCTTTTCATTTAACGACTTTGTTATAAACTTTTATACCGCCACTTGGATACACCGCTGTGCAGCGGATTGCCACATCGGAACTCCAGAATTTGCTGTAAGCGGTGGCAATATTCTATTTCGGAAGTCGGCATCGATGAATGACGGTTCAATGATGCCAGAAATAATTATCGGGGTAATCATTAGCCCGAGGCGTTACGCCTAGAAGTTACGAGACGGAGGAGATATTTGCGTGCGCGCGCAGGGGCGCGCTTGACGGTGGACCAATCAGGTGGCGGCAAAGGACGAGTGGTGGGGAGAGGAGAGGATTCCCACGTAAGGTTTAAATTCTGCAAAACGGAGCACCAAATGTTACCAGATAAAATTCACGGAACACAATCACGAGTACTCACGGCACTGTAAATATTTGCAGAGAAGGAAAAGAAATCATGGTAAGTGTAATAACCTGGAATAAAAAGATGTAATTCACGAAATCATTGCAGTTCTTAACAACTGCGACCGCGCAACGTCGGAAGTCTACTTTCGACGACGATTTCTGTCCATCGCCGTGACGAAAGGAAGTCCTCCTCGCCGCTTCCGCGAAAGCTCGAGGACATCCGCGAGGTTGGCAAGACTGGACCCGAGGGAGTTATCTCGATCGTAGAATTCGTCCATTCGCCGAGAAAACGAGAGGGAAAGAGTCGTTCTGCTTTCTGGGACTTGGCCATTGCGCGACACAATGGATAATCTTATCCTTGGATCATCTCCACCGATAAGATTGAGAGCAAACGAGCCGACGAAGACACCCTGGTGAGATCTGAAATTTCTTCCAGCAACACCTGAAGACCTTAGAATCACCCTGGAATCCTTATCGCCTTCGAAGGACGTTCCGCAAAATCGGAACGAATCATCAGGCATGATTGGTGCAAGAATGACGCTCAGTAAACAAGATACCCAATGGTTATATCACCCCGAAGAGTAAAGACAAATTGTAGGTCCTTTTGTATCAAGAAACCGCTAATGTCTATCTATTTCCTCATGTCCATTCGAGTCTGAATCACTTTTTAGAAATTCCACGTCTCATCGGTGAAACAGGAAGGCCGAAGAAACGTAAGCCTCGCTTCGAGAGGTGTCAAGTTCCATTAATTTCGATTAAAAAGTTTGAATAATGGGATTAAAAAAACTCCCCCCGGAACCGAGTGACGGGTATCTCTTCGAGTACCATCTCTTCAACTACCCTGGATTCTAAATGGAACCGAAGAAGCGTCACTTTCAAGAGGCAGCCTAGAATGTAAGGCGTTGAGTAATTACAACCTCAGGTAAGTATATCCTGAAAATCAGGGTCCAAGAACCCAGGTAATTAAAGATCCACTAATGGACCCTCTAAATCCACCTTGAAGAATGCCTCTTCCAGGTTACCTCAGCGAAAAGAACCTTGACCGGCGAGAGTGGCTCTCCGATACCTTCCAAATGCGATTAATATGGATTCCAGCAATCATCATTAGGGACGGCACCCTAATCAGGTCGGAACAGACCTTGTTTTCTCCCAAGATATCGGCGCAAATGGAGCCGATGGGAAGCTGAAGAAACCTGGAGGAGTCGAGATGGTGTCCCGGTGGGTCCTCGGAAAGACGAGCAGGAGTCATCTCGGATGAGTGGAAAAAGTAGGGGACGGGCCCAGGGAGAGGAGGGGACTCTTGGGAGAGTTTTACGTACCGAAATGAAACTACAAGCCGGAGAAAGTGAGAGCCAGCTCGGCATACGGTAGGTAAGAGACAGCAGAGAGTCCGAGAGGCCGAACAGTCGTTCGGAGAGACCGTCAGAGCAGGTGAGAGACTCTCAGGTCTCAGCGAGAGACGCGTCGACACCGTAGATGGTGTGCATGGTCAACGGAGACGCGGAGACCGGTGTCGAGGAGGGTGTAGAAGTGGATCAAAGAAGAGATCAAACCGTGAATGAGGATACAAAATGAAATAGATATACGGAGGAGAGAATATAAGATAGGAAATAACGTAACGATTGAACGGATCTACATTGTTGACGGTGTGCGTGGCCAATGGAGACGAAGAATACACGGGAATAGATTTGGATATGCCCATCCATATCCCAGGGAACTTCGGACCAGGAGTTCACGTCGAACAGTGAATGAGGATACAAAGAAAAATTTGTATACGGAAGAAGGAATATTGTACATTTGTATACGGAAATAGGAAATAATAAGTATGTGAAGGAAGGAACGGAAGAAACGAAGTCACGGGTTAGCACACTGGTTTAAAGTGACCCTGCATTTTAAAAAAGGGAATCCGTAAGCGATTCTACCGTCCTGGGGGCGACTAAACCGCGAAGAGGAAAAATTAAATGCATCCTGGGAGAGGTAGGAATTTTTTTTCCTCAGCAGTTTTGAAGAAGATTGACATTTCTGGTGCTTTGGAAACAACTATACGGACAGACTAGAGTAAAAGAAAAAAATCAACATTTCCTAGCTGGATACGATTGGTACCTCTAGGGTTGAGAAGGAACAAAGGAAGAAATAAGGAAACTGGAAGGAGAATAAGAAGCTCTTACTTGTGAGAAATGACTCGGGGGATTCTGCCGGATCTTCAGATTTTTTATATCGGTGTACTTGGATAAGGTTCACCCGTGGAAGATAAAAATATTAAAAAGAAAGGAGGTTCCTATGAAAGTGCACCGTTCGCTGGATTCTGCGATCGGGGTGAATCTTCGAGAGGTCATGGAAGAGATTCTGTAAATTTTTCCACCTGGTCAATTTGAACACGAAAGAACAAACCCTTATGTAAATTTTTACCTTGCTAAGAGTAACCTTTTACTGGATTATTAAGTAAAGGTGAACATTCAAGACTCCTTCGAGATGATTTAAATCATCCTACCGGAACTCCGAAGTTCAGAGCTCACCTCTGATTATTTCAAGTACAACCATAACAATAGTTAAAAGCTCTTCTTAAAAAACAGACATTCGCCGCGTCAAACCGTGAAATGTGTTAAAAGTAAAACTGTCGAGGCAAATCTGACGGAAGTTCTAATCTACCACTCCCTCGATAAGATCAACACTTAAACATCCTAAACATAAAGCTATCCAGAGTAAAATCAACCATATAGTGCCTTTCGATGCATGGAGTAAACCATAACTCTTCATGATACTTCAACGGGATCCCTAAGTCCACTTCGTGCTCCATCATACCTGGAAGAATTCCAAGTGTTCTGCAACATGATAACACCTCTAAAAAGAGTATCACATTAACCAGAGCATTTAAAATTAACGTTACAATAATTAATTCCGGGATCAACGCAGAGCGCACCTTCAAAAGCGCGGCCATCTTGCGGCTGCTCTCCTCATTACTTTCTCGCCAGAGTGAAAGCAACAATAGAGATTAAATTAATAATTAAAAGCCTGCTAATAGGTTTAGTTGGTTTTAATTGAGACCCTGATAAGTATCAACATTTAGTGGCAGGCTGAACAATAACAAACATTTGTAAAAATAACATTACCAAGAGTGAAGTGATTCGGCAATATGGCGGCATGATTCGAACTTAACGCTCGCAATTGCTTTCTCCATCTGGTCGATAAAGAGAGCGAGAGGGAAAAAGATCTTGGAAAATAGAGTGTAAGATCGAACGAGGGAAGAGCGTCAAAAGTGAAGCCATCTGGCGAAATCTCTCTAGACAACTCGAAGACTACTTTCTCGGTCGAGAGACCGAGACGGGTGCAAGGTGAAGGTCGTCGGAGGTTTTACCTTTTTTTCCCCCTTATATATCTCTCTGTAATTTGGTGAGATTTCGTATCGAGGAGAAAGAAACTCGAGTGGAAAATTTGGGACGGCCCGCGGACATTTCTACTAGGGATAAACACTTTTGAGGAACAATTTAATTCTTAAAAGGAAAAATCGGAGCGATGCTAAATGACAAGTTTAATGGAAAGTAAGGAGATAACCGCGGTAATACGAAAAGGTAATTGAAAGAGGCAGCAATAGGGAAAGAAGTCTGGAGGATTTTTATGGGGAAACTCGGGAAGAGGTCGGAAATGAAATTTTTCACCGTCTTCTGAGAGATCGAAAGGCGCCATCTTTGAGTGCTCGGGGAAGTCGCGATAATGGAGGCGAAACTTTGGGAAAATTAAACTCCGACCTTGAAGAGCGATCGGTCGAAGGAAATCGAGACAAGGGCGCAATTCTTCTCCAATTTGCCGCTCCTTTTTGCTTCGTTGCCGAGCAGTGCGTGAAATTCGTGGTATGCCCGTTTTTAACGACAGACCACCGAGACGCGGAGGACTTTCCGTTGGAGCTGCGAGGAGCGCCGCCATTGGCCAGCGCTGAAGCCCGCCAGAAGAATCGGCCAATCAACGCGCGCGTTTTGAGCCGGTGAGTAAGAATTTCAAATTCAAATACCCCGCCCATGCAACATCACCAAATAACATAAATAACACAGAACGAATCCGATGAAAAACCATTATTAACATTAACAAGACGATGAAAGGACCATTAATTTGTATTAAAAATCCGAACGCACATTCGAGAGGTTAGGAAATTTCAATTAATTCCAAGGTAAGAATGCCTCGAAGCGGTAAATGAAATATTGTAGAAAAGCATCGTAAACGGTCGTTATAAAATGATCGCAGTTTTATAATTGGTAACGAGTTTTCAGACGTGTAATTACGGCTCGCGAGGTCCTATAAGCAGTTGATTACATTTTTACAGATCGTTAGAGGATCGAATCTCACCGCTCGCTGAATAGTTAAGACCAGAGAAATTGTTGAGGAATCCAGGTCACGTGGTCGAGCTAGGATTGTAAAAGGTGCTGAAACGATCGGAAAACCGAACAAGAAAGTCCATTTTCCATGTTCATCCACCTGCCGCTAAGCCGGCATTAATGGCGATATAAATGGGCCGTACATTTTGTTTTTTAAAAAATGCCCACACTTCGTACTCCCAAAGGATTAATAGTCATAAATTCATTACCCAAGATTCGTTCCATAGCATCGGTTGTCATTATTCAGAAAACGGATAAGTACTTGACGGACAATTTCCTGCTTAGTGCACTCGACGTGACGGACACTTCATTTCCAAGACATGTCTTCCCTCGATGGTTTTTCCTTTTTTCTTCTTTACGGTTCAATAAAGGAGAAAGTCCTATCGACAAATGCGGAAAACGTAGATTATGCATTATTACCTAATCTCCCGCGAAGAACAATAATAACTTTGCATCCCGTTCCAACGACCCGAAGAGAAAATATTCAGAATATTAATAGACATTAAACTCTGTTAATAATATTTAAAGCGCGTGTAGATTTAAATAATAGGTATGAAAATTCCCCCGGTAAAAACAATTTCGACGTCTATGTAATGTAATTGTTTGCTTGGAAAGTACTTTTCAGTAGTCGGCCAAAGAGACGTTAATGGCGGATTGCTCAAGTTTGAACTCAGAGATGCGTCGGTGCGTGAAAGATTACGAATAACGAGCAGTAAACTGTGTCATTCTATGCGAGGAGCACTATTGTATTCCTTCTGGTATTTCGAAAGAGCCTGCCCACTTTGTAAGCAGCCCCAGAGCCGATTCTCAGTGAAAGTATTCGACCACTTCCGGAACTGGTCGGGTGTCTCTTTCGAACTTTTTCTTTCCCGGCGGGTTAAATCGACGAAAAATTATGCGAGAGAGAGAAATCGAACAATGGCACCCTAACGTGGGTGAAAAATATAAATTTAAATTTAAAAGTGTACTGTAGAAAAAAGGAATTTTCTTTCTTCGCCGACGAGGATATCCTTTTTCCAATTTCGAAGCTGCTCAAGAGAACCGGTTTAAAGAAATTTCAAAGGCGTGGGCTCTGCTCTTTCCCGTGGCCTTGAAATAGTCCTCTTCATGGTCTAATTCTTCGATACCCTTTCGTGACGAACACTTTCCATTGTGTAACGGCCTTTTTCGTCCATTCCGGCTTTACCGTTAATTTTTCCGACTGAAGATAACAATTATCACTACCTGCTGCAAGGGTACAATGGAGAACGCGGTTGCGTCTCAGACAAGATCATAACACCACCAATCACCTGGTCTCTTTACTGAAAGCATTCCTCTAACATTACATGATATAAATTATTAGCATATTTCTTGCGTCGATTAGACACATAAATAGAATAAAAGAATTAAACAGGAGGTTACAAATTCCGTTATCGAAAAGGTACCTTTAATCTTGCCGGCGAATTATGTAGCAGTTGCATTTATTTATTATTTGTTTTATTCAGCGATGTCATCGAATTTATTTTTCTGCATTTCGGTGGATCGAGTCTCCACGAGTTCTCCCACGTAAAGACATTTTTAATAGAGACGTGATAGAGGAACGGAATGTCAGACTAACCGGTAATATACGAGCTTTCACGGACACCTTTTTAACGTACTCACACAGGTACGGAGCTGCTTAGTATCTGGTAAAACAGCTCGAGAAGAAACCTCGTACTTTCGACTCGGTGTATCTTAGAACCGGATACCCGTAAGAAGGTGAAAGTTCGCACTGGAAACGCTTCTCGTATGTACATGTGCATCTGCCTTAAAAAAATGTCGATCGACATTTTTCCCTTAACCGAGTAAGCCTTACGGGCATGTTCGAGGATCCGCACATGTACGCCGGCGTGGGAAGAAATTGCAAATGGCGACAGACACGGACATTATTCACGTCATAGAATTTCTCCTCACCCTCCACCTCTGCAATTTGAAATTGCGGACATTACTTTCATTTCCGGAATATTTCTGCATATCTTAATAGAAGCCTCGACTAGTGTAGAAGAATTACTCGTGAGAAGAAATGGTGATATAAATGTTGATAAAACATGTTTGGGATTTAAAGGAAAAAGTCCCTTCGGGGATGATCATTAATGATCAGCTCTTGGTAAAGTACAAGACTGGTGTACGCGAGTACAGTTATATGGGGCTTAAGTACTAGTAGTAAGGCAAAGTGGTATGAATGTAAATTACTGTCATTTCTAGGAGTTACACGAAGGAGGTGGTAACGGATAGGAAACGGTGAACGTGAACTTCACACCGGTGAACATTGGCGAGGGCACTTTCGCTCGTCCTCGCTCTAAGCACTTTATGTACTACATATGTACAGAGCCAATGACCTACTGACACTTTCGATATCCCTCGCAAAGTGCACAAAGTGCGTGCGATACGCAAACGCGGTGCAATTTCGACAGGAACGTTAGAAAAGATCGTAAAAGCTCGCCGGTACAGTGAGAGTTCCTTTCCTTACTTTCTGCATGTCTTTCTCCTTCACTTTCAATTCTTTTCCGCCGTTAGCATGAATTCCGAGTCACCTGAATTCCCGACTATGAATAACGAAGCCACGTCAGCTCGTTCTCACTAAATCTGCATGAAATATTAATTAATATCAGAGTAAACAGAAGTATAAGGGGAGAGGTATCAAGGATCCAAAATGGCGGCGCAACGGAAAACGGAAATTGCTTACGTCTTAGCTTGTGTATCTTTTAGGAGCGCGATTTCATGAAACCTTTTCGTGGTTTTATTAGCTCGGTGTAATCCTAACAAAGTGTATAAAGGAATGGATTGCTGGTTAAGGGAAAACGGAAAATGGCCGAAAATAAACTCGGCGGGTTGGCTATGAAAGAGTAATTACCGTTTTACACAGTTTACTGTCGTCTATAACTTTCCTGGAGACCCTTTAAAGCTCATTAAATGTTTCTTGAGGGACTCGCGTTTCTTACTGTGCAGAAGTGTAGAGGAAACAGATTTTAAGTGCATCCCGTTTATATGATTTGGAATATATGACGCGTCCTCGTAATATCCAGTTACGTCTATAGTTTAAACCATATTTCTATACTCCGTATGTTATGTGAATCATCCTGTATCTTCACGTGTGCCATTTCTCGGGAAACTTTCACCTGACCGGCATGAAAGTGCAAATTGCAAATCGAATCGCCGAAGACAATGCGGAAGATCAGGGAGCGTGAGAAATCCAAAATGGCATCGCGAAGCCGTTTACCGGAATTCGCAATTCAAATCGGCATTCTACTTGTTTCATTATTTAATTGCTTAATACCGTCCGTGCATAATAAATATATACTGTCACCAAACGTGCCATTTCCCTTGGAACTTTCACTCGATTGACGGGAGATCGCTATTTGCGACTTAAGCCGTGGAGAATGAACGCGGAAGATGAGCGTGAGAAATCCAAGATGGCGGAGTAAGAGCGGCGGATCTTATTAATAATTACCCTATTTCATTACTCAAATGCCCCTTACTTTCCATACGTAATGAACAATATCATCAAACGTGCCGTATCCTTTGAAACTTTCCCTCGATCGGCACGACATTGGGTTGTGCAAATTGAACCGAAGATTAACGCGGAAGATGAGCGACCGTGAGAAGCCCAAGATGGCGGCGCCGAGCGGTCGATCCCGTCCGCCGGAGTTCCGGGAGAACTTCTTCACTTTCACTTATTATGGCGCCACATGACGCAAACTCGATTTCGACTGGTCTTTCTCTCTTTAACTGGAATCCCTCGAATCGATCACTTCCGGCACATCAACTCGAGCGACGCCAAAGGAAAGGACACGCGAATGGTGAGAGGTTGCGGGAAGAAGCGCCGCCATTTTGTATTCCCACTGCCGGGTACCATATAGGTACGAAAGATCAGCAGCGTTTTCTACCCCTGACATTTCCTTGTAGGAAACGTCTTCCGAAACATTCCAGAAACAATAATTCACGAGATCTCCTCCTTTTCATTCTCGAATTTAGTCGTGAATAAAGAATATCGAAAAAAGAACGTGCCGCGCAGGAAGCGACGTCGCCACTTGTCACCCTCTATGTAAAGTACTTTGTTAAGATTGAAAATAATTATTTCTAGTAACAGTATTCCTTGAAACAGGTCTATATTTACTGTCCTGCTGGATTCAATAATCTGTGACAGATTTTCTTCAGCCAAGCAGTAATAAACGTTATCTACTTTCAATCAGAGTTGTAAATTCGCTTGTAATAGTCTCGGCACCGGGAAATATTTTATCGACGGGGAACGGTAAGCGAAGCATTAATATTTCCGCGTTTTAGAGCAGTTAAAGGAGCAATGAACGATCTGTTGAAATCCGTTATCCCGGCTCCGGAGTTCCGTTTAATCTTTTCCATTAAGGGGATGTGAAAGCTTCGGGGGGGAAAAAAAAGTCTCGCGCGATTCTATATACATATAGCACCACTTAAGATCATCTTGTCTGCATGAGAGCTTATGAATACATTCGGCTAAACCTTCGATTTCTAAAAATTTGACTTATTCCTAAAAAGTGTAATTATTCTAAAACCTCGTTATTATTTATATGCTGTTTCGTCCACAGAGTGTACCATGAGGTTACCAACGGAGCCATGTCATTGGTTTCTGATGGGAATGATCCTGAGCCTGCGCGGAAGTTGTCGAGGCTCCGAGGAAGATGGCGCGGCAGTCGCGACGCCCTCCAGCGACGTCAACGAACCTGAAATACGAACTACAATCAACTTAGAAATTGGAACCAATGAGACGGTGCCTTTAAGCCTGACCCGCAAGCGGCGATTCGTGCGATTCCCGACCGCAGGTGCACCACCAGGATATGCATACGAACCGTCTAATGGCAGGACTTCCGGGTATCCAGGATATTACGGACCTCAGCCACAATTTCAACAATGGCGGCAACAAAAGTCCTTCTGGCGGGGACCTCCTACTGCACCGGATTATCCTAGGCCGGTCATGAGTCACAGGACTCCCAGATTGATATTCCGGGATAATGACTTCCCCGTCAACTCGGCCGGGAGTTTCTTCCAATCCAACCAACTGCAAGACGTGGACGAAGAGATTAGAGGTAACTAGTTAATTCATTTTTCACTAACTATATCGAAGGAAAAAAATATCACAGAAATTTAACGATAAGATCTAACGGATAGTATATGCTTAGAGACGAGAGAATAAAATTTATCTTGAATTATGTAATATTACTTACCTAGTTTTTTCCTTTTCTATAATTGCATTCCTTTTTTTCTATTTTCTTCTTTTTTTTTTCTTTCCTTTACAGATCACAGGAAACAAATCTACAACGATTACCCGAGATTGGAAACAGGTACGTTTCTTTCCTTTGCGTAGAAAATTTCAAACGGGCAGGTATTAACCTGGAAGTAGATAGTTGCCGAAGATTGGTGCTTCGATAGTCCTGTACATATTATCAGAGTTTCCTTCGTAACCTTACTTCGATAAGTAAATTCTATACTTCGAAGATTTCAAAGTGGCTTATTACCAGGTGAGTTTACGGACTTTTCAGTTTCTCCCTACTTTTAGGAGGTAATGGGTTCATTCATACAAACTAAGTCAGATTGGTGAACTAAAGCAGAGAGAAGGTGAAAGTAGTCACGCTTTCCATTCTGTAGTTATTAAAACACTCGAGGTTTGAAATCAGATACGCGATGTCCCAAACGCGGAATCGATTAATAGATAATTCCTGTCTAACAAATACATACTTAGCGTAGATCTGAACGGTCGATTTAATATCTTTTTTTTAACAATACCCTTCCCGACCTACCGTCAGTAATATCAACTAACCCAATGGTATAATTCGGCAGATTTCCCAGGAATGATTATTTTCAACGGTATTATCTCAAAGAACTTGGAAATTGCCCAAGGAACGAGTATAGTCGCTTTCTTAACTCTCTTGCTTTCCGTAAGATCATGTCAAATTATACGTGGATTTTCAACCTCCAGGTCCCATTGAAAAAATTGTAGGGAAAAAAAAAGAAAGAAAATGGTAAAAATTCGTCTTCGAAATTTGTGATGGTGTTCGAAGCATGCCGGTGCAAAAGTTTCCCTGTCTGTGCAGAGTCTCGGATTCGAAAGAGACCAGTGTGGCAGGGCGACGATTCTTTGTGCGTCGACGGAGGAAGCTGCGAGTTCTTTCTAGTGTGCTGGATGTCTGCTGGCCTATTGGATGGCAGTTGTGGCGGGATAATGTACGCTTGTTGTCGCCGGAAAGACGCTAAAACTAGCACTGATTATAACCTGATCGAAGCGCCTAGAGAGCAATCACAGCTGCTTCCGCTGGATTCATACGCGGACGCCACCAGTGACGATCGTAAGTGACGATACTTGCTTGCTCACGTGCATGTCTTTGGAATGTGGAACACCCCCGCGAAGCATGCACCCTCTTCATCTGGTATTCCTCTCGGAATGATGGATCTGGAAGGAGAATAACCATTAAATACTAATAACACGCGCTACGTTCCTATGCACACATGTATTTGGCGCTAAACTCTGCCGCCTTTCTGCTGCTCTGGGAATCCCAACGGAGAGATCGAGCTTCCTTCGAGTGGCTGGAAAATCACACACTAATATCTACTTGCTGAAATCAGGACTTACTATCGCTCCTTCTGCCTAGACCTTGAATTACGCGGATCTCATTTTATAGAGGAATGTTGGAATTATCTTAAAATGTCATCGTTCACTGATAACCGAGAAGTTTCAACTAGCTAACGTCTATGTTATTGGTATGTGAACGCGTGGGTATTTGTACCTTCTCTCTGCCTGTGTACGTTGAGACAATTTAATAGTTTTCCTAAAGCATATAGTTTATATCGTGCGTATTGTTCATGTCATATGCCTTTATGTAGTACGAAGTGCAATTTTCATTGGTTGTGAACTGGCAGTCGGCATTCATTCTGGACTACCACGTCAACCAACTGCGTAATATACTTAGAAAAAAAATACCAACGTGTGGAAAATCTCTCTACCTCGTGCTTCTTAATTCTGGATTTGCTCTTCGCAGGCTGTGGAATATCTGTATCGAAGCAGACAGCGCAGAGGAGAATCGTTGGAGGAGATGACGCAGGCTTCGGCAACTTCCCTTGGCAGGTCTGTCGAGTCACTGATCTTTCCTAAAATTAATATTATTAAATGACTCAATTAAAGCCTTCGTATTAAAAAGTTATTAAATATATCCTCGTTTATCATTTCCCTAGGCCTACATTCGAATCGGTTCGAGCAGATGTGGAGGTACATTAGTGAATCGATACCACGTTGTCACCGCAGGACACTGCGTTGCCAAGTAAGTTCAGATTGTGATTACAGATTTACAGCTGGATTTCCAAAAGTACGGCTTAAATTGAAAAATCACGAGGAGTAATATTTACCCCATAAAATGTTCAGGGCATCTGCGAGGCAAGTTCAAGTTACCTTGGGTGACTACGTCGTCAATTCTGCAACCGAGTCGCTTCCTGCATATACCTTCGGTGTCAGGGAAATCCGAGTACATCCTTACTTCAAGTTCACCCCTCAAGCAGACAGGTAACCATTTATATCTATTGAAAGTCCCTCCATGTTTTAAAAATGAATTTCTCCTCTTTTTAATAAATATTAAATTTTTAGAAAACTACTCACTTAGGATGTCTATTATTTTTATAGATTTGACGTGGCAGTTCTTCGATTGGATCGACCAGTTCACTACATGCCTCACATTGCTCCAATTTGTTTGCCGGAGAAAAATGAAGATTTTCTCGGACAATATGGCTGGGCTGCTGGTTGGGGTGCCCTGCAAGCTGGTAATTTCCAAACCTGGCGAACAAGATTAAATATAAACTTTAGTCTATAAAATCAACTTAACTCGACATTTAAAAGAATTTGCTGGTTCATACTTAAGTAGTGTCTCTTCTTCAGGTTCAAGGCTAAGGCCGAAGACTTTGCAAGCTGTGGATGTACCAGTAATAGATAATCGTGTCTGCGAGAGGTGGCACAGATCAAATGGTATCAACGTCATCATCTACGATGAAATGATGTGTGCTGGTTACCGAGGAGGCGGGAAAGACTCTTGTCAGGTACTTTTAAATTATCCCTCTATCTGGAATGAAAAAAAAAATTAATTCTAAACAAGTGCCGTTGATTATAGACAATTAAAGAATTTAATAAGGATGTTTTATATAGGTTATCTTACTTTCAGGGAGACAGCGGTGGACCACTGATGCTGGAGAAGACAGGTAGATGGTACCTAATCGGAATTGTCTCAGCAGGTTACTCCTGCGCTCAGCCAGGTCAACCTGGAATTTATCATAGGGTTGCTAAGACCGTCGACTGGATAACATATGTTATAAACTCGTAGCATGTGCTGTATCTTCAGCGATAAGACTTGAATTTAGATACAATCCTTGGACACGTTTACATGTCAAGGACAGAGCTAATTATCTAATTTGCAAAGATTGACCGAAGGCTTCAAGACAACTCAATGACGTTGCCAAGCAAGATACTCATGGATCCAAAACTCGATTATGACCAAACATGGATATTCCTAACTAATGAAGTTCGCTTGCAAAATTAAGGAGAATGAAATATCTGTTTACAGCTTGAGAAGATTAAAGGAAGAATCTTCCTTTTTTTGGAAACTCCAGATATTCATTATATGAACTGTTAATATATACCCGTATATGTGATATTTATATGTACACCTATGTTGCTAATTGGTCGAAGAATTGATTTTAGCGTTACGATATGATAGTACTATTTACCTGTTGTCTAAAGCTGTCTATGAGAGAGCTTTTAGAAAAATCTGTGAAACGGTGATTTCGAAAATAAGATTATCAATTATTTTCCGCAATCACTGACAAGAGGCGTTTCCCTCCGAGTATAACCTACGCGCCATCCGAGGTTAACTCTAAGTAAATATACAAATACACGTAAACAAACATCTGTAAACTGAAATGTATGTGATACGTGCGTCTGCCTTGACAAGCAATCTTCTATGGAAATACTTTTATTTTGTTGTAAATAGTTTTATGTGTTGTAAATTACAGTACTCTGCTTTTTCGCAACTTGTTTCCCCTCGTATCCTTCGATAGAGGTAAAGATTAAATTTAAAAAGTGTAAGTATGTCATAAACTCGTTAAGTTTGCCCATTTTACAAGACATAAATCCTTAAATTTATTTGCATTTTTCCAAGGGCTGTAAATAACATAAAACCATTTTACTCGGGTGTAGTAATTCATACGAAAATACATAATGCTGGACTTTGATATATACCCATCTCTGTACTCAGATTAAAACTAATAGTACCTTTGAGGCATTCACAGAAGTCTACGAATAGATTATAACACCTCTCGACTGGTATTCGAGTTCAATCTTTCGTCTCACTTTTCAGTCTCCACCAATATTTTATAATACTGCTCTCTATACGTATCTCCTAGGTTAAAACTAATAGTACAAAATAAAGACAGATCATCTCTTTGGCAAGCTTCCAGTAAAATTTAGAGATGTAACTCGATGGCCTATTTTGATAAGACCTCGAATGTACATCTGGTTACGAATACAAAACTAGAACAGCCTTTTGAGTAAGAGTACTTACATGTAAACAAGTGCACATATTTAATAATTAAATCTCCCTCTAACGAGAATAAAAAATAACGTAAAGTAACTTCTTTGGATTTGATAAAAATGGTGAAACGATAAAGAAAAAAAAATGGCTCTTAGAGGACATTAGCAAAAATGATATCGAGGAATACTGAGGGCTACTATCAAGAATAAATACTGAGGACGCAGTAAATAGTTCTTAAGAGATAGAGTGAGTAGACTCGTCAGGGGGATACTTGGTAACCGAAAACGAGTCGTTCAAACAGGGAGGGAAGTATGAAAAATTCGTACAAGTACGAGTAGGACTAGTCGGCGAGTATTTAACGTCTTCCACGGAAAATTGGCAGCTACTCAATGAATGAGTAGGACTTGAAGGTGAGTAGCTAGGACCGTTTACGTGTTCACTCTTAACGACTTGTAGAGAGTTGTAGGAACAAGATGGACTACTCGGCGAGTAGCTCGGACTGATCGACGAGAAATCGGGACTATTCGGGACATAATCGGTCAAACATCCGGATAAATCGGGATAGACCGGCACGTACGGAGGACTGGCTTGAGAATAGTCGGAAATATCTGAATACTTCGGACTATCCGCCGAGCCGAGGGAATTGATCGGTGAGTATTTCGGCGAGCTCGGGGAATAAGCCGAGCCAGTCGGCGAGTAAGTAGGAGAGATGGAGTTCGGCGAGCTCGAGGAATAACTGGGACTATTGGATGAGTAGGTCGGACTTGCCAAGTAAATCGGACTGGTCGGGGAGTACCTGGGACTAGTCGGTGAATAACTGGGACTGATGGACAAATGAGAGGGACTGGTCGGTGAATAATGACCAGTCTGCGAGCGGCTGGGACTAGTCGGGGAATAATTGGGACTGGTCGGGGAATACCTGGGACTCGTCGGTGAGCAATTGGGACTAGTCGGGGAATAACTGGGACTGGCTGCCAAATAGCTGGGACTTGTCGGCGAGTAGTTCGGACTCGATGGAGCATAGCTTGGACTGGTTGGAGAATACTTTAGACTTGTTGGAGAGTAGCTCGGACTTGTGGGGGAGTAACTTGGACTCGTGGGGGAGTAACTCGGACTTGTGGGGGAGTAACTCGGACTCGTGGGGGAGTAGCTCGGACTCGTGGGGGAATAACTCGGACTAGTCGGTGAGTAGCTGGGACTTGAGGGTTGGTATATCGGGCTCGTCGGGGAATAACTGGGAGTAGTCGGCGACCAGCTTGGACTCTTAAGCAAGTAATTAGGACTTGTCGGCGAATTAGTTGCGCTCGGCGACAATAGGGCATAATCTGGCGGGCTTGGCGAGTGTAGTAGATATTTCCTCGGTGAAACTTCCGGCGAGAAAAGCGGACTCGTGTTGGGGTTTAGTCCTCTGGGACTTCCGAATTGCATCGAGGAAATCGAATGGGACGGCGACAGGCCCGAAGAGTCCGACGAGTTCGATGGCGAGAAACAAGCTCGGTCCGGTGAGAGGCTGCTCTCAAGATCTGGAAGTTAAAACATTACTTAAAAAAAAAAAAAAAAAAGAACTGGCGGTACATTATTTTACATCTAGAATGCCAATAATAACAGGTAGATTAAATCAGAATCGAAATAGGAGTAAAATAAGAGGGGAGAGATTTTCAGATGTTACCTGGTGACGCGCAGGTGACGTCCCAATTTTCAGTCCCTCCCGGTTCGTCCCAACTTTCGGTCCCTCCATTTGCATCCCAATTTTCGGTTCTTTCCGATGTACCCGAAGATGGCTTTTCAGGACTCATGGATGGTGTTGCGGCACTACCGAAAAACATCCCAGCACCTCCCATAAGGCATCCACCGACTACCATCGGAATCTCCATGCCGTATTTGCACTTTTCCGCGTCCAGCAGCAAATCGAAACACCCTGAGGAACGAGAGGGTGTTACATGGAACGTTTAACATTTTACTCGAGAAATGAAAGGTGCAAAAAATATGTAACTCCAGTTAATCCCACTGCATTCATATCTAACTGGACTTACCTGTCCCAATGCGCGGCAATTGTCCCATGATGATCTTTTCAGAGACACCTTTCATTAAATCCACCTCAGCGTGAGATGCAGCATCCAGGAGGACGTCGACCGTCTCCTCGAAGGTACACCTGTTTGATCAATATGAAAAAATCTTGATGGACCGGTCAAGAAAGAGAGAGCTTCATCGAATCGGAAAATGAGCTAGAAGAAGACCTCATGAGTGCTCCCGTGTCTTGTCTGTTGATCCCATGACGAGTTATAGCCATTAGGTGTCCCTTCGCCGTCATCACGTCGCAGAGCAACGCCAGGTGTCGATAATTCACGTAAAGCCCATAAAACTGCAGAACAGCGTTCATCTCCTTCTCGACGGATTTTCGCACAGCTTCGATTCCCAGTACTTGAAATATCTCGCAGACATCGTTGCTGAACGTCCTGACCGGATCGACGTTCCTCTCGCTGAGGACCTTCATCAAGCTGGTGCCGTCAGTTTCCAGCAACCATTCAGCAATGGCCTTAAATTCCCCGGTTTCGGTGATAACCACTCGCTTCTTCGAGTCCGTTTGCGGCAGATGCATGTACACTTTGCTGATAGTCTCGATTCCCTAAACCGTAAAGAGCATCCAATCTTATTCGCTCGTTACAAGTACTATAAATAATTCACTATTCTTTTTCTAAACTATTATACAACCGTTCAACGAACCTGAAGAGTCATGTCGCTCAACATGTTGGCTTCGATGCACCGAAGGAACATGTCGTCTCCCATCGTGTCTGCTTCTTCGTCCTCGTCATCCTGGAACTTGTCCTTCATGATCCTGATGCGAAGCACGAGTTTCTCCGCGTTGTCGTCGTTGAAAATGCAGTGAAGATCGGCACCGAAGCCGGCAGTGATTCTTTCCGCGATCTGTTCCATAGTCAGCTTCTTGTCGGTCATCTTTTTACGGTCTAATTCGATTCGCAGGAGCCAGGGAGAGATCATGTTGGGGTCGCAATCCGGCATCTCGTAGTACACGGTTACGAACTCCTGGTCCTCGGCCACCACCGTGTTCAGAGGGTCTGGGTCGTAGTAGATGGCGGTGTTCGCCGTGACTTTCTTCAGCGTCGTGTGCTCCAATCGGCAGAGGACGTTCCTCGCTTTTTCGGCGTCTCTCGCCGCTGGACCGGTTAAAAAGACCGTCAAGGATGGAGCCTTTGGCCTCTTGCTGATGTTTATGATCTCCTTTAGGCGGGGCACCCCCAGGGTGACGTTTTTCGAAGACACTCCGGCGAAGTGGAACGTATTCAAAGTCATTTGAGTCGCAGGCTCGCCGAGAGATTGCGCTGCGAGCGCTCCGACCATCTCGCCTGGCGAAACCTGAAAAAATCGATGTCGATTTAAAATCATTGCTCCGTTTACGAGTTTTAGATCTTTCCAATGTCTTTTATAATTGATAACGATGTCATGTTTACCTGCGCTTGCTGAAACCTAGTTTCAATCTCACCGATGAGCCACTCGAAGGCTTCGCTGGTCAACCTGAACTCTTCGGACACCAATTTAGTGCACAATGTTGATCGCACCAAACATTGAAACAGTAATGTTGCATTCTCGTTGGCTTGCTTGCTTAACCGATCCTCTCCGTTTACGATGACACATTTGTCTAACAAGTCCTTGACACCTGAAATAACGAAAATATTATTTCACTGAATGATAAACTGATAAAAATATTTATTTTTCTATTTTTAAAATCTCACAACATATTAGACGACATAATAAGCGGTACGTTATCGATCATTATTATTCATATTATCATTTGATAAATCGTATAAAGAAAAATGAGAGAACTACCTTGAATAATTCTAACAAGGCTGAGATCGGTGGGGTTCCTCTTATTGATATGGAATATTTTCTGCACGTTCCAGATCATTCTCTGCAGATTGCATGGAAGAACCACCTTAGATTCTCCCTTGGGGAAGATTTCTCGAAGGAGTTCCCGATCCTTGATCAGCTGGTGCCATTCCCGTTCCAATTGGACCATGACCTCTCCGGACGATGTAATCTCCTGGACGACGTCGTCGCTGAAAACAGTCTTCAAGTACCTCTCGTTGCTGGGATCGAACCTGAATTTCCTCTCGAAGGCCTTGTTGCTCATTTTGATGGTAGGTAAACTCTGGAACTCCACGGCTTCGCCGCAAAGGCCATCCTCGCCATAACGCAGTTGGATCAGCTGGCCTGCGGAGTTCCTGACAGTTCCATCGTAGTGCACCATCACCGACTCCATGGCTTTCATCAGACGTCGTTGTATATAACCAGTCTCTGCAGTTTTAACTGCAGTGTCGATGAGGCCTTCCCGACCTCCCATGGCGTGGAAATAAAATTCAGAAGGAGTCAACCCAGCCAGATAAGAGTTCTCCACGAAGCCTCTGGATTCAGGACCATAATCGTCCTTGATAAAATGTGGTAGAGTCCGCTTACGGAATCCAAAAGGGATCCTTTTGCCCTCGACATTCTGCTGTCCTACGCAGGCAATGACCTAGAAGACCAAGTCAAGATTACGATCAGAATCAATATTAATTATTTGCAAGATTTTAGTAACCGGTACCTGGGAGATGTTGATGTTAGACCCCTTCGATCCTGCTACCACCATGGCCTTCAAATTGTTATACTCCGTAAGTGACTTCTTGGCCGAACCTCCTGTCTTGTCACGAGCGTTGTTCAATATCCTGTTAACTTGATTTTCGAATGTTTGCCTCAGAGTGTTCCCAGGAGTGGGCTCGAGTTCCATGTTGTGAGCCTTCTGAATGACTTCTATAACGTCTTCCTTGGCCCTCTTAATAGTTTTCTGTATATCTAGGTAAGTGTGAGGGTCAGCGATGGTATCTCCGATGCCAATCGAGTGGCCCTCCAGCAGGAGCCAATTGTCCACCATTGTCTGAATGTTCCCATAGAACCTTCCACAGACTTCATGGCCCAGTTCCAGAGAGCAAATGTGAAGCAAGGATCCTGCGGAAGCACCCAGGGTCTTCTTGCACAAAATCCCCATCACTAGCTCACTGTGCTCCACCATGATCTTCGTGTCACCTGGGGAGATCCACTTGTAGGGACCTTCGTCCTCCCCGTCAGGATGAGTACTGTGAGTCCTGATGAGATTCACGTTCCCGGGGATGATCAGAGAGAAAATCTGCTTGCCCGTCCAGAGGGGCTTTGGTTTAAGAATACAGGGCTGTGGAATCTTTCCATCCCAGGTGGGAAGGAACATCAGAAGGTTCATGATCTGCTCTTTCTCGAGGAACACATCTCTCTTCGTCATCTTCCTCACAGCAGTCAGCGTGTCCTGGACGATGCCCATGACAGGTCTGTTGGCCTGCGGAGTGATGATCTGTCGAGGTGTCAAATGAATGGTTTCTACTTCAGCTCGAGTGTCCAGGGACTGAGGAACGTGCATATTCATCTCATCGCCATCGAAGTCTGCATTGTATGGCGAAGTGCAGCTCAGGTTCATCCGGAAAGTACTCCAGGGTAACACCTTCACTCGGTGGCCCATCATGCTCATCTTGTGAAGTGTTGGCTGCCGATTGAATATCACTGGGTCGCCGTCTCTGATGTGTCTCTCTACCTTGTAACCGTTTTGCAGGTAGAGATCCGATGGTCTGGGGTGGAACCTCAGATCTATCCTCTCTCCATTGTCCCTCACGACATACTTCGCTCCAGGATATTGAGTGTCGCCCCTCTTCACGAGTTCCTGTAACTTGTCGATGTTGAACGGAGTAACTGTTTCTGGAAACGTGAGGTTCTGGGCGATACTCCTTGGTACACCAATTTGATCGATGCGTAGATTTGGATCTGGTGTAATTACTGTGCGTGCAGAAAAATCAACACGCTTCCCCATGAGGTTTCCTCGAATGCGACCCTCCTTGCCTTTCAGTCTTGCCTTCAGGGATTTCAAGGGCTTCCCTGATTTATGTAACGCTCTTGGCATTCCTGCAATTTCATTGTCTATCAATGTTGCAACGTGAAATTGGAGTGCATTGATATTCTCCGATATGATATGTGTCGCAGAACCGTTTTGCTCGTTTCTGAGAAGTTCATTATTCGATTTGATTATGTCTGCTAGTTTAAAGGTTAGGTCGTCGTGACTTCTTGCAGAGCCGAACATTACCACTGCTGGTCTAACTGTTAAAGGAGGAACTGGTAAAACAGTTATTATCATCCAATCGGGACGAGCGAATTTCGGATCCATGCCTAAAATAGAGCACTCTTCGTTTGTGATGTGCTTCAAGATCTCCCAAGCTCTCTCAGCTGTTACCATTATCTTCTTTTCCTCGGACTCCTTGTTTGTTAATTTCCATTCGGCACAGATGTTCAAACCAGATCGTTTGAAACTTGGCTGGTACCTCCCGCAACCGCCATGTTTTGATTTTTTCCCAGGGCCATTTGGTGCGTCCCCATCTATTTCAAGGTCCATTTCATCTCCTCCCTCGCACAACTTTCGGCTTTTGCAAAGATCATAGATGAATGTAAAACGTTTTCGAGGCAGACCTTTGGTCTTTGAAATGATTGCTCTCAGTTTAGCGTTATGCTGCGAATAGGAATAAATTATTACAGTGGCTGCCTTATAATACAAAGAAACAGATTCCACACCGAATACATGCACATTTGCATTTCTTGTACTTGAAAAATGCATACCTTGTCCACTAGAAGTTTAGAGCAGTAAAAACAAAAGCAACTGAGAACTTTTATTATCTTCATAAGGTAACCAATGTGGAACACAGGTTTTGCTAGTTCTAAATGACCGAAGTGCCCAGGGCAGTCTGTTATGTTGCCAGCACACGTTTGACATCTAGAAGTCTTGTCAATGACACCTTGTCTAGGGTCCATAAGCCCTCTAAGCTTAGGACGACCGTCTTCAAAGGTTTCAGGAAAGCATATGCCCCCATCGGTAACGGACATACTCCGCTGAAATTAGATTCCTCATTTTATTCTACGCATAAGGGAAAATAAATTTGCACTAGAACTTGTTTAAATCCATTTTTAGGATCGCTTCGACTACTACCACTGACTCGAAAGGAGGAAACGAAAAATACTCACAATTTCATCCGGTGATAGAAGGCTAAATTGGAATGTCTTAACACTTCGGAGAGGTGCCTTCGAATTGTCAGATCTCATTTTGCGCAGAATTTAATTCTTCTTTCTCTTCGATAACGCAATAACACTTTATAAATCTTTTTAGAAAGTCTCCCCCATTCAGTGACCAAGATTTAGATTTTCTTTCCGATGAAAAATTTGTTTTGATAACACGACTGATAATAGGATAATTTCGAGGTTACGATGTGTTCTTCCCCGAGTAACCGGCACTCACGGTTTTCGATTCATCCCGCTAATTTTGAGCCGCCAAAAACTATGCCAGGGAATCTACAGGAATCCGCACTCTCACAGGTGAAATAACACAAAAAACTTCCACCGACGCAAAACGAATCGAATAACCTCCATCACTACTATTTCCTACATCCTACGAAGTATCTTATCGAAGCGGTTTCTTCTTGCTAAATAAGCAACTTCTCTTTGTTTCATATTTCAATTCGTACAAAGGATTTACGCTTCTACCGCGCACCACGTGATTGGTCGGCTTCAGCTGGCTCCAAGGGAAAGGACCAATCGCGTGCGCCAACGGAAATTGGCGCGACCCTTTGAAGTGACTACCCCTATTCCAGAAGGCGGGAAATTAAAAACAAAATCATAGTCTTAGGCACTTGACATTATAGTTTCTTTTCTATTTAATAGTATCATTTTAAGTGACGATTACACGTGTGTTCTTTTTCAGTCCCTGGATAAGCTGTTATCGAGGTGTAAATACGGCAGATCCTAAATCGGCCGTCATTAAATCAAAGCTAAATGGCGCAGGTCTGCGTCATAAACATTCCCGAAGGAGCTCGGGGATCTAACCCAAGCCATGGCCGATAAACGGCGACTTTGCCGAGGAAGGTGGGCCCTCCGTCAAGTGGAGGACCGTCTGCATCCGATAACACCTTCGGCGGCGACTTTCGAGGCCGGTCAGAGATTGGTCGCTATTTGGAGAGCCGAGAGGAACCTTCCCGAGGAGGAGCTCGAGTGCGTCTCGAAGAGGTAGTACGTGTTCCGGCGAGCAGTAAAGTTCCCCTGAATTTCCCCGCCATTTACGAGTTCCGCGACTCACGCATTAATTACATTAACAACCGACATAAAGTTTCCTTGATTTTCGAGGTACGCGAAGAGGCGCCTCCAAGGTCGAGGATGACCAGAGGGCGAAGTCTTATCATCCCCACCGAATCCGAGGTCGCAGTGCCATGAAGACCTCTCTCTGGAACTGGTTCCTCCTCTTCACCAGCTCCCTCTTTGTCTTCTCTCTATGGCGCTCAGGAATCCTCACGTGGTCCACGTCGACCGTCCTGGCGAAGGCCTCGATAGAGGTGGACCTCTCGTTGCCATCGGCACCTATCCCTTCTCAACGCGTCTTCAACAAGACCTCTAAAAAGTACCGACCTCGAAGAAAGCACCACCATGCAGGTTCAAAGTACATGCTGCGGCTTTACCGTCATCGCCAGGGCGAGAACTACGACATAGTCCGAGCCCTAGAGCCAGTGCACGTATCCTGCCCCATCTTCGAGGGCCAGGGCAGGATCCTGGAGTTCTCCATCCCAAATTCCAAGCCCGGGGAGTTCCTCCAAACGGCGGAGCTCCTAGGAACCGCCGGCACCATCTTCAGAGTGAGCTCCATGGACGAGGTGGCTAAAAAACGGGTCCAGAGGTCCAGAAGAGACGACCACTGGAGAGCATTCGACGTTACCTGGGCAGTGGCCACGAGGAACGGCGACCTGGTGCGCCTCTTGGTGTTGGGTAAGGTCAGGGCTCGTCGCCAGGACGGGGAAGGTCCGATCCTCCTTCTGGGATACAGCAAACCGGGGAAGAGAGCGCCCAGGTCGGTCCCCGAAGAGGACCAGGAAGAGGTCGGCGTCGTCTCCTGGGAGGAGGAGCATGGAAGACGACGTCGAAGGAACGCTTGTCGACGTCGTCCTCTCTACGTGGACTTCGCCATGATCGCTTACGATGACTGGGTCGTCGCGCCTCCAGGGTACGAGGCTTATCAGTGCTCTGGGAAGTGCTTCTACCCCTTCGGGGACCATTTAAGTCCCACCAAACACGCAATTGTGCAGACTTTGGTACACGGGGCCCTTCAGGGTGGTAATCCGGGGACCTCGGGACGACCCGTTGGAAGGGCTTGTTGCGTGCCCACCAGGTTGGCTCCCACCAGCTTGCTCTACCTCGACGCAAGTGGCACCCTGACTTATCAGTACGGGTACGAGGACATGGTCGTGGCAGAATGCGGATGCCGATAGTTTCTTTTAGATTTTAGAGTCCTAGGGTCTCGTTTACTGTCGAGGAGAGGAGATATTTAACATTTGTTCGGCTATTTACAGACCTGGTGCCGACTTCAGGGTTCACCTCGTAATGGCGTTGTCGACTCCCCGATAAGGGCGCTACTTTTGTGTCTCGCAAAATTCCTCGTTAAAACAGGACTCTACGGAGTTTATGGTACATATACAACACCCGCTGTGCGGTGACGCTTTGATATTAATCATACAAAGTGTAAAAAATAATTACACGCACACATACACACACACCGAGCATGTAACGTTCGCCGTTAATGTCGGAATCTGCAATCGCCGGCAACTGTAGTGGACCCTTCGACCGGGGTGTATGTTACAAAAGTGTAAAACCCTAAAAAATAGGAGAGAAGAGATTCGTCGTCAAGATCGGAGTGTGTATGTTACAAAAGTGTGAAACGTTCCCACGTGACGTTCGTCAAGATTGGAACATCCAGTTCCTAGCAACACTCTGGGTATCGACGTGTACGTTACAAAAGTGCAATGACAACGAGTTGCATCGAGTCACACGTTCGCATTCATCCACATCAGCCCTTAGGTTAAGCGCGATATAGTACATGTAACTGTATTACGCTCTACAATTACTGTACACGGCGCATGCGCGCTTCTAGGAGTCCCATGGTCGAAAAAGACCATTAAGTGTCGTAAAACCTAAGGATGTCGCGAAGAGAGCGTCGCCAATCGTTAGCTGAAGAGTCTGGAGCACATCTCGTTGTTCTTCTTGTTGAGGAGGTACGACCTGGCCGGCGACGCCATCCTGGAGCGACGCACCTTTCTGAGTCGGTGCCTGCTCCCGGGGATCCTCTCCACCTTGTAGACGCGATGTCTGACGATGGTCTCAGGTTGGGTGAGCTTCATGCAAATGGCGAAATTAGCTCCAGAGAAGTCGACGTCGGTGGCCAGGAGGAGCTTCGGCTCCGTGGTCAGGGTGAACTCGGCGGTGCTGTGGACGAACCTGGAGCGCACCTTGGTGCCGCCCCTGACGGCGACGCCAGCGCCGGTTTCGACGAGGGATTGAGAGGTCCTGGACCAGAGGCTGAGCTGGATCTGGCCGGACAGATCGAAGCTGGTAGCGCCCTCGACCTCCACCTCGGCTAGGAAGCCCGCCGCCAAGGGGACCACCTCCTTGTACCGATGCAGCCCCGCCAAAGCCTGGAACGCCGGAGTCCTCTCCGAGGCGGTTCCCGACCACACGTGCCCCATCAACTCGCCCTGACCCGAGAAGAAGACGAAGGGCCTCACCCCGACCCCCAGCAAAGCGATCTCCATCCCAGCAGTGACGACCTCGTCCTCGACTTCATCCTCCGTGTCCAGAGAAATCGAAACCAGCGCCCCTCTCGCGAAGTACCCCAAGGAGAAGAGCCTTTGCTTCTCCTGGTTAGTCTCGAAGACGACGTCGACGATTCCCTGTTTCAGCAGGCCTGCGTTGATCTCCTGGACCGTGACCAGGGAGCCGTTGCTCCCAGGGGACCGAAGGAAGGTCCTGGTGAACGCAGTGCTGAGACCTTTGAGAGCCAGGACGTTGTAGTTCCCGATGCGACCGAACTCGGCCTTGTAGGCTTCCCGAAGAAGGGCGGAGAACCTGGGGCACTCTTCCGCTATCTGGTCCATCCTCTGGGTGAGGTACTTCCTGACCTCGTAGGCCTTATCCAGGAGGGATAGGTACTGAAGAAGACCTCGGATGTCCTCTAGACTAGGATCTGACTCCAGGATGATATCCAGGGCCTGGGTGCGCACGGTGCTGTCTCTTCGGGGTCCGATCTGATAGAAAGCCCTCGCAGCCGCGCGCTTCACCTCCTGGGTAACCTGGGTTCGAGGTAGAGCGTTTAAGGCTCGCCAAGCTGCGATGCCGATGGCCTTGCTGCCGTTCACCGCGTGCTCCAGCAAGGTCGGGATGGCCTCTTTGCTCTTCAGGTTCCTCAGCGCCCGGAGGAACTTTAATTTGCAGTCTTCCCCGGTGCAGCTCTCTAGACCTAGTTCCAGACTATGGCGGGTTTTCTCGACCAGGGTGGGATTTCCGTGGCGACGCGCCATCGCGGCTGCCGTTAGGGCCAGGGTCTCGGAGACCTTCTCGTTACCGATGGTCTCTTCGGATCTCTTCAGCACGTCCTTCGCTATGTCGGGGTTCGGGTCTGTGGACATGGAGAGGGCCCAGAGGTACCTCTCGGTGTCGCCTCCGTCCTCGTCTTGCCTCAGGATCTTCTTCGCAGCCTGGTGAGCTGCAGCCGTCGACGCCGAGCCTAAAATGTTGCAGAGCTGAGGCTTGATCTGCCTGTTACGTGGACTCTTCAGCAACTTAGACAGGTCTTCTGCTCGGGCTTCTCTGACTAGGGGGACGAGGTCCAGGAACGCCAACGCCGACTTGACGGTGCCCAGGTTGGAGTTCTCCAAGGCCTCCCGTTTCTCTTCCACCACCTCTTCCAACTATTGAGAAATTATAAATTATAAATTAAAAATAACAAGTCATAAGTACAGAATAAATTCATAACGAAAATTAAAAATGAAAAGTCAATTATATTAAAAAACACTCCAAAAAAATTAATTACTGGAACCGTATCGCAATCTGCGTTTTGATCCCTATCGTCATGTTCTGCACGACTTGCATTGCCAGCGGTACAATGAAATATAAAGGAAATAATTACCGGGATAATTACAATTATCTGAATTACGTATTCGTTGCACTTTTCTGTGATCTTGATTTTCTGACGCGGATACGACGTAATTTATAATATTGACACGTGGAATTGCAACGTACCAAAGGACACGCGGAATTGACGCAACCTACCGAAGGACACGCGGAATCAACGCAAGCAGCAGGTTCCATCTGCAGGCTCAGAGAATCTTCCTTATACTCTGGTTCCATCAAGAAAACGGCATCTCTCAGGGTTTTAGCCTGCACCGGGTTGAGTTCGACGGTGTCAGGAAGTCGTTCCAGCACTCTGTCCGATTCTACGGTGGTGCCGACATCCGGGTTGGCCACCAGGACCATCTCGTGAAGTTCCTGGTCATACACCGCCGAAGGAAGCAACGACTGAGACAACTCGTACGTGGAGTTTCGCTGACTTCTGAGTTTGACCCCGAATGCAGGATTCTTCTGCTCGTTCCTCGGCGGTAGCCCGTTCTCCACGCAGTTCCTCTTCTGCTTCAGGATGTTCCTCAGCCCTAGAGTGGTGTAGCTGACGTCGCAGAGCCCCGAAGAGTCCCTTTCCTGGACCTCCTCGTCGAGGGTCCTGTACTGGAAGAGGCTGGCGAGTCCTCGCTTCAGGTTCAGAGAAGATACGCTTTCCAAAGGGTTCAGATACACCGCCTTGACCTCTCCGTGTTTCCAGACGACGAGGATCCTCTCCTTGGAGACCTCGTCCAGTCTGGAGGAGTGCTCGACGAAGCCTTCCGGTTCCGGGGCTTTCCTCGATTTTATCCACAGCTGCGGCGAGTACACCTGAAAGAAGAGTAACTTCGTGATAAGCCGTTGATAAGGAGCCTCCGAAACTGCACGGAGATTGCCGCGGTCTTGTCAGGCTCGCTCGACGATATATATTGACTTATCCGTGGAACAGAGGTTATCGCATCCTGGCGACCTTGAGTTATTAATACAACCAGGTCTCGGACGGTTTCGAGATTCCCTCGACAGCCTACGACGAGGAGAGGAACTACGGAGCGTTAAGAATTATACAACATCCTGGTGCAACCTATTCCGCCAGGTAGACTCTTTATCATTCACCTCGCGACTATCAGCAATGTGCAGTTACCTATGAATAACGTGATTGGTCCCTGCAGTCCATATGCAAATATCGGTACGACGTCGCTTAAAAAATTTCTTACATACCAGAGAAGGAAACACCAGGTCACTCGAGTCCATTTAAAGTATAAATGCAATAACCGCTTCAGGAAGACGTTATCCAGGTCCTTGAAGTCTCAAAGGACTAATTAAAAAATTCCAGGCTGCTCAAGGGTTCCTCTCCAGTACTTGGGAAATTTCTTAGGATGTTCATATGCAATGTCGTGAAAAATTTCTTGCATACCAGAAAAGGAAACACCAGGTCACCCGAGTCCATTTAAAGTATAAATGCAATAACCGCTTCAGGAAGACGTTATCCAGGTCCTTGAAGTCTCAAAGGACTAATTAAAAAATTCCAGGCTGCTCAAGGGTTCCTCTCCAGTACTTGGGAAATTTCTCAGGGCGTTCATGTGTAACGTCGAGGAAGTTCCTGAAGGATTACCTGCAGGTTCAGGAGGAAGGTGTCCGGGTCTTTGGGGTCCTGCCAGACGGCGGTGGCCGTCAGCTCTCCGGTCACCCTGAAGCCGACGTCGCCGCCCATCCTGGGAGGACCGGCTTCCCTGAAGAGCACGGTGGTCCTCAGCCGGTACTTGTAGCCGCTTCCCAGGTCCCAGCCTCTGGTCGCCCCGGCCGCGGCTGCGGCCAAACACAAAAGCCAATGAACCGGAGTCATTATACAATTGAGAGGTCCCCGAGGAGCGAGAGACAAGAGCGAGACACGAGAGCCGACCGACCACGAGCGGCGACCGAGCCGGTAGTGGTCGCTTCCTCGACAGACTCGCAGCGTGGACGACCACGAAGAGGATGTGTTGGGTACTCATACCGACATCGAGTCGTAATACGTACACGGGCACCGTTAATCCTCCACGAGGAAGCCCAAGTTACATGAAAACGCTCCGAAAGAGTCGGCTATCGTTCCTCGCTCGTTACGGTGCTTACGCGTTAATTGCCCCTAAACATTATCCTAATGTTAAGGGGATGTGAAAGTGGCATCCGAAAGCTGAATCGTTCATAAAACCTTTCATAGAACTGGGGGTCTCAAATCGTTTCATACTTTAAAACGTGAATACGGAGACTCTAAGGTAGGTCCTGAAACTCGCGAAATTTCATTTTTTATAAATTATTTTTAAAATACCTATAAACAAATTGGAAAGAATTGAAATTTCATGAGTTTCAGGACCTTCCTTATAGTCTCCCTGTTCACGTTGTAAAGTTTCAAACTATTCGGTGAACCGAGTTGGGAGAAAAGTTTTATAAACAATACCTCTTCGACGCCACTTTCACATCACCTTAAATTGTCACGAAACTGCCCTCGCTAATGAAACCTAGATCGCATATACCGACGCGCAGTTTAACGAAATCTTGTCAAATTTCCCTAGATTATTATTTATCAACATGGAAGCCCCGAGGAAGGTCCTGCACTGAGATAAAGAAAGAATATGCAACGAGCCGAAAGAATATGCAATCAGCCGAAATAATGCTTCGTTAATTCCAAGGCTGATTGTTCCACTAAAATGAATTGTCATAGTACCGGATAAATGTTGCATACATTATATCCCAGATTATTATAGATAAATAATCGAAAAATTGGCGTTTACTTAAATTACTTGCAATATTTCTTATTTCTCTCAGAGCGGCTATTTCATTCCTGATAAACTTGTTTATAAACGTTTGAGAGGTCTCGTGGCGTCGGAAAGAAATTTCATGGAGGTAGGAGGAAGACGTGAGAATAAAAATCTACGTGGCTTCGACAAATCGGTATAGAGTGGAATATCATCGCCGGGACGTTTTCAACTGCGCAGAATCGGAACGACGACACGGTCGACGATCGTCTCGCCCGTTTCCGGTGACGTTCTAAACTGGAGAAACGAGCTGGAGGGCAAACTATTTTCCATCCTTTTCGGAGCGCCTTCGGAGTTCGATCAACGGCTTGTAGCAGGGACTCTCGGTCTCGACGAACGGCTCGGATTCCATCCTAATCTTCTTCCTGCCGCTCCGATAATAATACTTTATCGTCACTTATTATTTAAACCGTGAACTCCCCTCGGAGTTATCTTAGAGCCCTTCTCAACGAATGACAATGTCCTCTCTTAACGATTCCTGCATACTCCCTCTTCTTAAAGCCTCGGCAAATTGATTTTGCGATCGACAATCGAGAGATTCTCAGGTAACATGCTACCGACCACCTGGAGGAGGATGCCAATTACCTGGAGCCATTTGACAATGTGAACCTGAAAAATCGAAAAGAACGTTAAATGAAGTTGAAACGTTGCAGTTATATATATATATATTTTTTCTTTTATCAAAGTGATAAATAATAAAAAATATTATACACGTGACGATTGACTTCTACACTCTGATAAAAATCCCTGGAAATTTGTGTACACCTCGTACCTGAAGTTTCCCGTAGAAAGACGTTAAAAAAAAGTGACATTGTATGTTTACCGTATTAACATATTTTTTGTGAGATATTACAGAGACTGTAATTTCATTGGAATTTATTGCAGCATCGAAATAAGAAATGGTTGTAAATTCACGTGAGCATTTTGATCAGTGTGTGGAAATTCAAGGAATCGAAGGAAATCTTATTTCTGTCGGAAGTTCTCTCGCTTGTAACTGCTTAGCTGTTTCTAAAATATCGCGGTTTCTAGGAGAACTTGGGTACCAATGTTTCCATAATATTTTCCGAGTACTATCGCTCAATAGAGGACAATAAGCCGGCCCCTCGCGTCACGTCTGCCCCCGCCAATTGCCGGCTACTTATTATTACGAGCTAAAGTCACGGTGGGAATCCGTCGACCACGTGGAGAGAGCGAAGGTGCGAAAGCCGGCTGGAAACGTCACCGTCTCTTAAATAACGGAAATAAACTCTTAAAAATCATTCTCACACACTTTGCAACAACCTAATCCAAGAATTCCCATATTTTTCGTATTTTTTTCGTTACCACTTTTTTAATCGAATTTAAACAATCGCGATTGAAGAAATTCCTCCAAAAAGAATACTTCTACAGAAAGTCATTATTTTAGAATGAATATAAACGGTAATAAGAAAATGTGCTGAATTTTCCTTTACGCTCCTATTTGTTGTTGAATTTAAATATCTGTGCTTTTAGGAGGGAAATAGTTGTACAGGGAGTAATTTAAGGATTTAATAATGACTCGAGGTAATTGGGAATTCTTCGGTTGGATTTCAATCGGTCTTGGGAAGGTTCTCACGAAGGGCGAGAGATTCTCAACTCACCGAAGAGCGAGAGATTCTCAACTCACCGAAGAGCGCCAGGAGGTAGACGAGCGGCAGGAGACGCGGGGCGGCCATCCCGCCGTCGCAGGTCGTCCCCGAGGATGCCGAGCGACGTCGGCGGACTGCTCGAGTTCCGCCGCTCTGCGACCAGAGACGAATAATTAGCTACGGGTCCGTATCATCGTGCCCGAGGGCTCGGGGCGCCTCGGCGACCGACTCGACGCCGGTCTGGAGGGGGGATGTTTGCGCCACGCGTGGGGGACGCCGTCGCGGCGACACGCTCGCAAATCGTCACCGACCCTCGCCGCCGCGCCCGGTTTTACCTTTCTTCGTTTCCGTGGTACTTTGCCTCGGGAGTACTGTAGAATTCTCGGTATCCTTCGCTTAGAGGCGGCCCACGTGATCGGGGAGATGACAGGGCGGGAGCCGCGGATTCAAATTTGGCGCGCGCGGTGTCATCTAGCGGAGACGCGCCGAACCCGGTCGCGCTGCCAGCATGTGATCTTCGCGCGATATTTAAATCTTTGAATGTTTCAAATGGGAATTCTGCCCGCCCGTTTTCGAATGCAGTGCGATTTAAAGACATAAAATTAGAAAAACTTGAAATAAATCACCGGATGAAAGATCTCGCGCATTGGTGGAGTTGTTTAGGAACTCTGAAGGTCTTTGCCAACTATATCTCATTTGGATGATAATTCATTTACACCCGCTTATCGTTCACTTATTATTTACGTTCGGCCGTGTTATTCAAAAGAAGGCATGCATTAATTCTGTTAGTGTCTGTTCGTTAACGCTATCTATGTAAATTGAGGAAAACATTATGATGTTATATTCTTGTGTAAAAAAAAAAAAGGCTGGATCATGCTTCGATTTCTCTAACGTCGTTTTTGGAAATCTATTTCCTTCACTCGACAGGATAGTATCTTTTTTCTATTAAAGATGATTTGAGTAGATTGTTTAATAAGGTGTTAGATTGGTTAAGTGAGGCGATTCTTACTATTGACTTCTTCAGCGGGAGAGTATCCCGGTAGCGGCTACGATGTAGGAAGCGACGCGGAAGACTCACTAAAGAAAGGACACGAAGAGCCAAGAATGTCTCGACTTTAGATATTCTAGAAACAGCATTTTGTTATCGTTCATCGCGACCTTTGCCCTGTAAGCGATTGAACGACCCCACAATCTTGTTACTCATCGGGTCTCAAGAGCGTTCTCTCGCACAGGTCAGCGGTCGATCCTCCATAAATCTCTCCTCGGTGCAGAAATCTAGAATTGATAAAATTCAATGACGCGTTTAGGTATCACCTAACTTTGCGGCATCGGCTTATCGATGTTTGTTGATTAAATTACATCTTAATTGTCACTTTAAAAAAATGTCGAGTAGAGACAGAACGAAGATTTGATTCTGGCGCCATCCATGATGGCGCTAGGTGAAAACAAGATGGCCGCCTCCAGGCTGCGACATGCCACTGCGTGCCGCGTTATTTACAAATAGTTTAGAAAGTGTGAAATTCATTTTCGTTTTCTTTTTTGTTAAAAGGAAAGCTTAAGAATTCAGGTATTTTATTTGCTACCATGGATGATGAATTCCCTGATCCTGATGAAGAATATGATCTGTTACACGAAGACGATTACGATGTATTGAGGGAATTGGATGGTAAGCGATATAACCTCCAAATATGTACTATTATTCAGAATTATCCCACATTTATAGGAATAAAATTAGAAATAGTACTTGTTATCGAATTTAAATAGCCCTTTTTTTAATTGACAATTTGTGTGTTTTTCTGTAGTAATTCCTGAATTATGTTTTATTGCAGGGGATCGCAAAGAAACTAGTTCAGTTAGCAATACTCTAAAACCTATTGACAGTTCCTTAAAAACTGTCCAGAATCAACTATCGGTACCTTTAGAACTAGAGAATTCACAGAAATCTACAGTCTACGTACCATCTAGTCAAAATGAAATTAGCTACAATGGAGCTGGAGGAAAAAAGAGAAGCTTCAATGAATTATGTTCGGAAACAGCTCATCTACTCGGACAGGATGTTAGCGTTTTTGGTAAGTTTTTTTTGGTAGTATGGTTAGTAAAAAAATTAATATTATTTGGGCATTACGTCTTTAAACAATTCTGTGATTTAGAGAATGATGCAGGACATCAAGAGAAAAGACCCAGATGGGATTCCGAGGATTCAGTTATCAAAGTAATTCTTGCTGCTAAGCAGATGCTTCATGAAGCATCACATAAGCCTTATCGTACATCTTTAAATGATAAAAAGACTAATTCCATTTCATTGAGAGTACCATCATGGAATTTTGTAGCTGTTACTCGAAGGTTCGATTCTCAACGATTGTACATAAAAGTTAGGGATGAAAATAATGACATTAAAATCAGTGCTCGTCCAATAGTGGGCCTCACTTTGATCCCTTACAGCCGATTAAAGGCTGAAGCAGAGGAAATTGTAAGTATTTTAACTGTAAAATGTAGTTAAACACATATTTTTAACTTCATTTTTGGACTGCAGTTGACAAAGATAAACAGCCGTTTGGAAATTCCACAAATTGTGCCCAATAATCACATATATGCTGACGATCAACTCTGGGTTGAAAAATATAAGCCACATAAATACATGGAGCTTCTTTCGGATGAGAGCGTCAATCGCGACTTTCTGCATTGGCTGAAGTTATGGGATAAAATAGTATTTAATCGGGATCCAGTGGAGCCTCATAAAGTTAAACAAGAGCCACCCACCTTTGGTAGTAAGAAATTTGATCGTAATAAGTCAATCGAAGGCTTGGACAGTGATGGTTTCCCTATACACCGAATTGCCTTGATAAGTGGCCCGCCAGGATTAGGAAAAACTACTCTAGCTCACATAGCTGCGAAGCATGCAGGATATAATGTTGTTGAAATGAATGCTAGTGACGACAGAGGACCCGAGGCTTTTAGGTGAGGTTATACCTGAGAAATTAAACAAATTTCTTATTAAATTGTGATGTTTTATACTGTTATCATTAAATCAGAACTGCCCTTCTTGCATCCACACAAATGAAAGCAGTCATGGGTGCCGATCCAAGACCAAATTGCCTAGTTCTAGATGAGATCGATGGAGCTCCTGCAGCATCGATAGATATTCTAATAAAATTTGTCCAAGGAAAACTATCTGCAAGAGGTAAAAGAAGGACCGGCAGTGAACGAAACGTCAAAGGTTGTCGAAGACCTATCGTTTGCATATGTAACGAGCTTTACACTCCCTCCTTAAGGTGATCGCTGCTGTCAATTATTAAAATACCAAGCAAACCAAAATAATGTAAATAATATATTTATATCTATGACTGTATTTTTTAGAGCTCTGAGACAATTTGCATATGTAATAGCAGTCCCTGAGATCAGTGTCGAACAGTTAGCAGAACGTTTAATGGAAATAGTGCAAAAGGAGGGAATCGAAGCTAGCGAAGGTGCTCTGCTACAGCTAGCGGAGAAGTCTGGCTGTGACATTAGAGCTTGTCTCGGAGTACTCCAATTCTCAGGGTCTGGTAAATTCACCGAAAGCTCTATGACAGCTATTAAAGATGTTAAGAAAGGTTTGTTTGATGCCATGAAAGAAATCCTCAAGATTCCATACCACTCGACTGGTCCACTTCCCATTCGTGAAAGAGTCAACAACGTGTTAAAAACAGTAGCCAGTAGTGAGTATATTTTGCATCTCGATAAAAGTGTCGAATACTTGAAAAGCAGTTGTCATTGTTCATCGATCTCTATTCAGGCGAGTCAGATCGATTGGCTCAAGGTATTTTCCACAACTATCTGGCTGTATCTGCAGACAAGCTATTCATCGTATCAGGGTCTCTGAACTGGTTCCGGTTCATCGATGAGATCTCATCGATGGTGATGAGTCGACAAACCTGGTCACTCATGCCCTACCTCAACTACGCATTTGTCTATTGGCACCTGAACCTCGCGGTTGCCAAGACTCCAAAATTATCATTTCCTTTCGTTGTCATAGAGGTAATTCATTTGCAGTGCACTGATAATTCTCACACCCTCGAAACACCCTTATCAAGTAACTCGATAGACTCTTACGTCAAGTACATATACATATATCGATTTAAAAGTCACCTACACCGAACCTCCTTTCCCAGAAAACCCAGATACGTCGTTGAACTAAAAAAGTGTGAAGACAAAAAATCAGCAGAAAAGCGTTCTCAGTGGGCGATACGTCGCAGGATAGAGTCTCACGCCGTCGAAAAATCAACTTACACGATCACTAGAACCCGGAGAACCCAGAAGCATAGTCGAACTAAAAAAGTGTGACGGCAGAGGAGCCTTCCGAGCGGGCGATACGTCGCAGGTTCCTGGAGGCGGGCGGGGAGAACTCGAAGCTGGAAACCGTGGCGGGCTGTAAATAATCATAACTCAGAGAGACATTTGTAACGCCGGGGCAGGGTTGTATTTATCGGTGTTGTTGGACGGTTAGTTGCAGCAATAACGGTAATGGTCGGGCCGGGGTTGGCCGCTCCGGCAGGGAGGGCCGGAGAGGCCGCCTCTTGCCGGGCGATTTATCCTCGGGTAATTAGCACGGGTAATAATTAATGCCGCCGCGCATTGTGCTAATTATCAGCGGAGAACCTTTTAAGAAATGAAAGAACATTCGAAATAAAACAAAGCCGAGCGCGGGGGGGCTTGTTTGCTCGGGGAGGCGAACGTGGGAGCAAACGCGAGGCGAAAACGCGGCCGCGTATATGCCCTGGCGAATCTATACGCGCTCTTCGAGCTCTCGCGCACCCGAGCCAACCAGCCATCCATCAGGGTGCTTTTGTCGCCCTAATGAGAGCTTGAATTATTCACCTTAGGGAGCCCCGCCCGGCTCCGCCCGTTGCTTACTCTCTGCAAACTTAAGAGTCTTCATGCCGTACCTGCTACTTCTATCTGTGACTTAAAGTCGCCAGGAGCCGCCGATCCTACCCCGTGCTTACGTTTCTTCGGCTGATTTTTAGATCTTGAGGTTCTCCTTGATACCCTTCCATGTCGACCTGGATCCACCACCTAGGAGATAAAGCATAAATTCTATAAATTATCCAGAGGGGGTGAACCCATGTTTTTCGGTGCCTTATAATTTCTTAAAAGGAGACTATATTTCAATTTGGTGAATCTTTGGTCAGAATTGAGGAAACTTTTTTTTTTCGACCTGTATTTTTTGGGATTTTTTGGGAAAAGTTGTGCGAAAGTTAGGTACGAGGCGACCTCGATTTTTTTCTTTTATTATATCTTGGACCTGTATTCCATGATTTTATGAAAACGTGTAGGTAGATTGTCACGTAGAAAATCCGTACGAGTCGCCCTCGATTTTTGACTCGGTTTCGGAAAAGCCCTCGGATCGATGTTACACGAGTATCGCGACGAGCCCCAGGAAGCGTCTATGCAAAGCTCATTTCCGCCGAGGTAATTGCACTATGCTATCGCGGAACTTACCTTTTTGTCCCGGCGGATTCTCGCCGGAATGAGTTTTATTCAGGTCCCCGGCATTCAGGGGACCTTCTCATTTTTCCTCCCCCGAGGCGGCCGGATAAGTCGATAAGGCAGCGAGAACCCACTCCCGGCCTATTTTCTAAAATAGATCCCTTTATGTGGAGTCTAACCCGAGCTTATTCTTCCACAGGTGAACCAGAAGCTGGCCAAAAATAAGGGTACCCTGGAATCGTCCCAACGAGCCTCTGGATTCGACATTTTGACCCTCACTCTAGACATCGCTCCCTTCTTGCCGGTCCTCCTCGCCCCGAAGTTGAGGTCCGTCGCCGGTCAGCTCTTCTCCAACGTGGAAAAGGACGACCTGGCTCGTCTCGTCAACTCGATGCTGGACCTGGGGCTCAGCTTGGTCCAGGAGAGGGCCGTCGATGGGAAATACGAGTACCGGCTCGAGCCGTAAGCGTCCTGGATCAAGCTTTCAAGATTTCTCTTGGAAGGATGAGAAGGAAAATCCCAGAGAAAATTTAACGAACGGTGGAAGAATTCCTACCCTCGAAATTCAGGACCACAACGTGCTGAATTTCTTTATTTCTCCTTTACCTTTTGAATTCTTGCGGGGTACTTGGGGGAAGGCTCGAAGTTACGGGGGCTTTTTGAGCTTATCGTGATCCGATGCAATTTTTGTAACTCTGGTGGATTTTATTTTTCCTTCTCGGATTTGGTACATACAGTTACAAGAGATTACTCTGAATTACTCTGTATTGTATGGTTTCAGAAATCTTATAGAGATCGGCTCTTTCCCTGAGTGCAAAGTGCGCAGAACCCTGCCGTACCCCGTGCAACAGATCGTCGCCCAGGAATTGGAAATCCAGCGTCTCAGACGCAACGAAATGGAAAATGCGGTTTTCGAAAAGAAGTACCGAGCGAATATCAAAACTAAGCAGGAGAGCGAGAAGCTCCAGGAACCTCGAAAATCAGAGCCGAAGCCTACAGAAATTCAGACCTCTCCGGATGTCCCGAATCACCTGAAGAAGCTGAAGCCCATCGTGCCCGATGAAACTTCCCCTGGGAAGGTGAATCCTTTCGTAATTAAAAAATATCCCTTCGCTGATAAAAATCGCTGGAAATTTACATACACTTTGACACACTCACATCTCATGTTTTATCGCGGTACCAAAATAACGATCGAGTACGTAAGTTTCACTTGGGGATTTTTATCAGGGTTGAAGAGATTTTTTTTCTCGAAAAATTAACAGGCTACCCTATCGCGGAGTTTCGATTTTCCGTTCCACTTCGTGACCTCGTTCATACGAAACGTGGTTGCCGAAAATCAAAACGTCGCTAGGGTGGCGTCAACTCGTCGAGGTTACGCAGGATCGATCATCCTAGACGTGCAATTCCTTACCGTCAACCTCCTGGTGCGCATCCTCATCGAGAGCCCATCGTTCACAGAGCGACGGGGGTTTAATCGGGATTAATCGCTGAGGGACATGCTCGGAAGTGTCGCCTCGTTCGATCATAGGCGAGTAATTCCGAGTTTCCACTCGGGGAAGGAGCGACACGGCCTTATCGCCCGTTTCCCTCGATCCATGCCCTCGCCGCTCGTAATTTCGCATTTCCACTCCAGGGTGAACAAAGACGCCTTCCCGTCTCCCGTCGCGGCCGCTGATTGGCCGCCCCCCACTCGGGCGGGCGAGCGGCGCGCTGATTGGCCGAGCGGCCGTGACGTCACGTGGGCTCGGGCCAATGGGAGGGCGCCACCGGAAGCGACTCCCGGGAGCGATCTCGCGGCCGATCGCCTCGGAAAAGCGTATCTCCCGGTCGATCGAACCCGCGGTACTTATCGAGGAGTCGCGCGAGAGAATTGCGGGAACTCCTCTATTTTCCATCCGATCGGCGAGTGGGAGGAGAGAAATAATGCCGGGGCAGACCGAGAGGACAGGAACGGAGGGGAAGAAGAGAGGAGAAAGGTTAGGTTGGGTCGAAAGGCGGACGAGCTGCTACATCCGCAAGGCTATTATAACCGCTCGAGCGAATCTCTATTAAAACGTGTTTACACTGGCTTAGGGGTTGACTCGGGCCACCCCTCGCCGCTCTCGCCGCGCCCCTAACCTCACTTTCTCCCTTCCCCCGCGCCCTATACATATATACACGGAGTAATGCCTATCTAATTGTCGCTTGTATGAATAGTGAATCCCGCAGCACTCGAGGCTACACAAGGGGGAGCCATATGAGCTAATCTATATTATGATAGCCCGACCAGCCGGGCTCCCTGCGAAGGTCGGGTAACCGGCTCAGCCGAGTTGATGAACTCGTCCCGAGAGGGGTGACGTCGATTTTTTTTACCACCCGACAAATCTTCCGACTGGCCTCTCCCCTCTAACCCCGTTTTCCATATTCCTACCCTGAACATCTCGCGATGCAGTCCCCGTGATAACGTCTCGTTCCTTTTCCCATTACGGCTTGTTTTCAACATCTCTGGATGATTTCCCCCAGAATGATCCTTTGTTCCCGTGCGATTTCGCGATCTGCACCCTCTTTGGACCGTGCTTCATCGTTCATTGCGTTTTAACTGCCGCAGTTACCGAACGCGAGACCCAAGATGGCGGATGCCCTTCTCCAAAAATCAGTTTAACAGTGCGTTCTTGTATTCCAAGACACGCGGTAACCCGAAGAATGGAGCAGGTCGGCCCGCGGCTGTAAGTCCTTTATCGGGTCGATTTACGGGGCGGACTAATTTGTTGGCGGGCGGAACCGGGTACCGCCATGGGCGGAGAAGACGATCCGCGTCTTCGGCGCTCCTTTTAACTTCCGGTTAAGGATGGAGAGGACCTCCAGTTAGCAGGAACGCTCGCTAATAGCGGCTACATTAGGGGCTCTTTCGAGTCCGTCCGCCCGGGCGGAACGGGCGGACGCGTGTCCCCTCGCCCTCCTCGTAACGTACGGAGTGTAATGTACACTTGTGTACCGTTAAGTCGAGGGTATGCGTCGGGGGCGCGTAATCGCAGGGGCGTCGCAAACGGGCGCCGCTCCGGGAGGGTCGGAATGGCGTCTTCCCGGCCGAGTAGAGGGGAGGAAAGGAGAGAAAAATCGAGAAAAAGAGCGGAAAGGGGACCCGGCACGAGGGGCGAGGCCGGGGAGGGCGTCGGGACGCCGGACGTCGCAATCTGGCCGGCCCGCCCCCGACGGCTCCGCTCTTATCCTCGACATCCGCTATTGTAATGGTAATGTCTCCGGTATGCGATCGACACCGTATCCGGCGACGGAGATTTCCACCTCGAGTGCCTCCCCGGGATTTACTGCCAGACTGTCTTTATCCGGGGTTTATGAATTTCCAGGTCTCTTTACCGTTTAACCCTCGTTTAGGGACGCGGTAATGCGCGATAATAACGGAAATACGGAAGAAACGGAACTGACGATGCCGGGAATGTAAAATAAATGTTTTTAGGGCTGGGATTATCGTTTATAGAGAAATAAGTCGTCGGTGGATGCATCGTTGAAGTAAAGAGACGCGGCGCGCGGTCGAGGCTCGTGTTCTTGCTGGAGACGCTTCCGCGACTCTTCATCTCGGGAGCACTGTTGTTTATTAGGGAAAGGGGTTTATTCATTGACTCGAGGTGCATTTCGTGTGTAATTCCGTAATGGCTCATCCCGTTGGAATTAACTTTGCCATTCTTCTCCAGGAACGGGATTTTTTCGGGCAGATCGTCCAGAGGGAGGATACGCTGCAGAATTCGGAACAGAAATTTGCGGAACCGCTCTTGGAAGGTGGATTTTGGTTCAACTACACCGAGGGCTTCAGCAACGCCGTCAGGCACGACGTTTTCATGGAAGACTTGCTCTGAAAGGGGTTCTATGGCACTTCCATAAAATCCAAACATCCTCGACATGATTTGTACAATACCCCACTAACGTGCATAACAAAAGGCTGTCGAAGCCCCGATTATTTTATCTTGAATATTGACATGTCCCGGAATATTATAAATATTTTCCGTGTACATAACGCAGGCGCTATGAATGTTCAATTGTCGCGAGCGAATGTATATTTCTTTGGTTCGATGTATTTTTTTTTTCTTTTTTTTTTCTGTCGAGTGGGAAATAAAAATCGCGTGTCGTTAGGTCGCGCCGTCTTCAAACTCTGACGAGCGTCGACTCCATGTTTATTTAATGACCTCCGGACACGCTTAACGTCCAAGGGGTCGACGGTAATGTAACGTAACGCAACGTAACTTAACAATAAGTCGGCGATACGTTTCCCGTGCCCGGCACGTGTCAGATTCTTGTCGGGATAAGAGAGACAAAAGCGACCGGTAATGCCGACTCGACTGGGATGCGAAGGGTCCTCTCGAGGGCGCCCCATAAACGCTTCCGGTTCCGCAGCGGAATCGCCTGTAATATGTCTGTCGAGTAGACAGCAAGCGAATCGCTTCGAGACCCTCTCGGCTAAATGACTTTACCGAAAAGAAACGAATGCTCCGTTTTATTTCCGACCATTACCGACGGTGCAAGAGATTCGGCCAGGATTTCGGAATTTGGAGATCGCTCGTATATCTTCTCTTTATATTGTCGACGAGTTAATTAGTTATGCCTATTATATAAATATTAATTATTAACGGGGAAGATAAGCGACCGACTTGAAATTTGACGAACCGCGTTGTGAATAGTCAGGGTATAGTGATATAGAGTAATCCAAATCCGCGGATTTCCATAATAAATGATTAATTGCGATTGGAGGAATTGGATTTGATTTAATTATTAATCGTAATATTCATTATTAACGGGAAAGATAAGCGACCGACTTGAAATTTGACGAACCGCGTTGTGAATAGTCAGGGTATAGTGATATAGAGTAATCCAAATCCGCGGATTTCCATAATAAATGATTAATTGCGATTGCAGGAATTGAATTTGACTTAATTATTAATCGTGAATATGAGTATTATCAACGGGGATCGAAATCCTTGAAAACGTGATCCGATGAACGAGCTAGGATTGCACTCTTGGTAATTAGAGCCAAACTTTCAATTTCCCTGCTAAATTATAATCTGCACGCGCATTAGCGACTGTGAAACGCTGTTAACCGAATAATCGCTAACTGGGGTGCAGGTAACGAATTTCCTCCGAAATGCTCGGGGAAAATCCGCAAAATATTTTCCTTTAATTCGAGGGCAGGGGTGAAGAGTTCACCGGGTATCCCGTAGCTTTCGGAAACGTGACTGGATGATTAGGTTTTCAGGAAAGTCAGCCAGTCGTGTCGGGCTTCTCTCTCAGGGGCGATTGTCGATAGACAAAATGACTCCCCGTCGCTCGCCACGTGGCCGAGGAGTTCGATGCACGTCCCGTCGGGGGGAAATGCGAATATTATCGCCGAAAGCGTCCCTAATGGAATTATAAATTCAATACCGCCCAGCGAACGCACCTGAGTCCGCAGGGCGGTCATGGTACGGATGGTACGGATGGTACGGATGGTACGGATGGTACGGATACTGCTTAGAGAAAAGTTTGATAAATATTTTCTCCTTCTGATGTACGGTTTCATATGTGCCCATAATTATGAAAATGGTCTGTCATATATTTTTTGTTTGGAAATTACATTGAATTAATTTCGTTTGAAATAATGTGGCGTGAAATAACTGATAAACTCATTTTTTTTTCAATTTTGACTTAGACCACTTTCATAAATATGGGCACATATCACCTTACGTTACCGTAACATGTTCGTATCACTCGAAGGTAAATTCTTGAGAATCTGAAAACCATGCGGATGGTATGGATGGTAATCGCCGTCGTAATAATTGTCCTGGTTTATGGAGTCAGTCCGATCGAGATAGTCGGCCCTTCTCCTGCGTAAACGATGGCCTGAAACGGTACCAATCCAATCTTCCCTATGGTTGCGTTCCACCAGGAAGAGCTACACCGACGCCCCGGGCGAATTTATGCGAGGATTACTCGAGTTTCCTGAACCTATTCCCGATTACCTCCGCGTTCGGGGGACTCGCACCTCCAGGAATGGATATTGTCGAAACTCCGAAATGGACTTTTTAATATCGCTGATTCGTTGTTATTACCTGTACATGGAAGTATTTCACAAATTGTCAACATGCACGGCTTGGCATCACGTGGACGGAATTGATTTATTTATTTTTCATTAATAATGGATTAGGAAAATTCACCCTTTCGAGGGGGGTTTGGTATTACTAAGTATAATTAATGGTCGTGATTTACGGCGGGGAAATGCAATTTTTCAATCAGCCCGGATTTTTTTGTCTCTTTTTAGTTCATCTTTCTGGAGCAATTCGATGGGAAGCTTTGGATTGAACGTTTCGGGGCTGATCGTTGGGTTAAACCTTTCGATTTACCGCGAGGGTCGGTCAATTCGCTCGAATTTACCGGGGAATTTTCCAGACATCCCCGTATCAATTTCTGGTAATATCCACTCGTGATTATTAATTATCGTGCTATATTACTCGGGAATACAAGATAATCACTGCGCGAAACTCGACTGCTACCATGGGATCCGCGGTGGATTTCGTTCGGAATTGTAGGAATTCTCTGAATACTTTTAACAGCGCGATAAATGTTCTGAGAGAGTGTAGGAATGTTTTAATTATAGTTTTTTAGGGTAAACGAGAAAATACGAAGGTGTGAGAATTTTATGAATATTTTTAAGGGGGTATTTTCAAGAAGCAAGATAGGTCATCGAAAAGTTGTGTGTCCACCTTTAGCCCAGTTGGGTCCAACTGTGAAGGACATAGAAATTTTATAACGCGATTTTTAATATATAGGACGAAATCGAAGACTCGAAAATTTCGGCCCAGCTGGATATCCAACTGCTGAAATTATGTGCGAACTTCATGTCGGGATTTTTAATAACACAAGGCGAAATCGAGGACTCGAAAGCGTCCACTCTCTACCCAGTTGGATATCCAATTGTCGAAAGTATAGAAATTTAATATCCAACTGCTCGAAGCATGTGCGAACCTCATGTCGGGACTTTTAAGACAGGACGAAATCGAGGACACCGCCTTTTACCGGGACCTGTCGCAGGTGTCCACCCTCGGCCCAGTTGGATCCAACTCTGCCGAGAGAGTATTATCGAGATTGGCCTAACTCCCGTCCCACCGCGGGCCTCGACTATCTCTCTCTCCCGCTCGCTCCCCAATCACACCGGCAGCCACTAAGTGCGATCCATTACGCGTAATGGAATGCGCCAATTATAACATTTGCTGAATAATTGGCGGCCAGTGCGCGGCGCGCTCCGCCGATGGAGTCGGCACCATCGGGGATGCCGGGGGTGGGGCGCTCGATAACGCGCCTACCGTACCGCGTATGCGAGGGCAAACATCAAATAAATCGCTTAATAAATTTTGCGGAAGTGGTGGTAAACGCTAAAAAGCCTCCCCCCGAGTCCCGGCGTTTCGATGCTCTTGCGCTCTCGCGTTCTTTCGATCGGACCCTCTCCCCCCGATCGAGTTTTCCGCCCCTAACCGAGTGGGCGAGTACGATTTCATCCGCCGATTATTCTGCGCGATTTCGGCCTGGATTCCTGAACCCACCGAAGCCTCGATGCAAAATCGGCAATCACGGGATTTCGAGGAGAAAGTCCTGCGACTCGATTTTCTGGACCTTCGGGGCGAAGTATACCCTGTTAAAAATCAAATACACTTATGACGGACGTTTGTTAAATATGGGTGACGTATGTCCTGTTAAAAATCCACTAAACTTATGACACGCGATTCTGAAATATGTCAATGAGATGATATAGACTCTCGAGATTTTTTTTATTTATTTTTTTTTCTTGCAAGACTCAAGAACGGCTGATTTTTAATGGGAACGCTAGCGGACAAGTACACGAGCCTCGGTCGAACGTCACGTCTCTTTACTCTAAGTATCCTCTATCAGCCATTTAATGCCCCTCCACCGAGCATCGCCATTATTAAAAGAACCTCCACGATATTTTAGTATACACCCTCGATACGTATCCGATAGAATAGGAAGAAATATCGGGAATTCAGGGGAAAGAGCCTCGAATAGGTCGGCCAGCGCCACGTCTCTTTACTCTAAGTATCCCCTATCAGCCATTTAATTTCCCTCCACCGAGCATCGCCATTAAAAAAGCTCCGCGATATTTTAATATACATTCGCGACATGTATCCGATAGAATAGGAAGAAATATCGGGAATTCAGGGGAAAGAGCCTCGGATAGGTCGGCCAGCGTCACGGGATTTACCGTCAGGGTCCGCATACACGCAGAGAGGAGGCAAACTCGATCGCTTATATTGGGCGATCGCGCTCCAGGCTAACGGGGTTATAGTATGGCTTTTTTCCACGAACGATTCCCCGATCAAAGTGTCCAGGGTGGATGTCGACGCGTCCTGCGTCCAACGTCCACCCGGGCGGGATTCCCGGCCGGGCCGGAAACCGCGTTAGCGCGCGTGTTTTCGCGCGATCCAATCCGCGGCGAATTAACCAACCGGGGAAAACCTCGTTACCCAGAGGGTGCTCCTGGCTGCGCTCCCGGCCGACTCCTCGGGACAACGCGCACATCGCCCTCCGCCCGGAATCCGCCCGCCCAGGGAATAGAGGCCGCCTGGAAGTGGATCCGAAAATTGAAAATCATTGCCCCGCCGGATCCCCTTAGCTTCCCAGGATGAGCTCGATAAATCGTCCTGGGATTCCCCGGGATATATCCCGGCCGCGTTATATCCCGGGAGATCCCACCTCGCGGAATTCCTTTAAGCGAAACTCGACCCGCCGCTGCGGCTTCTTTTTTTTTTTTCTCTCTCTCTCCGCCCGCTTTCCGCCGGGATTTACTTCCGGCCCCTGGCCTCCAAGGATCTCCGAACTCGACCGCGATATCGACTTATGGGATACCGGGAGATCCGGGAAGTCAATTTTTTTATCAGGAAATCGAATCGACCTGGGCTAAGGGAGGAGGTGCGCCGTGAAAAATATTCAGAAAATTCGGTACGGATTTCTTCCTAATTCACAAATAAATGCGGAATTTTATCCCGCTGAAATTTTCGGATATCCCGACGTTTGTATCCTCGCGTTCTAATTATATATGAATTGTAATGAATATATATCATGATATTGCGGTATACTTTCTTTTTTTTTATTTAACGAGAGCGCGGAGGTGCTCGTTGTAAGGGTTTCTTCCTTCGAGACCTAACCTCATTGTCGTCACGTGTCTTGATTAAATATCTAAAAATCAGGGATTAATCCTTATCTCGGGATTTTGGGATCGTGGCGTTCAACCCGGGCTTTTTTCCTTGTAGAATTCCCAAGGCGGAACTTCCGGGCCGGGTAATGAATTTTCTGCGACTCATTATCCCGGAAGGTGGGTGCACACTTAGGCTAATATCATCGGGTCTTGGCGAGTCGTCGGAGCGCCCGGGCGGCGCAACGCCCGCCAGGGTGGGCGGTAGAACGTGGGGATGTTCCGCCGCACCGCAGAGGAGCTTTGACATGCAAATTGCCTGACAATGAATTTCGTAAAACCTTTTACCATGGAAGATGCCGCAGACGAGGGGCGGATCCGAGGTCAGAGGTGGAGCTTCAAACTGGGGTCAGGACGACGTCCTGGTATTAATCACTGTCTGCCCGACGTCGTCTCCTGGATCTCCTAGACATGGGAATTTAATAAATTATTCAAGCGGGAATAATGCAAGTAATAAAATGCCAATGAAAACGTCAAGCCACATACGACGTTATAGACGTAAAATTAGGGTTAGATACACGTATATACCTCGAATATTAAGGAAAATCCATAATTTATTCAGGTTAGAAAATTATATATTATCGAGTGTAATTTAATTAGCCTCCTTTAATGAACGTGTATTAACTTATACTCGCCATGAAGACACTTGGAGATTTTTTTTGTCGGCCGACGTTAATAACAGCCGTGGTTAAATTTTGTTATAAACCAAGTATTATCTTTTTTTTTTAATTAAAAGCATTAATATTCGTTGAAACATATATTTACCCAACGATATGTAGCGGTCAGTACACCGGTAAGCAGGGACGATCGACCGCCGCGAATATATCGACTTTCTCTTCCAAACTACGTTTCGCCAACCTCGTAATTCTAATTTATTTATGGATCTAGACTCGTAAAAAACATCTAAAGACCTCCAATATATATTTACCGAACGATACGTAGCGGTCAGTAGACCGGTAAGCAGGGACGATCGATCGGCGCGAGTGTGGCGCCCGGCCGCGGCAGTTCCACTCGCCGCCGGCAGGGGCGCTGGTGGCGCCCGCACGCTCGTAGCGCTCGTTTTCGCTCGCGGCCGAGAGAGGGAGTGCGGCCTGGCGCCTGGAGAGAGGAACGGGGATAAACCGTGATGTCGTTGATTAATACGGTTTACCAGTAAGTGTAACGGAGTGTGCGGAACGCGTCCGCTCGTCTCGCTGCGCTCTCCCACCTCCGCCGACCCGGGTCGAGGGAGAGAGAGAGAGAGAAAGAGGGAGCGAGGAGGACCAACCGGAGCCACGTGCCGATCAATGGCGTCTTGTCTCCGATTGGACGAGCCGGGGGCCAATCCGCGCGCCTGCCCCGCCAGCCCCTGCCGGTCCACCCTCGAGGAGAGGGTGCAGTTGATTCCCTGAGAGGGCGAGCTTTTCTTACGAGGAGCATTGATTACCAACAACTCCTTCTAGCGTTGTTTCCCCCCGCCTCGACTAACCTAACCTGTTCCGTCTCCTCTCTCTACATCGACACGCGCTCTGCCTTTTCCGAGATACTCGTTTTGACTTTTCTACTTTTACAGGTTTTCTCACCTCCGGAGATGGATAACGGTGAGTAGGATTTTAACGGTGAATAGATTGATTGTCTTTACCTTTTATAGGTGTTGGAGTGGCTGGAGAGATGTCCTCGAATTCCAGGGGATGAAATTAATTTTTTTTTCGGGGTTTCTCGTTTCAAGTGTGCAGAGGATAAGTAGAAATTAAGGGTAGATTGTGATTTATGGCGATCTTTAGTTGAGGCTTATTTGTGGTATATTGTATGGAACAATAAAACGGTTTTTTGATGGCGTGTGGAATTTTTTTTGTGCCAGTGACGAAGAGGGTGGATTTGGAAGAATCAAGTGGAGGGTGGAAGATATACGAAGAGGACTGCTTATCTCACGAGAACGAATTTATTTTATGCAACTACCACGATATAGTACATGCTAACTAAGTATGTATACTCGTTTGTAATACCGCTATGTTATAGTGCATCTCTTTCGCTACGATCGTCATTGACGCTGGAACAAGCAAATCCGTCAAAATGACGGATTCTCAGGTGGCAAACTAAAGACAGGAAAAATCCGCCGGTTGTTCCAGCGTTAATCGGTAGTGACGGTACTATCGGACAGTAATATTATACAGGTCTCTCTACTTTTAGCTACAATCTTTTGGCCGCTAATACTTTGGTTAAAATCACGGGACCCAGAAGAGCATGGCACGACCCGGCATCACTTCCTCGTCTCTTCACACTTTATCCGAACATTGAACATCGCCAACACCAGGATCTAAACTAGGCACAGGACGGTCCTCCGGGAATGTCTTCGTCGAATCGGATGAGAGAAATAAACTGCGATGTTCCAATCAGGATTACTCCATGTTCACGAGGAACGAGGCGATGATCATCCTCTGGGAGTCTCTCTAGGTCGAGGGCATCCCTGGATGGACGATGTAAATAATGATGACAACCATTGACAAACGCTGCCAAGACGAGGATCTTCCTCGATCCTCCCTGGTGGACCTTAGGAATCCCCAAAAACGTCGCTTTTGAAGCCGCCTTCTTGTTGACACTGAACACGGAGCCATTTCGACATATGGGCGAAATTCGTCCGACCGTGCAGGCAACATTGGACCAAATGTCGGGCGCCTTTAGGCGCTCTTAGTAGCCAAAGGGTTAAAAAACCACATCTAGGGAACAATCCTCTCCGACGCAACGTCCCGTCTTCCCTGGACGAACCCCGAAAGGTAGACCCCCAGGGTGGACCGATCTCCACCCTCGACGAGACCCCCGGAAGGCCGCTTCCTAAGGGTCCTCCTTGGTGGAGGGCTGCACCTGGTGGACCACCGCCGGCAGATGGTGATGGTGGTGATGGTGTTCCGGCCTTCTGGACAAGCCCAACAGCGGGGGCAGCAGGGGCAGGGGCAGGGGCAAAGGCAGACCCCCTGGGAACCCGGCTAGGCCCCCTAGGAGGGCGGAGGCGGTGGAGTGTTCCTGGGCCTTCCTCCGCAGCTCCGCCAAGCTGCTGCTCCGGTGGAGGTCCCCGGTCCCGGGCTTGCAGCATCCGCAGAGGGATCCTGGCCAGCCGGCCGGCGCCCAGGTCAGCATCTCCTGGAGGCTTCCTCCGCGGTGGTCCGCGGTGCTCCACAGGGACGGGGTCGCCGAGGTCAGCGAGGTCGGCGTGCTGCCCACCACCTTGCTCCCGAAAAGCGGCGGCGAGAACTGCGCCGCCAGGTGCGGCGAGAAGAAGAGCGACGTGGGGGGCTCCACGGGGCGGAACCCTCCTCCTGCCCCGGGGGCGCTGAAACGGGACCTTCGCTTGTAGTACTACATCTTATCATTTATGAAAGAATATTGATATCATTATTTCTATACTTTATACTGCACCGAGGAACCCTATAAAAATTGACTTACTCAAGGAAACATGAATTCCTGTTACAATATCCTGCGATCAAACCTGTCTAATGATGTGTCAGGATGCGTTAACGAAATTTCTTTAATTGCGAGATACGAATTTTCTATATATTTATTAATGAATTTTTATGGAACCGTATGAATTCGTATGTTGAACGAGGCTTTTGGTGCATCGCGAATGGTGGTCGTCGGTGTACGGGCATTTGAGGAAATTCTGATTTCGAGTAAAAGTTCGGCGGGTCAGGGAAGCGACCCCTCGGGTGATCTTAAGGGAGCCCCGAAGCGTTAACCCAATTACCAGGAGGTACCTCTCCTTGGCGCGGCGCCCGCTTTGAGGCGCTGATGATCATCTCAAATATTAATCGCAAATATTGTTTAATTAATGTAACGAGCCGTCTGGCAGCCGCTCTTAGCGAGGCGGGTCTGCAGAGACGGGATGGCCAGGATCGAGTGGTCCGGAGCCGAGGGATGCTGCACGCGCCGGAGACGGGCCGAGGCCCGAATCCCGGTAAGCGCGATAATTGGCGGCAATTAGCAACGTGCCCTGCCACTCCGTGGAATATCCTGGAGTACTCTAGATACTCTAGATGCGAGCTAGCGCCTTCCTGGGACAAAGTGGGATCCCATTCGTACTTGGCCGAGCCACTTTCGCACTCGCTAGCGCACCTAGAGGCAATTTTAATTAATTTATTTCATTTCAATTTGAAACCAATTAATTTTAATTTAAATGCAACACTTTGTAGGATAAATCTTGCACTTAAGGTGACATGAAAGGCGCTGAGCAATTTCCAAGGAATCGGTACACTCGATTCGGGGAATACTTTCACCGTGTACTTTGATCTATCAGATGCATATAGGCTGACTCTTTGATATCACTTTAACCGAGATATAAATTGATTTCAGTTCGGAGAACCAGATACGCAGCGAACAGGGAGATGGAGAAGATGCCTGAATCCCTGTAAGCGCGATAATTACCGGCAATTAGAGGCGCTTCGTACCACGCCATGGAACACTCGGTTGCATAGACGGTGCATTGTGCCACGTAATGCGGAGCGGTGCTGTGTGCGGCTCGATTTATGCCCTGCTTAGGCTCGCTCCTCCGGCGTACGCAATTGACGTACACGCACGCGCCTAATTATCCTGTCATGAGAGGGTGCAAGTGCGCTTCCCGGATGAGCGCCGACACGCCATCCTAAGCTATTACGCGCCATGACACTTGTCAGTTGTCGTGCCGATGCCCTGCTCGTGAAGAAGGGCTGAAAAATTGACTGCCGTGAGAATATCAACCTGACATTTTTTCTTTTTCTCCTTTATTAACAGCGATTGTTGGAGAAAGCACGGTCAAATGAAATACTCGAAAAAGAGGCGAGAAAATAAATCTTCGGACCTTCGCGCGAATTTATCACAAGACAATTAATTCATTGAACTTCCGCAAATAGAATTTCCCGGCAAGGAAATATATTGCCGAGCCTTCGGAAATTTGTCCGGGAATTTATGGAACAGGCACGTGGGAAATTCTTCTTTACTCGATTTTCTGGCATGTAGCGGAATATTGACAGAAATCAACGGGAAGTGCATTACTTCCGGGGCGGGCCGGAATCGATAGATTCGAGCAATCGCTTGTAAGGAAATTATCGTCCCGTAGATTGCCTCGGGACTTTTATCTTTTCTTTTCTTTTCTTCTAGATTCTGCTCGGACGTGACTTTAGTCGTTAACGAAGATTGGGATTTATTAAATACCGTGAAAAAAAATCGTTCTACCGAAATGGCCGGAGTCTCGCTTTCGGGTACTAAGAGCGAAGGTTTGGAACTCCGGGAGGGAAAAAGGGAAGATCGTTCCCTCGAAGGTGGAGGACCCTTCTCGAGAGGTTTTCACCTACGTTGGCGAACACTGGGGCCAAGTATGTCGGATATATCCGGTATATCTGGTATATCGCGTTACTTTGAGACCGTTCCACGAGGCGAGCGTCTCGGGAGAAACAAGAAGATGGCCCGCAAGATTCCCCGGAGCACTCGGGCTTACGATTATCGCGTGACCTCTCTTTCGAAAAAGGAAACCCGAGGCAAACCCGGGGAAAACTCGGCGGAGCTCCCAGGGGACGGGGGTGAGTACTTGTCCGTCGGACCGTGCTTTTAATTTCGTTCTTTTAGATTTTTTTTCCTTCTCTTTCTTTTTTTTTTCTTTCCAGCCGCTCGTCTTGACAAGGTCCTGCAGGAGGACGAGGAAGCCGCCACGTCGGCGGGACCGCTCGCCCGGATAAGGACGAGCCATTAAGGACTTTATTTAAAATTCAATGACGTTAAGCTCCGCCGTTCCTGCAGGCTCCACCTTGGTCCAGGACGTCGCGTGGATCCGCCCGTTTACGGGACCTGGAGAAATGGTACCGAGACGAACATCCAAGATGGCGAACCTTGGAAAAGGTGATTTTTTTCCCCTTGATCTTTCTCTGCCTAATAAGGACGCTTATTCGCGAGATTTCAGGTACTCGCGTTCCTGATCTTGAGAAAACGAGGACTGATAGTACGGTGCAGTGAACGCAATGGAAATTATGCCGATAATGATGGTTTGGGTCTTAAGTGGTACTTATTGGTATCGATTTGTCGAAGAAATGGGGCACCTCGTTATTAACGAATTTTAAATGAAAAATCTTTAATCAAGCTGCACGATCTCTATATCAGGCACCTGGAGTCGCGTCTTTGATTCCATCTCCAGGATTTGTCGAAGAAATGGGGCACCTCGCAGAGGACGTGGAAGTCGCGCGCCTCCACCCCTCGAGTGAAGGAAAGCCAAGGAGCCGCTCGGCAAGGTAATGACGAGCCATTAAAGTCTTTATTTAAAATTCAATGATATTAAGCCCCGGCGCTCCTGCAGGTCGGGGATCCAGCCAGGAGGAGGAAGGTGCCCGCGGATCCCGGTTCCAGGGGGAAGGAGGTCGAGAAGGTTGCGGGAAGGTTGCAGGAAGGTTGCGCCGGGGTTGCCTCGGCCCCCTTCCTCCGGTGGCCGTAGGTTGGTACCAGGGTAAGTACCTGGGGGGTACCCCCGCAGGGGGGCAAGGAGGGCGCAAAGCTTGCCCCCGGCGCCGCTCTAGGCGACTGAATAAATGATGAGGATATATTTACGGCGAGCGGTTTTAAATAAATTACAACTGCGGAGACGACGGAGGGGCCCGAGACGCCTCCCCGAGCAACCCTCCAACGCTAAGCCCGCCCTCGACGTCTATTACTTCGACCGCGTTTTCGGCATTATTCTGCCTTACGCCCCGCCGAAACTCTTCCGCCGGTTCCTGACAACCCCCGACTGCTTTACACCCTCCCCGATCGATTTCACCTAACCTAAATTTCGGATATACCCCGTTATGAAAAATTATAACATTAAATGCAAATTACCCTTAAAGCGGGTGCATCGTTACAAAAATTCACGGAGGAAATACATTGACGTTCCTCGAGGATTACCGTAGAACCCTATGAAATGATTATACAATTACAAGTTTATTCAGAGATATCAAGCGTATGTCGATGCAGAATTTCACCGCGACCTCGTGTCCCGCCTTGCGCATAAATCCTCAGAATATTTTAACCGGTCCGATACCTCGATTACCCACACACGGCTCCCACAAAGAGCTCGCTTTATCCCTTTATCGTTCCATTCTTCCAGCGTTTATATTTCCCCCCGCTCCCGGTATTCCAGATCGCGGGTTAACGAGGCGTCGATTATCGCGCGATTATTCGGCCGAGTTCGGGTGAGTTCGGGTAAGTTCGGCCTCGGTCCGGGAGCTGGGTTTAATGGCGCGTGTCTCGCTTCCGGGCCCCGCGGGCGGCGGCGGGCGGAGGGGTAGGGGGGAGGGGGGAAAGGAACGGTCGGTGATGTTTCCTAAAGACGTAAATACAAAGGAGCTAAAAGCCGGAGCTCAGTGCTCACCTCTCCGCGGGTGGTGGCAGACCTCCCGGGGCGGGCGCCTGCGAGGGGGTAGGCGCGGGGCCGAGGCTGGCCCCCGAGCGGACGGGGGCGGTGGGCGGCGGCGGCGGCGTCGCGACGCCTCCCAGGGACGGCTGACTCTGCGGCTGCTGGGGCCGCGGGCTCACCGAGGCGGAGGTCGTGCTGGGGCTCCGCGAGCCCCCTACCTCCGGCCCGCCGTCCTCGACCCCGACCTCGGCGTCGGCGCCGCCTGGACTCGGGCCCCCCGAGGACGAGGCCAGGCTTGGGCCCTCCGGGTTGCCGGAGCCCCCCTCCCGCTTCCGCTGCTCCTCTTTCAGCCGCTCGCTCTTCCGCCACTTCGCGCGTCGGTTTTGGAACCACACCTGAAATCCAAGATGGCGGACCGTTGTTTATAAGCGATCTTAAGGTAAGCGCCTGGAGATGCTTGCTGCGATTAATGTGAGTACTATAACACTGCGTAGTAAGACGATGGGCAAGTACGAAACTTTACAACAGGTACATATCGTCGGATTTTCTAGGGCGTTTTTTATAACGTGGAAATCTAGATTCCCTGGGATTTTTATCCCGGCAGGTGTCAAAGGGTCGAACCCCTCCGGCTGCGAGAGTATTCCCCGTATTCGAGGACAATTACGCGGAGGAAAGCAACGAGGTGGCGACGCGCATGTTCAAGGAGCCGGCATGGGTGCGAGTGCTTCTTAAAAAGCTCGAGTTCCGCTAACGAGCCTAACTTGACGTAATGCCGGCCGAAATAGGCTTTATTGCAGGAGAAACCGCGGCCTCCCGAAGGATCACTTGGGAGTCTCTCGGGGAACCTCTCGGATGTGGCCCGGAGGCGTCGCGACGCCCCGGAACGGTGGCCGGGGCGAACGAACTAATTGCGCCACGGGAAGACCCGGCGAGATATGCTACGAAGAAAAAAGTTCACTTGTATAGGACGATTTTTTAACATATTAATAAAGCAGCCGTAGGACAAAAAGACCTGGCATGATCTGCTAGGAAAAAAAAAAAGATGATTACTTGTGTCGCACAATTTTTGGAGATATTAATTAAGACGTTGGTAAGGTAAACGTATCGATTGAGGTGGGAATAAAAAAATGTGGCAAGGCAGGCTAAGATAGGAAATGTTTACTCGTATGTGAAAAATGATCGATTAATCGAGGAGAGCGCAACGAGGCTTCGTAACCGACCTTTCTGAATCACCCTGTACACCCGATCTCGAGGGTCACGAGAGAGGTAATACGCCGAACAAAGCCAAGGGTCTCCAGAGACCCTAGCAGAGCCCCGGCGTCTACTTCGACGTTTATTCTCCTTCCTGCTATACGAATTTAATCCTAAATATGTCAATATCGACGCGGGACCCCCCGCGAGTTCATCCTTTCCTCCTCTCTTATTTCTCCGCAAATGGGACGCCGGAATACCGTCAATCCCGAACAATAGATTACGAATGAAAAGTACCGAGGATCTCAAAAAATTCATATCCGAGATAGATGCAGGATTATTTTTTTTTTCTTCCTCGAAAAAAGAAATTTCAGGAGCATCGCGTTCTTCCTCAGGGCCTCCATAATCTCCCGGTGGAGTTTCTAACAATTCGGGTGTACCCAATTTGGAGAAATGTTTTATAATTATTTGTACTTTTTTGTGTGTATATGTGACGCCTTCGTATCACCTTAAAAACGAGGGGAATAAATGAATGGAGATAGGCGTAATTGAAGAGAGGGGAGCTGGAGTGCTTTCCCAGGGATGAGAGGTTTCGACTTCAGCTCACTATTCTAAATTGGCGTTTCCGAAGCTCTCGGGGGTCCCAGCTCTTTGACCGGAGTACGGGCGTCCTCGTCGAGGAACGGGGATCCGTGATTTTAGCGAATCCGACGCGCGCGACGGGTAAAGATCATGACGTGCGACGTGCGAAGTCGCGACGTGCGTCGCCGTGACGCGAGAACGTGCCCCCGACGACCCCCCAGCAGGTTCTAATTGGAGCGCCAGGGCGCTATTTGTCCATTATATTCCGGATTCCCTTTGTCCCCCCGATGAAACAATGAGTCTGCCCCGTAATTGCGTGAGCTACTCCGGACCAGGCTCCTCGGGCTCGACATCGGGTCCGAAGTGTCGCGCCCTAAGCGATCGCTTACGCGACGGCCACCCGAGAGGGGGTGCTCGGAAGCTGGACCGAGAAGAGGAAGACTCGATTAATAAGTCGATCGCCTCGAAAATGGCGCCCGGGCATGAGAAACTTCGGAAATCTCGACGATAAGCGAGAAGGGATCATCCTTTCAGAGATTTCAAGATTCCAATATGGCGGCGAGGGGTTTTCGAGACGCTGGATTTTCTCCGGGGTTTTTGGGAGATAGCGAGGGTCTCTGGATTCAAATTTCAGGGGGGAGTTGTAGAGTTAGTTACAGACTTTGAATCTTGATTTGTAGGTGGTATTTCGGGGGAATTAAATAGTGCTCCTCTTTCCGTCCGCTCCGCTTCCAAGATGGCGGCGGCCCGAATCCTTTTCCCCACGGTTTCCGGAATTGTTTCTGCCCGCAGGAAAATCTCTAGGTTTGTGTTTCTGTAGAAATTAATGTTGAGTGGGGGCCAAGTCTTGATTTTAGATTCAAAGTCAGTGGCTACTTATGAGGGTGGCTTCGGGGCGGAAGAAAAGATCGCCAAGCGGTTCTTGAAAAGTGGTGAAACGTTTTCCACCGAGCGGACGGTTACGAGGGTGGTCCGCAACCATGCCGAACACTTCGGAGCCGAGGGTAATCCGGCGATTACCGGCTTACTTCGTCAGGAGATTACGTCGGGTCGAGGGTGTCGGGTCGTCTCCGGGGGCCGGGGGTCTCGGGGTCGACCCGAGGTCCTTCCACGTCCCCCGGGAGGGCGGGATATCTCACCTGGACCCGCGCCTCCGTCAGGTTGATCTTCATGGCCAGGTCCTCCCTGGTGAAGACGTCCGGGTAGTGGGTCTGCGCGAACGCCGACTCCAGCTCCTCCAACTGCTGCAACGTGAAGGTCGTCCTGTTCCTCCGCTGTTTCCTCCTGACGAACGAGTCCTCGCCGACCCCGTGTAGGGCAGGGTGGTATGCCGAGTAACTCGTGTCTGAAACGGAAATAATTACCATTTGCAATTATAAATAATAGGAAATGCTTTGCGACCATCATTTCTCCATGTTTTACTCGCGCAGACACGCACTTGGCGCTGAACTCTATCGAGGCGATTTTTTAAGGAGATGTGAAAATTGTCGTTAGGGTGAGAAAAGTCACAAAAAAAAAATAAAGAAATGTCGTTAGGGTGAGAATAATCGCAAAAAAAAAAAGAAAGAGCATCAATCTAATCCCGGGAAATTTTTCATCAGCTGGTCGGAGAACTTTTGGGGGTAATTATTGCCGCAGCCGTTTTTGCTAGAAAATTGTCGTAAGGGTGAGAAAAATCGCAAAAAAAAAAGAAATGTCGTTAGGGTGAGAAAAATCGCAAAAAAAAATAAAGAAAGGGCATCAACCTAATCCCGGGAAATTTTTCATCAGCTGGTCGGAGAACTTTTGGGGGTAATTATTGCCGCAGCCGTTTTTGCTAGAAAATTGTCGTAAGGGTGAGAAAAATCGCAAAAAAAAATAAAGAAATGTCGTTAGGGTGAGAAAAATCGCAAAAAAAAAATGAAAGAGCATTAATCTGCTCCCGGGAAATTTTTCATCAGCTGGTCGGAGAACTTTCGGGGGTAATTATTACCGCAGCCGTAACCGGGCAAAACGCGGCTCGAGGTGGCGGGTCGAAAAAGAGCGGCCGGCCGAATCAAAGCGGTCACGGGCGCAAAGCCGACGGAGGTTCGCACAAAGCTCGGCCGACGTGTGCCGGTACACGAGCGGCACGTAACCGGCACATAACCGGCACATAACCGACACAACCGGCACATAACCAGCACATGGCCGACACATAGTCGGCCGAGAGAGCCGGATAGGCGGCGGCTCGCTCGGAGCCTCTCATCAATGATGCAGAGCAATCAGCGCAATTAATTACCGCGGCGCTAAGCCGGGCTTAGCGAAAAACACAAATTAATTTCCTAAACTCATAAAAATTCAGGAGGCCCCCCCCCCGCCCCTCCACCCCCCGGCTCTGTCCCCGGCCTCCGATCGCGGAAAGGCGAATCGCGCCCGGAATCCCGGAAAAACCGCGGATACTCCCCGCAACGATTTTCCGCGTCGAACCTCGCGGCAGATTTGTCTACGCGATTTTCACCACGGAACTCGATTAACCCTTTCGTCGTTTTTTCCCGCTAATGGGGGTTTTCAAAATTCTGCGCATGATTTCGAGTTCTCTCTTAGGGTTATGTCGACTCGGAGGATGATTTGGAATTGTTTTGTTTTTTGTCTCGGGGTTGTCGGTACCTAGGGCATAATTTAGAATTTTTTTTTTCGGGGATATTGAAGTCCAGGGCTTGCCGCCGAATTTTTCCCCCGGTGCGGTTGATCTATTGAAGCGACCGGCATTTTTTAATTTCCGGTAATCCTGCGTCGATTTAACCGAGAGAATGATCGATGCGGGGAAAATTATTCCCGTGGGTAGTTTCGCAGAGTCGTTATCGATAAGCATTTCATGGGGACATCCGTCGACGATTCGGTTGCAAAAAAAAAAGAGAAATTGGAATCCCTTTTTTATTCGAGTCCGATATATTTTTATTTTTAAACCGATCAATTCTGCAGGTTTTGACTTTCCTCTCGTGGCGGAGAAATGGCGGCAGCTTTGAAGATTGCACGGGAAATGAATTCCCAGGTAGGAGTAATGATTCACCGATATGACCGGCCAATCGCCGGTAGGATAATGAATTGATAACGCGGCCGAGTAATCAAAAGTGTCGGGGGTAATTAATAGCTGCGTTAGCCGGACAATTTTTCCTCCGGCCCCGTGTTTGCGGATTACTTCCCGGGGCAATATGGCGGATAATTAATTAATTGATGACGGTGGAAATTATTGCTCCAGTCCTTCTCCGGTATCGATGACTATTTTTACCCCGCGGGCCGCTATCGGCCCGATTAAATTGCTCCGTTTTTATGAATTCGCCGGTGACGCGTGGGTTTTAATGATTTCCCGAATACTCTTCGAAAAAAACCCTTATCAATTAAATATCGCGTCGATTAAGAGTGCCTTCGATTCGACGGGTTGCTAGGCAACGTACGGCGTTCATTGTCGGTCGAAACGATCGATCATCGAATAATCGGCTATTGGACGTTAGATGACTTTTTTTGTTTGTTTTTTTTTCCTGGAGAGATTTGCAGGACGTACGTAGTATAAGTAAGAGAAATAATTAATTTTCTCTGTAGTCAGGCATATCTAATTATTAATTTACGACCTATTAATTTCCAATCGGATCGATCGACTGATTGAATTATCCGCGATTAGATGTTAGATTTTTTTTTTTTTCGCGGGGAGATTTGCAGGATATGCGTGGGATGAGTAAGATAAATTAAGGAAATGTACAGGAGAGAAGTATATATATATTTATTTTTTGCGCAATACGTCTCACCCCGACGCGGCGTATTAATTATCGGTCGGATCGATCGGTCGGCCGACGATCGAGTTATCGGCGATTGGATGTTAGGGGATGATTTTTGCTTCTTGGAGGGCGCGGGGGGCTCCCAGGGTAAATAAGTTTCCGGGGCGAGAGAGAAGGCCGGGGGAGGCTAAACTGCAAATCCACTCAAGATCCTGGATTAGAGTCGGGAAGTAAAGCCCACCTCCGCTCGTGGAACTCATCGAGACTCGGCAAAGATCCAATTTATTAAATCCCGAGAGCACGCGAACTCCCGATCGGCGTCGCCGGAGCACCTCGAGGATCCTCCAGGAGTCATTTCATCCAGGGGATGTCCCGACCCGGGGACGTCGACCAATTAAAATCCCCGCTACCATGCTTTGCTTTGCTTTCCATGTTTTCTCTCTTTTCTCATGAATGTTTTGCAATTGTCATTATTTGCCCCCTCATATTCATAATTACTGTTACTATGTATATTGATAATTGATATCAGGGTCCAGAGAGCGCGACAATGAGATTGTCTATAGACTTCGTTAATTCTTGAAAATTCGGGGTAAAAAGTAAAAAGGGGAAAACACGGATACTCGGAGCAATCTTTCCAGGGCGAAACGTAGTTTTCCCGTTCTCGTCCAGATCGGGTTTGGCTAATCGGAGGGTGGCCCCCCCCCGGGGGTGGTTTTCCCCCTTCTGCCCCGGCACCCAGAACCGAGGAAAAACTACACGTGGAGGTAAATCTAATGACACCCGGACCGTCGCTAACGACGCTAACGAGGTAGTTAGACGTCGGAGCGAACGTCGAGCATCCTCGGTGAGGTCGGCGGCGAGGTCGTCCACGTTTGGTCCCCTTCTGGTCCCCCTCGGTCCAGCTCGCATCTCGATGAGTCGAGAGGGAACCCACTTACCGACTTATCACGTAGTTACCTAATCTGTTTATCCCGGTGGGGAGTAGTTACGTGGAGGGAACCGCCGGAAGGGTGCCCGGACGTCCCCCGGGACCCCCTCCTTTGGACACTTTGCCGCGGGAAGTTCGACAAATTTAACGAATCTTTTTACTACACTAATCTCGCCGGAGATTAGATCGATATACACTTTGCGAAATCCTGATCTCTCTGGATTCTTTTTACAGCATACCGGGGAAATTGGCACGACAGTGGCCGGCTGGAGAATTTAGGATAACTTCAAACGCTGAATTTTAAGAACGGCGATAATGGCCATTTTTGGACAATCCACGTTAAAAGAAGCGAATCGCAAACGCGTTTTAGCGCAAGTACGATTTAACGGAAGCGAATCGCAAACGCGTTTTGGACGGAAGCGCGTTTCAACGGAAGCGAATCGCAAGCGCGATTTAACGGAAACGCGTTTTAGCGGAAGTGCGATTTAACGGAAGCGAATCGCGGCATCGGCCGCGAGCGGGACAGGCCGGACTCGGATGGAACTTTGCCGGCATCGAAACGCGCCGGAAGTTGGCTCGAGGAAGTGCAAACTAAGTTTACCGGCCGTCCAGTTTGCAGCCGTCCACTTTGCGTAACTCGGTCTAGCCGGTAATGTAACTTCATCGATGTGTTCCGCCAGAGCGAGTGCCGCCACGCCGAGATCAATCTGCCCCTCCCCTTATAAGATTCTCTCTCTAGCTTTAGCCCTAAAATTGAAAGACCCATAGACCCTCCCATAAATTACTCCGTAATTTCATGCCAAAAGAACAACCTCGACGCCTCCGCAAACACCTCAAAAATCTCTGCGTCAGGAAGCACCTGCCATTATGGAATAGAAAATCCAAGATGGCGGCGGGCTCGACCGAGCAATTATTCCTATCATCGTGGCAGCATAAAACCCGGGGTAAACCTAACAATCTTTAAGAACAAGTTTGACAGAAATAATCGTCCCGCGAGTATCCACGTCCACGTATGAGCGGTACAATTCCCACGTCCTCGGGAAAAGCAAAAGGGGGGAATGATCATACCCTAAAAGGGCCGATATCTCTCGAGGGGGCGAGCGACGCGGCGGGGTCGGCTCTAAAGCCGAATTTAAAAGAATATACATACCCCTCCGAATCCCGCGGCCATTGAATTAAGACCCCACCGGTGTCCCCCGGGAGGAAGGGGGGGATCGCCTCGGCTGGTAATCGGGTAAAATGCGAAAAATTGGAAAATGTAAAGCTCTCGCCCCCCCCCAGGCCCCCTCCGCCCCGGGCATATCTCGACGTATCTCGGTGCAAGTCGCGAGTCTCGGTACGCTTAAGTACTTACCCCGTGCTTGCACCCTCGCCCAGTGAGTTACGGTTGACATACTTACAGGGGTGGGTCGGAGCGAAGGGGTACTCCAGGGACGGCGGAAGCCGGGGCGCCGGGAGGCCCGGGGGGCAGTGGTAGCAGAACATGCCTCCGGTCCTGGCTCCCACCCCCACGCCCACCCCCGTCCCCGCGGCGCCCCCTCCGCCTCCACCCCCGGCACCCGCTCCTGCCCCCGGGGCCGCCCCGGCCCCCGCCCCGGGCACCTGCGTCGGCGTCTGCGGCTGCGACTGCGGCTGGGGCTGCGTCTGCGTCTGCGGGTGCTGCTGCACCCCCGGTTGCTGCTGCTGCTGCTGTTGCTGCTGCTGCTGCTGCTGTTGGCGTTGCTGCTGCGCCGACTGCTGGGGGTGGTGCTGGTGAGCGTGCACCGATCCAATCTACGGACAGATATTTTTTTTTTTTTCACCGCGGTTAGTGCCTAGCCTTTGTACGCTTTGCGCGGGATCTTATAAGGGGGACTTATTGTATTTAGTAAGAGATTTTCAGGTTAGGGCAATGTGCACCGATCCAATCGACGGACAGAATTTTTTTTTTTTTTTCTTCACGGGGGTTAGTGCCTATCTTTGTACGCTTTGCGCGTGATCTCGGAAAGGAGACTTATTATATTTAGTAAGGGTAGGTATATAGGTTAAGATGTATATAATCTACGAGCAGATTTTTTTGGATATTCTTGGTATTCGGGGAGAATTTCTCTTAAAAACGATTCTTTGTACAGATGATTGGAAATAACGTTCAAGTTCAGGGAGTGGCAAGATTTGATGTATTATGTTCCCTTGGGATTTGGAGGATACGCGACGGGAGGGTCGGAAAATGAGACGGAAAAGCGGTTGGGAGAAATCCTAATGGAAATGTCCGGCGGTCGAAAAACGCCGGGAAGACGCAAAAAGCTCGCGGGTGCGGACGCGCGACACGCGGATTTGCGGGGGGTCGAGACGCAATGCGATTAAGCTCGGCCGGGAAGGCGAGCGCGCCGATTATGCCAATCCCCGTTAGGGGATTGTAAACTCGCCTAAATAAATAATGGATATCTGGGGGTGCTCTTTGCCTAAGCAGGCATCAGTTATGGAACTTAATAAACGGCAAGTTATCAATTCATAATGGACCGGCGTGCCCGGGTGCGATGCGCGCGCACGCGAATGCTTTTAGACTCGCGGCGGCACCGCCTCCCCCCACCCGCATGCGCGCTCGTACTTTCGCACTCTCGTATTCTCGCACTCTCGCACTTTCGCACTCTCACCAGTACGCGCGCGAGCGCGGACTAGTTCGCACGGAGAGGCGCGCGTGTTCGCCAGTTTTTGCTAATTTGGCGTATTTTCCCCTAGATTTGACTTTCTTTTTAAATCCGTTTAGAGGGACGAAATTACAATTTAGCGGCTGGTGGGGAGATTCCAGCTATATCAAAGAAATCCGGGGAAAAAACTGTCTTTATCCGCGCCTACGTTCCCGCATTCTAATACTAATATCGAACGCTTGTTTAGCTAATTAATGCGAGGGAAATGGTATTTCATTACGTGGAGGTCATTACATGATGTAAAATAGGGTACAAGGAAACCTAGTGTTCATCTTTCACTTCCTATGTAACAATTTAGCGACTCTCTTGTTTTTAATCTAGCCGTTTTCTAGCGGCATTTAACGAGCCATCTAGCCAGTTCTGTAGTTCATGCATTAGCAACACTGGTGCACGCACACGAGCGGACCGCCGAGCGGGCGAAGGGACAAATTGAATTTTAGATCACGGCGTGCTCCGCCGGGGCTCGGGGGGCCGCCCGAGAGCAGCCGCCGAGATGATACTAATTGAAATTTGAAATTGATATTAGCGAATTACTGCCCCTTCCTAGAGGCCCAACCCGATTACCTCCGCGTGTCGGGTATCAAAAGTAATTGCTGCCGAACTTAACGAAATTCCGTAGCGTAGACCCGGCCAAGCGCCGCCATCTTGTGGGGCCTTTGGGTCCGCTTGACGATATCGATTGGACATTTTTCCGACGGATTGCCTTTTAGCGGGTGGAAACATATCGGAATCTAGTCATTCCCCGGTTTTCTAGCCCCGAATGATTGCGTTCCAGTGCCCAGGACTGCGAGCGTTCCGGAAAATAGGGAATGAAACCTTCAGGTGATATGGGGACGACGCGGCGGCCATCTTGCTTTTCGGCGATCTTCCGCAAGACGCGCCGGACTTCTTTCGGGATCGCTATTTCGAGGAGAAAATTGGTGTTAGCGGTATTTCGTGGTTGAATTATCGTCATTGGGAGAATACACTGGAGATATGAGGAGCGTATCGCGAATGTTTAACGACGCCTGCGGCGGAAATCTGGCGAAAATCGGGATCGCGTCCCTCTGGTCGGAAGAGCGCGGGTAGACATTGCGGGCGCTCGGCGAACATATGTGTCGACATAAGGACCGACCCTAATCCGCGGTATGCCGTTGGTAATTATTAGAACTTAATTTCCCAAGTCCCCACACTTTTTCCCAACCCTTCCCTCCGACTAAGTCGTTAATAAATCCCGTTCCCTCCGCCATACAATTCTTTTGCGCATCGCTCGATACCTAATTCTAGTTTAAAACCATACACCGTGAATACCAAGACCACGATGAAGGTCCTAACCCCCGTGAAGTTTTTCTTCCAACAAATTTGAAAAAAATTGTTCAAGGGTGGTGTATCACTTTTTAAAGGGAGGAAGAATCAACAAACGACTTCAAGGGCCGGTGGAAAATCAGCGATCGATTGGACGGCTCCCTGTCGGTCATAAGGCGGACAGAGGGAACATACGCGTCGACATAAGGGAGCAAATGTAGCGAGGCTAATCCGCCCATGGGGGGCCGGGGGGCCGTGGGGCCCCCAAAGAGGGGCCCCCGTGTTTGCGGTTCTCGAGCAGCGGGTCGGAACACCGACTCACAGTGTTTCATCGCGCGATCATCCGATTGCCGGCGAAGAGGGCACCGGGAAGGGATTGCGGTTCGGGGGGCCCCCCGCAGACTCGAAGGGTGTTTAGAATCCAAGCTTCGGGCGCGCTAACGCGACGTTAATTGCATAATTGCGACCGGCAACGAGCAAAGCGCCGCCGAGCGCTGACGTCAGCTGGGAATTATTCGGCACGCGACGAGACGTACTTTGCAGCTGACGTTTTCGATCGCATGAGTTTAATCTTCAGTTTCATTTCGATTTTCCTTGTATTTTCATTTTCAAAAATTTTCCTTCGTTTGACGAGCTGGGAATTATTCATCGGGGACGGGGCACCAGGGCTGGAAACGTCATGAACCCCCTCGAGAATCCCTCCAAATCCATGTATCTCCCCTGAAAAAAATCCCAACCTCTCGTTCGATTGACCAATTTGCAGGGATGTACCTTCCACCTAGAGCTGCAGGGAATTTAGGTGCGAGAAAAGCGGTACAGAGACGTAAAAAGGCAAGGAGGCCGTTCATAAACGGGTACGCGTCAAAAGTACGGCGCGGCGGAACCTTTGCACGTTTTTCAAATTTTCAGTGTAATTATCCGCGAAATAGGGCTCGGGGAAAATTCAAGTGGAATTATCGCCGGTATTTACAGGCCTCGGCATGGAAGATTACCGAGGGTTTTATGAGCCTCGGAATGACGAATATTAGAGGATGGGCTGCTAAGAGGGCGACGTGAAACTAGGAAAAGAGCCGCCGGACAGAGATTAACGAAGATTTCATTACGGGCTATATTGTGCTCGCATAGTGGCTCGTTAAACGACAGGCCCGGTTTCTTTATTAACCCGCTCCCGGAACGCATCGGAGGGAATTGATTAAGCGGCTCAAATTGGATGCAGCGCGTTAGCCCTCATTCGTGGATGACACAATTTAATAAGGCCTCGTTCGCGTCCTGGAATCCCGTCTCATTCCTGAGACTCTCGGCTCTTATTTCCCGTATTTTAACCCGCATCTAGAGACCGCCGATAAACCGGCGAGTCCATTGCAGCGTTAATGCATTTTAATGCATTTCGATGCATCCAAGTCGGAGAACCCGCGAGACCGGCGACCAGATTCATCAACTCGTAATTTCGATTAATTCTATGCTTTTCCCCTCATTGTCCGCGACGTATATTTTTCTCTCTCTCTTCCAGCTCTTGTCATCGGCATTTTTTAACACAATCGACATTAACGAACGCTACGTGGAAATTCTATTTATTAATTTTCTCCGAGATGTTCGACATCGTGAATTTCCATTATTTTCCGTGGCACGGCAAGATTATGAAATTTTGGTTATTAATTGTCAGAGGTGTTTCCTGGCTTCTCCGGGGTATAGGGGAATATTCCCAGGGAAGCGTCGTGATTATTTGATTTTTTTTTTATTTTTTATTGTTAATGGGAAACATTACCAAAGCGTGACGAGAGGAGGACGAGGGAGAGACTCCCTCGGGAGCGACTTCGTGTGTCGCGCCTTTGCGCCTCGGAGACGAATATCGTCGACGCGACAAGGAGAGAGGGAGAGGGAGAGAGGGAGAGAGAGAGACAGAGAGCGAGTGAGGCCATTACGCGCGCGATGGTAACGGCTTAGCGTAATGCATTTTAGTTAAGCACATCGAAGCATGTTCGTCGCGGAGTTAACGCATTTAATGGAGGTTAACTTTGCGTATGCCGGCTCCCTCGTGCCCTGGCCTCTCCTCTCTCTCTCGCTCTCCCGGCCTCCGGGCGCTCCCTCTCTCCCTCCCTCCCTCTCGGCGACGCGTCGCCTCGCCACCGGCCGTGGGGGGATCTGCATTTATTTAATAATCTCGTTACATTCCGCCTCAATTGAGCGGAGAATTATTCCAGGGCCTGCGGTTGAGTAATTAAATCAAAGTATTGTCGCAAACGCGAGGAACTCGTCTCGCGAGCGACCGGACAAGGGCGTCGGATTAAAAACCACCGACGCGATTGTATCTCCAATGAAGACCGTCAAAGTAGGGAAAACCACTCCTCCGAATTTTTTTTATTACTAATTCCTCCCTGATTAATGATCTACCCTCTCAATTTTAATAAACGCACCGCTCGTGGTTTATGAAAATGCACTTGGCGCGGGACGCTGCCTAGCCCGAGTCTCTATACGCGAACGGAGGACTCGAGGAGAGACGAAAGAAGTATCTCTATGGGCGCGGGCCACTTTG